GTAGAATGGGTAGGTTTTTTTAAGTATACATATATAGTTTTTAAGACCATATGATACATATATTTAGTTAGATACCATTTCTATTAATCGGTTCATCACCAGTTCACCACTTGGTTGCTTCAAATATGTTTCATAGTTCACTTGTAATTTTCAAATATTTCCTTCACTTGTAATCTTAAAATGTTATCCCTTTTAAGGGAAGAAAATGAATAAAGACGGATTAAAAAAGTATATATATATATATATATATATTTGTTGTAACTCTAAAACAAAATTAAGACTGTTATTGTATAGTCAAATGCATATATAAAACCGTAGAAAATAAATCATAAGAAAGATTCAATAACAGTAATAAAGTAATAGCAGTGATTAGTCTTTTTTTTTCTGTTCAAAGCAGTGATTAGTCTAAAAAAACTAAAACTCGAGCAGGATGACTTAATCAAAGGGCTTAGATTCATCCACGTGTCAAAAACCCATTTAACCAAAGATCTCTTAAATACGACATACACATGCAGCTACCTCCTAGACAGAGATATAATACAGACTCATATCACTTTGTATTATTTGAGTGTTTTTATAAAACCATTTTTCCATCTTCCTCATCACCTTCCCAAGAAGAAGTACATCAACGAAGCAGAAGAAGAAAGTTTAATAATGATGGGCAGTGTCGAGCTGAATCTGAGGGAGACTGAACTGTGTCTTGGTCTTCCCGGTGGAGATACGGTGGCTCCGGTAACCGGAAACAAGAGAGGGTTCTCAGAGACGGTTGATCTGAAGCTGAATCTTAACAATGAGCCTGAAAACAAGGAAGGGTCTACGACTCATGACGTCGCGACTTTTGATTCCAAGGAGAAGAGTTCTTGTCCCAAAGATCCAGCCAAGCCTCCTTCCAAGTAATTTTACTATTTTGTCCTTTATGATTTATTTTCCAATCTTCCCTTAATTTTGATATCTTTATAAGAAAGATAATTAAGCTTGACGGTCATCAGTTTGTTCCTCCAAGCGATATCTGTGAATTTTTCAGCTGGAAACTCTAACAAAACTTGAAAAAGGTGACTTAAAAAAAAAAAAAAATTCACTAAAGATATGTTTTTTTCGCCAAAACCATCTAAACATATGTCTATGGTTTTTTTTTTCTCTTCTTAAATCGTCCAAAATCTAAATATTTATGATTATGTTTATATTAATTAACCCATATATAGTCTCATGCAAATAAAATTTATGTGAACATCACGTCAAAGCTAACTATATTTTATATCTTGTATAACGTAACCGTTTTTCCATTTTTCAATAAAATATAGGGCACAAGTTGTGGGATGGCCACCGGTGAGATCATACCGGAAGAACGTGATGGTTTCGTGCCAAAAATCAAGCGGTGGCCTGGAGGCGGCGGCGTTCGTAAAGGTATCGATGGACGGAGCACCGTACTTGAGGAAAGTAGATTTGAGGATGTATAAAAGCTACGACGAGCTCTCTAATGCTTTGTCCAACATGTTCAGCTCTTTTACCATGGGTACGTTTTCATGTTTTATATAAATATGTAAATAATTCCATCCATGCATCTTTAAATATTAATTAGTTGTTACTATATAAAGAAACAAAATAAAAGAGGATTAGTTAATTCTAATTTTCATGATGATAGATCAATCCCAAATATTAGCCCGTTTTTAATAGTTTACAAACTGTAAAACCTATGTATGTATTGAAAAAAAGAAAAAATCTTTAATTAGTTTGTATGTATTGAAGAAAAGAAAAAATCTTTAATTAGTTTGAGAAAAATGTATATCATAGTTTGCACCATTTACAAAGTTTAAATTTAGGATATCAAGTTCTTACGTAAGATATTTTTCAGGAAAACATGGAGGAGAAGAAGGAATGATAGACTTCATGAATGAGAGGAAATTGATGGATTTAGTGAATAGTTGGGACTATGTTCCCTCTTATGAAGACAAAGACGGTGATTGGATGCTCGTCGGCGACGTTCCTTGGCCGTACGTCTTCTTCTTCTTCGTTATTAATTAATTACCATTTCATTAGAGCTCTATTTATTCATTTGATTTATACTACTATAATTAATAACCACTTGGTTTAAACTTGTTATTTATTAGAATGTTCGTTGATACATGCAAGCGTTTACGTCTCATGAAGGGATCTGATGCCATTGGGCTCGGTAAGTATTTTCTACCAAAAAAAAAAAAAGTATTTTCTACCAATGCATATTATATTCACATTGATTAAATAGCTTACAAAAGAGCTTAAAATTAAAGTTTAGTATAATTAATGTAAACCTCAACCGCATAACTTGGTCGCCCAAATAATTTAATATGATGTGTCTAGATCGTTTAAGATGATGTCTAATCAAACGCTTAAATCGTTTATTATTTTGCGCACAATTATACTTATACCGTAAAGAACAAATTTGTCGAAAGAGAACTCATCTCTTAAATCTTTTTAAAAACTTGATGTACATGATATTTGATTTTCTTTTGTCAAATGCAGAAAAGAAAGATAAAAAAAAAAAGAAATAAATTACATACTCTTTTAACAGAATAAATACCGTGGGAATATATATATTTTGATCAATACCGTGGTAAATTTTCTTTGCTTATTAATTGTAAAAATATTGCAGCACCGAGGGCGATGGAGAAGTGCAAGAGCAGAGCTTGAAGTCAAAAAGGATAAGTGGTAATGATTATATATTTGATTAACACATTGATTGGTGTTAATTGTTTTTTTTTTTCTTACGATGAAATACATTGTTCAGTTTCTTTTGATTGTCTGTGTTTTGATCTGGATTTGGTATGTAGATATAGTTTGTATGCTATTATGTGTAATGAACTTAAGTTAAATATTTGAGACATTTGTAATGGAAAATGTGTAATAATTTGAACATCCAATGTGTGTTTATCTTTCTTTTTTTTTTTTTTTTTGTTTGCTAAAAATGTATATATTATTCATATAAGGAATATGTGATTTTCATTCCACCATGGAAAATTTATCCTCACATTACTTCTCTTTAGTTACAATCTCTTAGTGGTCAGTTATTTTCTGAAGGCAAAACAGTATTCTTTTGGTTCGTACATGTCTTGAAACTAAAGATCATAGCGATCGAGTATTTGACCATAAAATAAACTTTCCCCAAGCATAATTTCGAAGTCGGTATAATTAGAATGACAATATACATATGTATATCAGATCGAATATAATTACAAAAAAAAAGGGAAAAGATTCACTTTGTTGGTATATTGATTTGTTGGTACTTAAAGTGATAATTGGCTTTGGTTGAGGAAATAAAATAGAGAAATAGGACCCATAGGGAAGAGAGGGAGCAATGCCATGTGCATATTCATGGGTCTCTTCATTTCATTACCTTTGTTTATCATTTCATTTCCCATTAAATTAATTAGGAATACTAACTTTTATACCAACTAAATTTATTAACAAGATTATCATAATTATACACAGATATAGAAAAAAAGAAAAACCACTAAAAATATGGAATTACGATGTATCCTTTATCACTTTCAGAAATGAATTACAAGTTTTTTACTGTAAAGAGATGTCACATGTATGATCTATGGTAGGTTTTCGATTTCAAAAACTTGTAGGTTAAAAAGAAGACATATATGCAATAAAATATAGATATATATATCGATGACATAATAGATAGTATAATAAAATATAGGGCCCTTTTGGATTAATAAAATATAGGGTCTCTCTTAGCAGTTGTTAATTAATTTGATTTAACGTTAAAGATAAGTTTAAGAATATAAAAAAATGAAAACTGATAGATGGCGAAGCACATGGAGAAGATGTTGAATTCCAAACGAACAAATCGAAGTTTTATGAAAGTATCGTTTCAACGTACATGCATGCATATATAGAGAGAATATGTTTACAAATGTATGTGTAAACGCAAACATTGTACAATTAGTTACGTTGAAATGTTATAAATTTCAGTATCTTAATATTTGTCTTCATTTCTTAGATCAGGCAGAAGCATGTTCGATGTTTGATGGGGTCAATAATTAATTTGACAAGTTGATGCTCTAGAGGATTCTTCACCAAACTAAAATTATCACATAATACATTATTTAAGAATAGATGGAGCAACATATAAAACTATAAACAATATTTAATAGTTGTTATAATCATGAAGAAGCATATGCAATAATTTATAGGAGAAGTTCCATGGACCCTCTCCCTCCACAAAACGATGTTGAATCTGCATCCCTTCTTTTTTTAAGTAACGCCAACTTATTAGTTTCCTTTTGTCTTTTTCATGGGTCGGTCCAAGTATTACAATATATGTCACTCGGCCCAACTCGGCATATTTGAATCAAATGTCGACTTTTTTGAGATTTTAAGCGATTCTGTTTTCTTTCTTTTGGTGTCCGAGTCTGTGGAGCTTTGTTTGATGTTCTGATTTTTTTTATAAACGATTCAATGGTTGGAGGTGGCTATTCTCTTACGAAATTTTCTTATTATGCATGTGATCAGATGGAAATTTTCAACACCAAACATGAAGTAATGCGATATATCAATTGAGTTAGCTTGAGCTCTGATTGAGTTTGCTCTCAGGAGGAGGAGCGACTATGAATCATCAGAGGAGCAAAATCAGAGAGTAAAACATAGGACTTGCAAAGACAAGCAAAATCAACATAGGACTTGCAAAGACAAGCAAAATCAACATAGGACTTGCAAAGACATGCAAAATCAGAGAGTAAATTAGACTGAACATAACATTGACAGGGGATTGATGGAGAACAAATTAGATAGAATGTGAAGACTGAAAGCAAAATAAACTTCTATGATAAAATGTGAAGACACTAAGCAAAGCAAAACATCTCTCTCAACTTAATGTACATTTTAGCTACTCTCTGGTGTTCATGGTTTAGTTAAAGACACTGATTTTAGCTTTCATTGGTGTTAAGGAATACCATCGAACCGAGTAGCATCAATCCTCTTCTTAAACCGATTTTTTTCTTTCAAACATATTTTGTCATGAACAATGTTTAATGGGACACAAAGAAACAATGACAATTTACAAAACAACAAAACCCTAAATCAGAAGCAAATGTGTTGATCAGATTCCACTGTAATCACCACGAGCGCCGTCGTTACCACCGCCGGCGGTAGAGAGCATTGGTCCATAAGGTGATTCCAGATCGTCACTCACAAGATCATCCGTTCCTCTTAACGCAGCGTGTAAGATCAAAACCAGAACACCAAATCCAACGGTGGTGAGAGCTCTAAGCCAAACTCCGGTGGTAACTAGCGACCCAATCGAAAGACCGATGAGAAGCACAGCCACGATTCCGTCGTCAATAGTGAATCCGAAGATCGTGAGTGGCTCCTCGCGAGCGAAATAGAGGAAGAACCAAGCTAAGCCAACGGCGATAAACGCGAGGATGGCGATGGGACGTGTGATTAGGGTTAGACCTATGAGGATTGAGAGAATGATACTGTAGTTGATGCGGAAGTGAGTCAGGTTCTGAGTTACGCGAGTTGTTGCATCGGCGATGGAGGAAGGGAAGCTGAAGGCGGAAAGATCGAGGAAATCGCCCCATGGACGAGCCGCTCCGGTAATTGATTGAGCTGTTTCCTTGATTCCGGTGATTACTTGATTTGCCATTGCGATTGGATCTCTCCTGGATTTCAGAAACCCTAGAAATTCTCAGGAACAAGAAAGACCTTTTGTTAAAGAAGAAGGAATACAAGTCAACACTGGCTAAGAGAGAGTTATAACTGAGAAAGGCCCAAGTCCATATACTTCAAGCCCATTTAGCTATAACCTATAGTTTTATCTTTAATTCGCAACAGATGAATCCATTTTTTACTTTTGTACAAATTGACTAACTCGAGTATCTAGTTTGTAGTGGGAAGATTTCTATCTTCTGCTATGTGATTTTAGATGTATAATCGTTGCTATTCTAAATAGAAGTGTTATGAGCAAATGCCTAGGAGGTTTCGTTCACAAATTATCATGTTCAAATAACAAGGAAAAAAACAACTCAAAGTTCCTAGTTAACACGACTACTTGCAAGTTCTAGGTTCGACTTCATTTACAGTTCATCAAATCAAAAGGAATTTAAACAAAATTGACAACAAAACTCCAAAATGATTTGATTTAATATCCTCTTGTAACATGATAATGAAAACGCAAGAGCTAGAGTCGAGAAAACATCTAAAAGTAATGTCATTATAAAGCTTCAAAAACACAAGAGATCCACATACTTAGATCCACATATAACGAACAAGATAACACATTCCCAAATAGAAGCTTTTCACTTAAGGGGAATGAATCTGGAAGAGTGGGTAGCACCAACACCAGGCCTACCGTGCTTGACCGGCTTGTATGAGATAGAGAACTCAGCCAGGTAGTGACCAATCATCTCAGGCTTGATCTCGACTTGGTTGAAAGTCTTACCATTGTAAACTCCAATGATGCTTCCAATCATCTCAGGGACAATGACCATGTTCCTCAAGTGGGTTCTCACAGGTTCTGGCTTCTCACCTTGTGGTGCCTCCCTTTTCTGTTAATCAACCAAATCGCAAGTTTGAAATCAGACACTTAGTCAGAAACACAGAATGTAACACTCATAAGTAGAGAAATGAAGCTATAGTACATACAGGATAGACAAATGATTCAGTAATTGATAAAGAAACTATTCACACTCAAACTCAGCATAAACATACGCAAGGCAATCCAGACAGAGGCTAATACAACAACAAGGTTATGAATCTTCCAGAATCTGAAACGAATCTACCAATCACTTAAACAATCTACATTTCGTTAATCAGAAACCAATCTTAAACAAGATTAGGGACCACAAACCTAAGAAACTTCCACTAAAACTTAGAGACCACAAACTAACCAAACATTCAAGACTACTTGACTAGAGAATAAGAAATGGGGAAATGAAATGATTACCGCTTTCCTCAGCTTCTTAATCAGAGCCATTGGCTTCCTCGTCAAACCTCTAGAGAACCTATGAACATTTTCAAACCAGTCAAAATGAAGTCAAACATCAATCACAGAATCTAAAATGAGACTCGTCTAGGGTTTAACATACCTTCTGCGAATACGAGAAGAGAAGAGCTTGACAAGATCATCAGTAGACATATCGAGAAGAGCATCGAGATCAACTCCTCTGAAGGCAAACTTCTTAAACGTCCTCTTCTTTGGCACTTCAGCAGCAGCAACCTGTGGTTCAATATCCGCCTACAGATTCACCATTCATAGTTTAGCATCGGAAAATGTAACCAGAGAACAAGATTCAGAGATTATTGAGACTGAAGAACTCACCATGATTGGATCTCAGCAAAAGGATAAAACCCTAAAACGGCTTAAGCTTGATAACTGTTGGCTGCTGAGGTCTTTGCAAGAGAAAAATAGAAGAATTTCGTTCGACTAAAATTATATATAGTGGATACTTGGGAACCCTAGAATTAGAGTTCTTATTTTGCTACTATTAGGGTCTGTATATTTTCTTGTTTCCAAATTCACCCTGAAACTTTTTGAATAAAAATATTAAACCCTATGTAATACAAACAAATTAAAGTACTTGATTAAGGACTTTGATTATGCTTTTCACTCAGAATCAAAACATTCTAACGTTAAAAAAAGTGTAAGAGATACGAGTAAAACATTAGACTGAGGAAAAAGGAAAAAAAATATATTCAACAAAATTGAGTTTTAATAACTTGAGATAACAAATATGTATTTTTAGAAAATATGACTTGAGTTTGTTAGATTGGAGTTGTAGACGGTAGAATCATATAGTAATATTTATCAAAGTTTTGGGTTGATTTGTGTGACTAATTGACTATGTGTCTCACAATTCGACTAGCTATATCACTCACAACGAAAACTCAAAAAAAAAGCATTTTATATCATTTTATTAACTTATTTAGGCTAATACAAAAAAACGACAGGACCTGACGGAAACAAATGACAAATTCAGGAAAATAAGAATTTCAAGGGTTTAGTTCACAAATATCATCAATTTTTTGGTTGGGCCTTTTCAATTCTCCTGATTGCATCGCTAAGTTCCTTCTGGACCTTGGGCCTCGATGGGACTAAAACGACATCATTCCAAACAGAACCGGGCTTGGATAATTGGCTCGGATCCGGGTAAAGCTCGTAAATGGATTCTGCATCCGGGTTAAGACTGCTGACCCGTTTTAGACACTCAAAATCCTCTGGATCCACCAGAAGCTTACTATTTCCGTCTTTCCACGCTATGAGCTGCTCCACCAACCAATTAGAAACAAAACACGTGTCAGTATCTCTCCGAAAACGACATCGTAATATATATATTAGATATTGACTTATTTACCCTTGGAGGACCACCAACAGCATTGGTACAATAAAGCCTAGCGTTATCGACAAGCTCACAGTACTTTGGGAATGCATTAGCGAATCTCTTGTGTGAATTCAATTGCGGTTTCACTCTCACTGCTCTCTTCACAATTAGAGCTCTCCTGTAATTGTTTTTTCAAACAAAATTTTGATTACAATTAGCATGATAACATCATCTAACAACGACTAATTAAAATTTCCGAAAATGTGATGAATTTTTTACCTTATGCCTCTTGCTACAGCGAGATAAGCGTCACAAACCACACCGACCAGCTCGATTCTGTAAGGTTTGAAGATTTTTTGTTTCCCGTTTTCTTTCGTTTCTTCTTCTTCTTCCCAATATTTTTCGGTTATTGTCCCATCTTCGGACACCTTGTAGCCTACGCCCATTCGATATTTTTGTTTGTGGACGTTTCTTGCCATTTCGATCATTTGTTCAACGAATGGCTCCCATGATAGTGTTCCATCCATTATCACATCACGTCCATCATTCAATGCTGTTACTAGTAGGGACGATGCAGCATCGGTTGATGATTGATGGACCTAAATATATAAGGAAATAAGACAGATAGTTTAGAATATATATACACAATCGAGGACGTCAGAACTAAGATTCACATACCAATTCAGCAGTTTGAAGCATATCATCGTGGTGACCTCTAGAGCTAAGAGCTCTATAAATAACATCCGTCTCCTTAAACGCATCCGCCTCTATCACCACCGCGTCTGCCTCTGCCTCCGACCAAAATGACCTACAAAATATTATTTTTGGTTATTTAAAATGGTTTGGAAACCATATATAACAGAAAATGCAAGCAAAAATAAGTTTTTTTACTCTTGGAAGATATCTTTGAGGACGGTGCTTTTTCCGGCACCCATTCCTCCGCCCATAAGGAGGAGGACGGGACTTCGTTTGCTGTGAGCCACCGGAGACATCACTTCCGTACAATGCGGCTCACCGCTTCCGCTGCCGATGGTTCTCATCTCTTTTACTAATGTCGAAATTACCCTTGTCACCTTCAAGTCTTTTGTCACTCTCTCAAACCGCTGTTTCCTACATTATTAACAAAGCCATATATTCTATAATCAAAACAAAAATCATTCGAGTTTACGACTTTTTTGAAATGGTCAACTTAATTAGTTCTACAATGTTTGTTAATTGTTATTGAATATTGATAATAATATATTAAAAAGTTATAATTAGTTGGATTAATCAATACAACAGCAATGAAATTGTACTTAAAACTAAAAAGCAATGACGATTACGGATTACGCAATTTGCATAAATAAATTCGTGGATAATAAAATATATAATTGATAATCTTACCAAAAAATATATATAATTGATAAATGTGATCATATAAAACTATATGGAACAATCATTCACCTTGTCGCTGCCATCACGAAATCTTTGAGTTTTGGTACTTTCTGATCCGATTCATCGCTTAAAGCCTGTCATTTTTGTGTCATATATAGGATAATATTTATTATTCATTTACATTATTGGAGATCGGATATGGTTATAGTAAATTGGCAACTCCACCTAGCAGACTACCAAATAAAAATACAACCATAGAAGAAAGTATGCAAAAATATATTGAATTTCATTATGAACTAAAGTACCTGAGAGATGAGGCTGGAAGATTGGGTCCAATTGAAAGCAAAATAAGTGAGAATGCATCTCTCAAATTCTTCAAGGAGATGAACATAGAGAGAATCAGCCTCAGCTTCATTCACCAAATACTCATACACATTCTCATCATATCCCTTTGTTTTCAACAAATATCCATTTGCTAATTTGCAGAGTTGTGGGTATTCATTTGGATCCTCAAATCCTAGCTGCCTTGCTGCATTTTTCACATATATTTACACAAAATTGTTCCAAAAGAAAATGCTTACGTAAAATAATGAAATTTTACAAAGGTCTCACTTTTTGGTTGTGGAAAGGTCTTTCTAGCATTTATCGATAAGAGTGGTACACATGTTCACATGTAAGAGTGTGCACATCTCTTATTCTCTTATCACCAAACATTAATGCTTACATACAATAAAATTTTTCCTTTTTATTTTTTTGGATATGCTTTTCCATTATCTCAATGAAAATAAGAATTTAGGGGGAAGAGTCCAAGAAATAGTAAATAATTTTTTTCCGGTCTGCCCAAGATATACTAAATCTATTTTCTATTATTATAATCCTTTGGTCGATCATGATTATTTTTCTATCTTCTTTACTTGAAATTATACGCAATCTTTTTGTTTGTTAATTAAATATAGCCAACTTCATTCTTGAAATGGATCGGAAGATGTAAGTATACTTACCAACATAGTGGGAGAATCTCTCGAGGTTTGATCGTCGACCTGAATCTTTCCTCTCAATCAAAGGGGATATTTTCACATCTTTATACCCCATGGAAGCACCTTGATCAAGTTTCCGGCGTCGAAGGAATGATTCTCCGGCGAAAGCAGCTGCTGCGGCGGCGGCAAGACCACCAAGAGAAGCTAGGAGGAGATGGGTGAGATCAACTGATTTACAACCACCATTAGAGACATCTCTTGTTTCTTCTATAGCAAACAAATCAACAAACTCAATAATAGAGAGAACTAAAAGAAGAATATTATTTATTATTTCAAATACGTTTGTTCTTTGTTTAGTGTGGTATAACGAAGAGAGATGCAGAGAGGAAGAGCATTACCTCCTAAGGGTTTCACCATTCTTTGGTTTGAGAAGAAGATTGAGACTGTGAGGGGAACCACTAACTCAACACAACATTGATTTCTACTTTTGATTTTTCTCTTCTCATCTAATGTGTCTGACTTTTTCTTGGAGGATTTCTCTTAAGAAGCATCTAGTGGGTTTTATTTAATGTTATAATATAGTACTAGCAACCACAGTATATATTACTATTATATGAAATTGATATCATCCGTGATGTAGTAATTTAATGATGACTGACTTATTGCGGATGGTGTGGTTTTTGGCCAAAATTGATACTAGTATAATAGTTGGGATGCTAAGTATAATTATATTTTGAACTAGAATATTTTGAAATTTGTTTTAGTATATAACTTGAAAGATGTATAATTGTATAGGCAACATGTGTTTATATTAACATTAAATTTGCAAATAATTACGGATCAAGATTTTAAACGTAGAGGAAATGTCTCTTGATTTCATTGTTATCTATGCATATCATCATCGTCTACAGATTAGTAACATAAACTAACAAAATAATATCAAAAGTGTTGATCAACATATCTCAACTAATATTCTTTTCGACAAAACTTAATTATCCCACCAAAAACTGCGTCATTTTTATTATATAACTTTTACTTTGAACCAAAGGTCATTTGTCGTGTAACTCGTGTAGCTCTGATTTGATAAAAAAGCTAATAAATATAACTATTGTTTTTTCTTTTTGGTTTTGGACCTTTTGGTCTATCAAATACTTTCATAGCAAAAATTTTTTACTACAGGGTGTCATATTTGTTCCTTTTCTCGATGGTTTTCAAGAATCAAATTGAAATTTAAAGTTCGTAAAAGTTCGGTTTTGATTTAGTATATTAGCAAAATTTATGCTTAATTTTAATATAAATAGATTATTATATTCACTCATTACATCATCATTCAAGAAATACTTCATCGGCTCCTTGTTAAATCCATCAAATATACCACTAAAATAAAAGATAATTTCTAAAAGAATGATTAAAGAAATGTAATCAAGCAGTAGAAATGTAATTATTGAAGTTGGCAGAGTTAGTGCGACGACCCAATAACCTGCCTCCACTAACCGTCTCAAGTACTGTCGAAGCCCTTTGGGCACTTGCAAAGCCCAACAATTGGAGGCTCACCCACTATACCGTTATTACGTAAACGAATTTTCCAACGTTCAAAAATAGTTTCCTTTTTTCCAATGGGGGCATTTATGTAATTTCGGCTCTCTCGGCCAAGTTTTCCTTTTCTCCAATGGGGTATTTAGGTAATTCAGCTCTCTCACAGCCAAGATTTCCTTTTTTCTCTTGGTTTCTCGTTTCCCATTCAACGTACATAATATTGTTTATAAATATAACTTCAGACTTTCAGAGTCAGAGATCCATCGACCATTCCATAGCACTTCTCTCTCTCTTTTTTCTCATATCAGAAAAACGTTCTTCGTTTTTTCTATTTCTCTCTTCTCTTTCTTCTGCCTAGATCAATCGTGAATTTTAGTCTACTCTTTCATTAAATTTTAACTGTGTTTGATTCATGAAACAAACACCAAAAATCGATATTCGTTTTTGGGGGATGACGATCAGAAGCAAAAGTAAAGGCTCTCGTAAAGAGATCAAACCAACTTGCGCCGACTACAACACTCTGTTCGAACAAAAGGTATTTTGCTTCCTTATCTGTTTCTGTATTTTTTTCTATATCTCGTTGGATTTTTTGACCAAATCAAATCATATATAGATACCTAATTCTTCTAGTCGATCGCAAAACAGAGACTTCTCATGTTTCAAAATGGTTTTCTTCTAATCAAATTTGAATTTAGGTCTTATATTAATTCTCTCTAATCCTAATCATATATTTCTCAAAGTTTTTGATTTTTGTTCGAGATTCCTAATCAATTCTTTCTTCTTTGTACGTAGATATGTTGTTGCAACTTCGGAGCGTGAGAGACACAGATTGCCCACACGACTTGCAGTTATTGAAACTTATTGGACACTACAAAGCCCAACAAAGAAAGAATTCCAGCCCATTACAAAGTTTGTCTCACTCTCGCCTATCCTATAGGATTCCTACAGTGACAATGCATCCCATTCGGCCACGTCAATTTATACAAGGTATTACTTTCTTCATTCTAATTTTTGTTTTTGCTTCTTTTTATTTTTCTTTAAGATTAGTTTAAATAATAAATAAGTTTGAAAAGATGAACTATTAATAAAAAAACAATTAAACTAATGATTTAAAAATAAAAATTATTTAAAATTTTAAATAATACACTTAAACTTTTAAAAAATAATACTTTTAACCAAAACTATGTTAATTTCACTATTACTTTTAAAAAATTAGTTTAAGTGTTAAATTTTAAAAACGTCGAAAACTAACCGCGCCTAGGCATCCTGTCCTTAGTTGGTCCGTAAGCTTTGGTGTTCGAAGTTCGGCATGTTTTCACGTAATATAGATTTAACACTTAAACTCATTTTTAAAAAAAATAATAGTGATTTTCACTAAAATTTAAAACAAATTTAAAACTTAAACTTGAAAATAATATTTTTAACCAAAACCATGTTAATTTCACTTTTACTTTTTAAAAATTAGTTTAAGTGTTAATTTTTAAAAACGTTGAAAAATAACCGCGCCTAGGCATCCTGTCCTTAGTTGATCCGTAAGCTTTGGTGTTCGAAGTTCGTCATGTTTTCACGTGATATAGATTTAACACGTAAACTCATTTTTAAAAAATAATAGTGATTTTGACTAAAATTTAAAACAAATTTAACACTTAAACTTTAAGAAAATAACGTTTTTAAAACTAAAACCATGTTAATTTCACTAAAATTTTTATAAATTAGTTTAAGTGTTAAATTTTAAACACGTCGAAAACTAACCGCGCCTAGACATACTGTCCTTAGTTGGTCCGTAAGTTTTGGTGTTCGAAGTTCGGCATGTTTTCACGTTATATAGATTTAACACTTAAACTCATTTTAAAAAAAATAATAGTGATTTTGACTAAAATTTTAAAAAAAATTCAACACTTAAACTTTAAGAAATAACGTTTTATAACTAAAACCATGTCAATTTTACTAAATTTTTTAAAAAATTAGTTTAAGTGTTAAATTTTAAACACGTCGAAAACTAACCGCGCCTAGGTATCCTGTCCTTAGTTGGTCCGTAAGCTTTGGTGTTCGAAGTTCGACATGTTTTCACGTGATATCTTTAACACTTAAAACTCATTTTTAAAAAATAATAGCGATTTTGACTAAAATTCAAAACAAATTTAACACTTCAAATTTATGAAAATAACGTTTTTTAAACTAAAACCATGTTAATTTAACTTAAAAAATTTAGAAATTAATTTAAGTGTTAAATTTTAAACACATCGAAAACTAACTGCGCCTAGGCATTCTGTACTTGGTTGGTCCGTAAGCTTTGGTGTTCGAAGTTCGGCATGTTTTCACGTGATATAGATTTAACACTTAAAACTCATTTTTTAAAAAATAATTGTGATTTTGACTAAAAATTTTCAAAAGTTTTTAACACTTAGCATCCCATCATTTGGTCGTAAGTCTTGAGGTGTCATAGTTCAACATGTTTTCACGTAATAAAATTCAACAAAAAAAATTTGAATTTTTTTTAAAATCATGACTGAGTGTTAAATTTAAAAGTGTCGAAAATTAATCAGACTTAACATTCCGTACTTTGGTCCGTAAATTTTGAAGTTTCATAAGTTTAACATGTTTTCTCCTAATAAAAATTTAACATATGACTATAGTTAAAAAGCAGAAATGAACAACTTTAAATAAGTGAAATGGGACAAACTTCTATAACCACACTCAAAAAGTAATCATAATACGAAACAAACAAAAACAATAGATACATTAACAATACTAAGTTACGACAAACTTGATCATTAGTTCATTACTAAACAAATGGATGGATATCTTGAAATGATCATCATAATCACAGTAACAGATAAGCCAAGAAAAAGAGTCATGTAAATTTGTTTGTATTATTAGAAAGGGAACAAAACAAATAGTAATGTAGTTTTATTAGCAATGATAAGAAAATGCTTGGACAAATTGCTAATCACCCAAATCATGATCGAGTAAAAGAAGGTTTGAATCAAATGTTGGAACGAGGAGCAAAGTACTTAGTATGACGACCTTGAGCAATGATCTTAGCAGTCTTCTTCTTCCTGAGCTCAACACTCACTACTGCTACAGCTTTTCCAACACGCAATGCCTTTGATTCTATCTCTATCTCCTCCTGTTTCCAATTATATCATCAATTTTGGTTTCTCAGGAAAGGAAAAAAAAGAAAAAAAACAAAGATTGAGAAGAAGTACATCGAGAAAAGCAGCATCAAGGTATGAAACATTGATCTCGACAGAAACTCCGGAATGTGAAACTCCGGCTGTGTAAATCACTGCTGATCCTATCAAATCCACCAGTGTCGCCGTTGCTCCTCCGTGTAAGAAATTCCCTGCGTTCTTTCCTCACCAACAACAACCCCAATTCAACAAAATTTTAGGGCAAAAGAATCGAAATTAGGCTCTAGGGATTTGTTGTTGTTACTTACCAGGAGATGAGGAGGGATTTTCATGGAGCAGACGATGCGACCAGGTTCGATGAGATCCACTTTGAGACCATTTGTTACGAATCGTTCGAGGAATCTGTGTGGTAATTTCGCCACTTTTGATTCCTTTGCCTTCTCGTCTTCATCTCCTTCCAGATACCTTTTCACCGATTCTAGATCCATTCTTTTCTTTTTCTTTTTTCGTATTGAGAATATAATAATGCGTTTTATAGTTTTCTTTTTTTTTCAATCCCAATTTTTCATATGATCAGATTTTCAAGGGCTCACATTTTTTTTGTAGTTGTACTCTTTCAAGAAAGAAGTGAACTAATCAAATTAGACGAAGAAAGATATTAGACAAGAAAAAAACACACATTTTATAATTAGACAAGATTATTTAACTATATTTTCTTTTGATTAAAAGATAAAGAAGAGTAATTCTATATTTATTTATAAAAACTTTTAAGGGACTTTCACGGAAAAGTTTGTCTGTCTATGCGAAAACTATCTTATAGTATATTTAAAAAAAAAAAAAATTCATTTGAAACGTAGAGGAAGACAAGAAGACAACTCTCTTTACACAAATTGTATTTTCATGCTTTTTTTTTTTCTCTTTTTTTTTTTTAATAAAAACATTACAAATCCCCTGATCAAATCACCTTTTGTCTCTCAATGACCATTCGATGGCCTGAACTCGGTGTAGCCATTGATACCAGACGCAAAACTTGGATTCGAAGAGTCCAAACCAAAGTATGTGTGATGGTAATTAGCTGCTGATGATGTTGCATCTTCCATCCTATTGTTCCTCATTGCTAGCAAAGACAAGTCCATGTTCGCCATTTGCCACTGTGTCGGCATCAATCCATCTGCACCATATGGTCCACGTCCCATGTAATGGAATCCTTCTTCTCCAAAACTCCTGGACCTGCCACCAGACAATAACTCACCTACATCACCCTGGTATGATGAGTACTGCCCGTTGAACACTTGGGGTTGTTGATTGAATAGGCTTCCGTTTAACACCATGTTGCTGCACTGTTCGTCTTCCAGCAGATCATTGATGATGTCCAGGTGAGGGAACTCATCCGTCATCAAGCTTTGTGCTTGTTGCTGCGCGATCTGAATGTCCATGTGGTTGAGCGATCTGTTGCTAGTAACGGCCGGTGAGTAAGGGTTGTTGTTCATGCCCATGTTTACAGAATTGGAACTTCTTCCTGTCCACAAGAGCCCATCTTGACTGTAAGGGAAGCTTGACTGATAAGATGATGTCGGTGTTTGCGAGTAAGATGATGATGGCAGTGTGGTTGGGACAACTCCGTGAGAGTTTTGGTGGTGGTTGAAACTAGATGATGAACCAAGAGAGTTACCAACTATGGCATGTTTATAGGAATGAGGAGTGTATGTTTGTTGGTTGTGTAGGGATGGATCAGGACCTAGACGACCAGCTGAGCTAACCGAACGAGGAAGGGATGTTGTTGCTTGAACCGAGGAGGAGACGGCGATTGGGGCGGGTTGCATCGCAGGGATTATTGGAGCACTGGAAGGCCTTGATATAGTGGTTGCTGCTGGTTGTTTTGGAGCAGATATTTTTTGCATATCAGCTCTGAGACCAGCAGTTTGCGACTGAACATCTGAAGAAACCACTACTTGACTTGATGAAGGTGGTCCAGTTGCCAGTACTTTCCTGCTTGGAATAGCGTCTGCGGTTGAAATGCTCTTTTTCTCCGGTTTCTTCTGAGTTAATGGTGATGGATTCTTGGCAACACTTCTGGGAGAAGAAAGTACAGCAGCGCTTTTCTCTTTAGGTCGATCCATGTCGATCGAGTTCACAATGGATTGAGCCACGTCGAGTTCCTGCAAAATGAATTTGAAAAACAGACAGCTGATTGTAAAATTCTGGACCTCTTTGCATGAAGCCAATAATTCAATCAGCGATCTTCTAATTTCAAACATTAAAAGCATGAATGACCGACCTTCCCAACAGGACTACGATTTCGAGAACCCTCTGCCTCCTGGACGTGGGAGACAACAACCCAATCAGATTCACCAACGTTGCTTGCCTCGGAAGAATAATTCTGACTCTTTGGGTCTGTCCCAAGTGTTGAAGGTTGATCATCTGTTTCACTCCCTAAACTGTGGGCATCAGATATTGCTTTTACTTGTTGATTCTTTCCTCTGCAAATCACAAGGTCAATCATTAAGGATTCAGAACTTGACTAGAAACAAGGGTAGCCAAAAACAAACTTACCTGTTCGGCGACTTCTGGTTTCGGAAATTCAAGGCATTCCCTTGGTAGGACCCATTGGTTACCCCCGACCGGATAGAATCATTAGAACAAGTTGAAGAACTATCATCCATAGTGGACTGACTCTTTCTTTCTGCAATTCCATTGGGTGTGCCTCTTCCTCTACTGCTCCCTCCTGATGATGGAGCATGAATTTCCAAGGCGTCTGTATCCCAATGAACAGAACTACTATCCCTATCTTCTAAATCAGGCTGAACAATGTCAGCCGAACCATCCACAGAATCAGATATGTCGGACACATCTCCAAGAGTATCAGGCTTTTCAGCTGAAGAGTGTGCTTTCTCCGTGACAGAATCCTTTTCTTCCTCATCGTTTTGGTTTTCCTCGAGATCCTTTTCATGTGATGCAAAGCTCACCTTTTCTTCCTTTCTTTTGTCCTTCCCTTTATTTTTGTTCCGTTTCTGTTTCGCCTATAAATGTTCAACAACCAAAGAAACTCCATCAACATCCAACAAGTTGTACAGGACAAGCAGAAGGAGTAGAAAGTATCACACCTGTTTCTTCTTAGATTTCTTCTCTCTCTCGGCTGCTCCTTTTTTGGCCCTCTGTTCGGTTTCTGCCAACCACGCTTCCTCTTCCTCACGAATAAGTTCTTCCTGCCTTTTTAGCGCGATAGCTTCTTGATATGCAACCTCGATTTTACTGCTGCAGTTCTCAGAGATTTTGAAGTATGATACATAAGCACATCAAAGAAGAACACAATGGCATACCGTATAGAAACATATTATGCTTTGTTACCTGAAGATATGGGCAAGAACAAATATCTCCACAGTTCGTCTACCCAACTCAGTTAAACGTCTCTCATCACGCTCGTAGGCTTCCTTGTTGACCTCTTCTCCATCATTGCCATCCTAGATTTGCATCGAAACACAAAAAACAAAATTTTCAATACAAGTAACTTTCTAGTGAATAATGCCACAAGTCCTCTGAAACGGAATAATGGATAAGAGGAACGACAAAAATGAAAATAAAAATGACTGAAGATACAATGACAGATAATGGAATTATAGCCAATATTATTTATATAACCAATGAAGCCGACCTTTGTACGGTTCTGGGGACCTTTCTCCTCTTTTGGAGGCAATGGCTCAAGAGCAGCTCTCTCTAGGAGTAACAGCACATCATCAACTAATACGAACATATCTTTTTCCACGGTCACGATCGGAGCTGGCAATTCCTTGGCATCTAACAGTCTTGGCCTATCTTTCGTGTTCATAGTTTGGCCTTCAAGAGCCTTCAACCCACTATACAAGGAATCCATCACCAAAGTGGATGTAACTTCTTTTTCTACGAAAAAGTGTTTTACAACTCCTTTTAGGATTACGTCCATTTTCTCTCTAGACATCCGACGCCTAGAGTTTTGGTCCATCCCTAACCAGAAAACACCGAAGCTGCAACCAAGAAATATAAAGTAAATATATTTTAGGCTCAACTTTCAGAGAGAACAATATCACAGGAAATATAAAAGTAAGGCAACAGTACTATACTAGATTGGTGTAAATCCTGGCCTTCAACAAGTGTGTTGAATTAAAGAAAAATTCCCACATCCTCTTTTAGGGATTTTCCATCTCAGCATCTCAACCTTGGCTATCAAGACTTGTAAATCAGAGATAGTGGAGAGCCACAGGCACCAAATAAAAATTTAAACTAAAGAAATTTATTTTGGACTCCAAACGGATGGTGGAAATTGGAAAACAATTTATTCTAACATAGCATGGTTTTCTCAAAAGAAGAGGTAATCACAGCTACTTCCTGCTCACATATCATCACAAATAGCAATGCACTATGATCCCATTTCTGAAATCTGGAGGAGTTAAAAGGTACAAGTTGAAATGTGAAATACCTTGTCCATCTTGCCTTGTCCTCTATCAACCTCCCGAGCTTGCTTCTTCTCTCTTCAACAAAACGTCGGCAATTTTGATCCACATTTGGCAAATACACCCTAATAAGTTCTCTCCTATAACTACAATCAAGGCAGCGAAATGGTCTGTCCACCCTCTCTCTGCAAGGACCAATTATAGGGATATTATCCACAATGCATAATCACTCAGTGATACCGAAGAAATGAAAGAATATAATCTTATCACATGTGTTTAATTGGAGAACATATGAACATGTGGAGCTATAAGAGAATGGCAGCATGGAAAAATGGACGGTGTGGTAAATATATAACTCATAGCTTTATATAGTGTCAATCCTGCATTACCTGATCACTTGAACTTGAGCCTCAATTGTAAGACAGCCAGAATCATCTATGAACCCGTCCTTTAACTTAGGTAACTCTATAAACTTTTTCCATCCCCAATCATGCTCTTTCTTCCAAAACCGGTGCAGTGTATCTGTAAGAAGTGAGTTCAGTTGTCTGTATATTTAAACGGGGCAAGTAAATTAAGACTCAAAAATTCACCTGAAAACTTCGTTTTCTTAAAATCTTTATTCAACACAGATATAGTAAACTGAGCGAAATGACTCCAGCCTGCCTCCAAGATAGCAAAAGAACCTACATGACCAAGTATCCAAAGAGAGAAAAGGGAGCATGCAGACCAATGAACAAAAATACTAACCTGGAAGAAGTTTATCATAGTTTGCAACACAGAGAAACAAGGAGAGATGATTACAAACATCACATCCTTGTGGATAAATTAAAATATACCTACACATTGAAGACAAATAGAACAAAACACAGCCTCAACAATCACATCCCAATTTTATCAAAAAAAAAAAAAAACAATTACATCCCAAGTTTTTATTGTGAGACAAGATATAAGGATGAGAAAGATAAACAAATGCCATGTACCATTTGTAGCCGCCAGCTTCAAAATTATCGCTACGATGCTCCCTTTTATTGATTTCTGAAAATTTTGGAATCTTCCAAGTATATTTTCCAAATAACTCAGAGGGTTTAAGGCCTGGGAAAAAATAATAAATTTCACATTAAACAGCTGAAACACACAACAAGAGTATAATAAAGTACAAAATCAAACAAAGAAGGAGAATACTACATAGTAGGATGCTATACAAAACTGAACTCCTCAACACAAACAGATAAAAATCTCTAGCACATTACTAGTATGTTTCCACCCCCAACAATTAGGCATGCATTCTTTTGAATCAAAGATGAAATAATATCAATTCATGGGAGAGAAAAAAGAACAAGAGATTCAACATCAGATACTAAAGCAAAGAGACATCTCTGGCTTGCAACATTAAGATGAAAATAAATATGTTAGTATCTACCCCAGACCATGAACACAAATCTCATACATAGAAGAAGGGAACTGCAGTGCGTCTGTAGCCAGTTTTTAGATATGATGAAAACTTAGCGAATAGAACGATTTAAAAATGAGAACCAAGTGCACGGACTGAATCATCGAGTCACATCTTTCCAAGAATTTGCACTTGTACAAAGTATGAAGAAACTCAGTTTGAAGTTAGCCACATCCAAGTTTTACCCACTGGGAAACCAAAGAGTAAAAAAACCTACCATAATCATCATCCTCATCGATATCCCAGTAGGAGGGCGATGTCGATGGAGTCCCGTTCTCTACTTGACCAGAAGACCGCCACTCAGAGAGTGCTTCTCCTGCTTGACTGTGTTGTCCATTAGAACTCTCCTCTACTGATCGTCCAACTCCAGAATCTTCATTAACAGTCTCTGCCATTCCCCAGTATGAATATTTTCGTCAAAGCTCTCTCTCCTTCAACTATCAAAAATTAACGATAAATTAGATCATGAATTCTGTAATCCCCACAATTATGTCTACCCAGAAAACAATATGCCAAGTCATGATCTGCCTCTCTCTCAAACTTTACCAAATTGAAGAAAAGGGTTCAATCACCAATTCATTTCTAGATTTTCTCAGTGAGCAAAACGAATTCATAGCTAAAATCGAAACCCTTTAAAACCCACATCAGATAAATCGATGGGCAATAAACCCTAAATTCCAATCTTCAAAATTAGATTGGTGAAATTAAAAAAAAAAAAATCAGCCGAAAAATTAGAGGGCGGTGAAACAATAAATCATTTATATCAGCTACAATCTCCAGAGAAACATCATAATTTCATCAAGACATGGGAAACAAAACAAAGCCCAGATGAAAATCAACGATCGGGAAAAAAATCAAAATCGGTCTGGTATCCAAATTAAAGACTGTAATCGGAACCAAAGCCTCGCAAAATCCGAAGAACAAGGGAGAGAGATATAGAAGCTTATTGGTTGTAGATCGAAGCGAACCTGAGATGGTGGAAGAAAGAGCAAAGAGAAGCTAATTCGTTGAATGGGTTAATGGCAGCTCTTAAGAGATTCTACAGAGAGAGAACAAACCAAAAAAGACGACGGAGGACAAGAAAGAGAGATAAATAGAGAGACGTCACACGAATAACCTCAATGTTAAAAAAAAAACCACAGAAAAAAAAGTTAACTTAATTACTCGTTATAAGAAATTTAAACTTAATTAGACTTGTCAATATAATTTGATTCGTGTTCTCTATTTCACCACTCGTCCAATCGTAAATTCGTAATAGTCAAAAAAAAATTAGCAGTATATTATGAGATCATAATTTTTCAAATCTCATTTTGTATCTGGATATAAAGTTCTAAACTGTGTAATTGTGTATACATATATCTGGATCTGAAATCAATAAATTTTTAAGCTAATCTAAAATGTCACAATATTTGACAAAGGAGTTGTTATATCACAAATCTGTCGTTAATCTAGGTAGTTTTTTTTTTTGCTTTAAACATTCAACGACATCGATGAGACAACAAATAAATAAAAAAGGAACATACTCCGACACATTTTTTAACTTCGAATTCTGTTATCCCCAAGCAAGTAACAAGTCTGAATCATACCTTTTGCCTACATGATAGGTTAAACCTAGTTAACTTTCAGGTTTTTTACAACCAAACGACAACGTTTTAGTTCTCTCTCTATTAATCTCATCAAAGCCCCTACTGTTTTTACAAATTCTCACATTCCACCCCTTATCTCTCTTTTGCACTACATTACCCTCCCCACTTCTTCACGCCAATGATCACTTGTAGAAGGAGGTGTTGAAGTTCTAAACGTTTCTCCAGAATATCCACCGCCTCGTGACATTATCGATCGCCGGAGTTGAAACCGGAAAACAACCGAGAGGCTTTTCACCAAACCTAGACAGTCCTCAACAACCCTAATATTTCCTTGCATATACTGTCACAAAAATAGATAAAGAGTTAAACCAATTCATTAGCGCATTTACATACAAAACAAAAATGTCCAACCTTTACAATGTTTTCGCAGACGTTGAGACTTGGAATCTCCTCCTCCTCCTCCAGGTTACTACTACTACTACTACTCTCTTCACCTTCTGCAGCTACCTCCAACCCGAATCTAACTTCAATGTATTCTTTAGAATAGCATTGTCGCCAAACCGCTTCTTGAATATCTTTCCTCTCTGATACTTCTGAGTTTCCGCTTTCCGGAAAAACCCAGAAAGTCACATTCCCTTTGATCTTTCGGTTCATTAAAACCCCAAGCATATGCAAGATCACTTGATATACCTTCCTATCATCGCCTACGATGTAATCAGGCAATGCTCTATAAATTTCAGTTGAGAAACCAAAACCATTTGCCATGCATAAACACCTCGCCACACAAGCCGACTCCTTCACAACCGAATGCAAACTGAAATAGTGTGTCTCTGCAGCGCGGATTGTCCCATTGTTAATATCTCCGGCGTTGTTTACAAGCTGTACAAGTAACTCGCTGGTTCTCCTCATCGCATCAACGATAACAGTCTGGTTCTCGGGTAATTTCCCGTCCTGAAGTATCAAAGGAAGCAACCCGAGAATGGACCGCACAGGACGCCTCATTGCATCGCTCATCATCTGCTCGAACGCAGCCTTCGCTTGATTAGCTCTCAGCGCGTTTTCCCTTGCAACCTGAAGCGCTCGGTTCTGTTCCGCGAGTTTCTCTCTCATGAGCTGAGATTCTTCAAGAATCACGGCGTGAGAGATCGCAACCGCCACTTGATCAGCCACGACCTTAACAATCTCAAGCTCTTGATAAGTCCAACCCTGCGGCTGTCTCAATGGAAGCACACACACCAAGATTGCATAACACATGTGAATCGCCTCAGGTGTCCCGCCTTTAAAGTTACAAACCCGAAGCATCGGTACTCTTATCCCAACCGTAGGACCTGGCTTGCCTCGGCTAGTCACTGAGGCAAGCACAGAACCAGCACTCAACATATTCACCTCTTCGCTTCTCTTAATCCTCACAACATCAGACTCAGTAATAGGTATCGAAAACCCAGCATAACCACTCACATTCTCATTCTCATTCTCATCATCAATCCTCGGTCTTAACTCGTGCGTAAGATTCATCTCCGTCTTGATCTCATTCGGGATCCAAACCGCACAGTTCTTGAGCCCAAGAGTCTTGGACAACTCCACAAGGGTAGTGTATAGAATGGTGTGTCGATCAAGAGACGTCCTAATCTTGGTAGTGAGCATACGAACATGCAAACTCGTCTCAGTCTGCTTCATAATGATCCCAACCTCACGATCAAGCTCTCTGGTCTTCTTACTCAACATAAACTCACGAACCTTAGCCTTAAGAAGCAATGGTAAGAGAGTGACTAACGAGAGCGCCGTGAGAAAAGAGACGATCCCAGTCAACATCTTGAAGACAGTGACAGCTGTCATGACCCAAGCCCAGTGAGGACCGTAGGTGAAACCAGCGAGCAAATGGGTCATACCACAGAGAACAATGAAGGCTATAAACTCGCAGACGACCCAATTGTAAGGTGAAGGCACATTGGTGCGGCTCACGAAGTAGAGGAGCTCGATTGGGATCGAGAAATAAGCGACTGCGATAAGAAAGTCGCCGACTTTTTGCGAGTCGAGGATTGTCTCGTAGCTAAAGAGACTGTCTTCGTCGTCGCAGTTGCATAACGACAAGCTACCGTCGTCCTCTGCGGCGGTGGTGACGACGGAGCCGATTAAGAAGAAGAAGAACACAAGCCATTGGACTAACAATGTCTTTAACATCGATTACTGTTTCCTGAGTAAAAATTAAAAAGGTGAGCTTTTTATTCATACCCAGAATTCGAATTCGAGATTTTTCAATGGAATACGCGTAAAGTTTGGATTTTTTCCCTTTTAATTACCCAGAATTGTTCCATTACCTATGAACATAGGGAAAATCAAAATCAGAAAGATTCAAAATTCAAAACTTGTTCAATGAGAGTAAAGTTAATGTCTTTGAGATTATAAATCTTTTTCACAACAAGGACCAAATTGATTATTTATTTTTCTTTCACCAACTAATATCTTCTAATCCTCACAAAATCTGCAGAAGTTGCAAAAACATATGTAATCGAGAAAATCCAAAATCAAGATGAGAAAAATAGGGACATTTAAACATCAATTTTCCATCTCACATTTGAGAAATCCTTTACCTGCAAAGTAGTGATCAGCCCCAGAAAACGTAAAGCTGAATAGAAGAAGTCTCAACGATTGTCGAAGTCTTTGAATCTCTCTCCCTCTATCTCACGAAACTCACCAGAATGTAGAGAGAGAGAGGTTAGGGAAGTTAATGTGTGAGCAGAGTCTCTCTTTCTCTCTCTATCTCTTTCTCTGTGACTGCTGCGAGAGAGAGAGAGAGTAAATTTACGTTTTGGTGAGAGGGAGAGAGAGAGGAATTGGGGGGAGACTGAAGAAGGAAAGAGGGTGGGCCCCAGAAACGGTACATGAAGAGAACATAGACGCTTTTCGTTTGGAACACAACACGAGCACGACATCTTCTTCTTATTGACCTACGTGGACTCTTACCAAATTCAATTTTTGAGGATTCTTCCTCTTCTTTTTCTAATCTTTCTTTTTCAGGTTTATTAATCACTATATTATCAAGATTTATGACTCTTAATACCTATCCTTAACTTTATTTTGGTTTTGGATGACAAATCATAACCTATAAAAAAAATATACATTATATATATATATATATATTTATTAATGGATTAAATAAATGCAGTATTTTTTTATGTCAAAAATTAGATAATTATATTAAAGAAATATTTTATTTGTATTATGGATTACATGGATTTTTTTTAAAAAAAGTGAATTTGATTAAAATATCAATATACTGTGGGATCAGAGTGTTTAATGTCAATATAATAATTTTATTATATTTTCTTAATATAATAATTTTATTAATCATATAATAATTTTCATTGTCAATGATTGATTACATGACTAAATAGGGAGTCTAAGTTTATATTGAAAGTTTGAAAAAAAAAATCGCATTAAACAATGATAACTACTAGACTATGAAAGTATGAAGTCTAACTTCTCACTAAATATATTTCTAAAAAGTAAAAATTAGTATTAAATTAAACGGTACAATTTGCGGCTGAAATTATTATATAATTAGTTCAGTTTTCGTTGATTTCGTTTCTAACACGTTATATTGACCTACCTTGCTACTTAGACATGATTTAGTTAAACACTCCATCTTTGTTTTTCTATTCAATTATAACATACCGAATCAATTTTTTTATGGGCCTACCGCAACTTAACTCTTATCAGAAAATGGAGTCTTAAGTGCAAGAGCATCTCTTTGGATCCAAAATATCACTATATTATCGTGGTACTAATTTTTCTTGGCACTTTTTATCATTTAATTGGTAATGTTTCACTTTCAAGAAATCAATATGATCAACCACTAACTTTTTTTGTAAAACCGCAAATTTAGGAAAATATTTGTATCCATATGATGATATGAATACACATGCAAATCCGTACGTATATTTTGATTGCCCTATTAAAAATTACAAATGGACTCACTAGGAATATTTTATGTTCAACGTAAATCCCGATATAATTATTGTAAGTAAAACTTCAACAACGGAAGCACCAGTGGTCTAGTGGTAGAATAGTACCCTGCCACGGTACAGACCCGGGTTCGATTCCCGGCTGGTGCAGTTTTTTTTTTCCTGATGAAAAAGGTCTTTTACATCTGAAATTTCTTTTTTGAATCCAATGCTATTATTGGCCACGTGTCGAGTGATGAACACGTGCTGATTCCTTTCCTTTTCTGTCCACATTCTCGTCTCTAATTCAAAACAAATGTCTGGTCCTTTTAAAAAAAACCCTTGTAAGAATGCATGCATCAGAAAACTTTTATCAAAGAGATAGAAATAGTGCATGCACCTTTGCCACTTATTAAGCCAATACATATGGCAATCAAAACAGATGTACATAGAATCATTTTTTTTCTTTTTGCATGAGAGACGACCACATATATAATCTTTTGTTTATAAAGGCGATCCAGTACAAGACTAGCTAGTGTTTGATATACGTTTCATTTATACAGCAAGAGCGGGACTGATTGTTTAATTTAGATACGGAAAATCATCAAATTGATTAAAGTTTTGGTGATTTGATTTACTTTTTTAGTCATATGATTTGACCAATTAATTTCATATACCTCTTGTTTCAGGTGACATAAAAAAGTCGTATACGTCTTTAAAAATATAGTATTTTCATGTGTATAAAACTTGTATCCTTGATCCAATCGCGTTTTTTTTGGGATCAGCTTTCTTTAGTTACGCCTTCCTTAGAATATACGAGTCTCTTGAGTACTCTTGAATATGAACTGTTATCGACAGTACGTTTCAGCAAATCTCCGTTTGTTTTTCACTAATAACGTAATCGAACTTTCATCTTTCTAAAAAAAAATTAAAAAAATTTAAAAAAAACTTTCACCTTTCTGTGTCAGAACTCAGAAAGCTTAGAACAGTCACTCTCTGTCTCATTTATTCTTCGAGCTTGGCAGTTAACGTATTAAGTATTATCGGATGTTTAAACACTAAAACAGCCCAACAACTCCAAGCCTTTTAGTAAACCGGATGATGTAACTATACCAAGATAAACCGAACTCACACTCGCAATATATCTACGGTACCAACTTATCTTGTAAAACATTTGATGTGACAGTTTTGCAAAATTAAGTAAGAAAAATATTTCAAAACAAACATTAACTGTTTTCTTGATTTATAGTACACTTGTTTTACTTTAGTTACAAAAATTTATTTTTTTACGTTTTATTTTGTCACCAATGGATGCTATATTTAGATTTAGCAATCGATTTTGTATTTTTTTTGGTCATCTATACAAAGACATACTGATATGATCGCATCTACAATTTTGTAAGAAAAACATTTATAAAAGAAATCAAAATTACTTGCCGAAATTTGTACTAAAATTTATATTTTGTATTGCACATAAATTATACGGCGATCTTATTCTTAAGTGTCTTCAAAATTACACAGTATACGAAATAATACAGTATATATATTATGTAACTAGTTTATAATTCATGGTTACATGAAGGAAATATAACAACATCAAACCCAACATACATATTGCACAAAGATGATACATAAGAGTAGTATGTTAATTAAAATAAAATATGCTTTTTTATCCATATGATCGGCATATTAAAAGCATGCAAATATTTATGTATTTGTGTGCTAGACCTAATTTTTAAGAGACCGTTAATTTGGCCATCCAAACGGCTGATTCGATGACGGCGCTGGCTGATAGTAAAACGGAGCCGCCGGGTGCTGCCACTTCTTGAAAACTGGCGGCTTCTCCGCCTCTTTTCCCCACCGTTGCTCCTCCCTCTTCATTACCGCCGGTGGCTTCTGTGGCGGCGACTCCGTAGGTGATAGAAAAGGAATAGCCACTTTCCAATTCGCTTCGGAAGGGTTTATCTTAAGAGGCGGTGGAGCCCGCCGCTGCAGCCTACTCGACTTTCGGTTCCCGCTGCCGGAAACGTTTCTCGCCGTGGACGACATAGCCGGAGTTTCTTGTTGTATATTTTTGTTAATATTTATGATTGAGTACTATGCGTGTGTATGCATGTATATATAGATAAGGGAGTGTTCAAGACTCAAGAGTGTGTGCTTGGCTTGTGTTTTGGTTAAACGGTCGAATCTTTTAATTATTTGCTTTTTTCTTTTCTTGTTCAAGTGTTTTTCCTTTTGACTAGTATAGACTAAACTACTAAATTATAAGTTTGACTATATTCTCTCTTTTGTGAGGGACTATAATAAGTACTCTTTTTCCTCTTTTAATTTTTGTTTTATGAAACTGTTTTCTTTTAGTGCTTAAAGATTATCAAGAAATGTAAACCTCGTCAGTTTTGCTAATTAACCCAAAAATTATAGGTTTCGATCCATTGTTTCTCTACTTAGTCTTTGACAAGACATTTTGTAAATCCATGATGCATATTTGTTCTGCTTATATTTAACCTTGATTACAATCGAAAGAATCAGTTGTATTCAACCAGTTATTCTGGTAACTACAGTTCAGATAATTAAAATAAAGGAAAATTTACCAAATTAAAAAAAATTGTTTTTACCAGAATATAAAATTACAAAAAAATCCAAATTTTGAATATATGAGTTGTTTTCAAACAAAATTTTTTTAATTAAATCTTGGTCTTTTATCTATTTGTTCTAAAAACATATACTTATTAGTCATAAATCTATGTTTTAAAAAGCAAAAGAATGATAAAAACGATATGAACTTTAGACTAAGGAGATAATATAACTTTTTTTCCCTATACCAACTTTAGACTAACCAACACCTTGATTACCTATTTATTTTATTGAGAGATTTTGTGTGCCACATATAATGGAAAGAATCATATTCTAGTTTAAAACAAAAAGCAATATGTCTTTGAATAATTAATCAATCTCTTATTATAATTATCACAAAAATAATCAGCGGTTTAGGTTCTCTAGAAATAAACCTTTATTCAAAACTGAAGTCAGATACGACAAATTTATTGATGTGATATCGTATTATTTTACGAATATTAAGCTTGTCCATTGGATTTCAACCGTAATATTAAAAGGAGTATGTATATACATTAAAATTTAAAATTGACATTCTTGTAAACTACCTCTGTTTAATTAAAGTTTAACGGTTGGAACGGACTAACCTGTTTGCAAGACAATTTTTAACCATGGTTATGAATTTTTTTTGACAAAAAAATCATACATATACAATATATACAATATATATATATATATATTTTTTCCTTTTCTACTAGCATGATAAATAATAATTGCAGGTATCCGATAAGCTTATTGGACAGCATAAACCTAGATATTAAAAAATAGGTTTTAAATAAAATAATTATTTCTTTTCGTCCAAAAAAGTAACAACTGTTATATCTATTTTACAACAAGAAAAAATGAAACATATCGAATCATACCAACGGTTCTAACCGATGACCCCAAAAAAAACATATCTTCTCGACCCAATTTAAAAAATCACTGAAAAGAATTGTATGATTCAACAAAAGAAAACTCTTAAATCCCAAAATTAAATAAGGACAAGGATCATGTCTTTGCGGTATTTTGAAAGTAAGAAGCTAAGAGGGTTGATGCAAAGATGGCACAGTTCACGTTTGACTCAATAGGTGGCTTTTGCTCTGTTTTGCTTTACGTTTTCTCTGCTCTGTTTTTTCCACACATGTTTGGTTCTGATTTCTTTCATTTGATGTAAATAACTCTGATCCTTTTTAATTAATTTCACATTTCATCAAAAAAAAAAAATTAAATAAAAACTAATTGATAAAATACAAAATGTGGCTAATTCTAGAATCCTACAATAGATAAGGAACCAAAAGTTGTGAGGAAGAAAAATAAAGGTAGTGCTTGGTGACATCAGAAGCTCTTCTAAAGCCTGACTTTGTGTGTGGAAGAAATTAGAAGAACTCTAAGCAGCTTTAGGCTTGGGAGTCCTCTTCTTCAGAATCCTCTTGGAAGTCGTCGTCGAATTCTTCATTCCGATAAAAAATAGCAAAGCCCCGAGAAGTGCAACGCTCTGCGTGATAATACATTGATGCAAAAGAATGAGACTCATCGAAGAAGATTTTGGTTTTCAGAAGAGGCCATAAAGGAACATTCTTTTTTCAGAGTAGGTTCAGCTCGAAGAACAAGAACCCGTCTCACGGCAAAAGCAAGCCAAAACGAGTAAATGAAGAAAGGTGTTAAGACAAACCTGTAAGAATTCAGTCAATAGAAGAGAGAATTGGCGGTCCTCGGGTCCGTAGTTGTAGAAATCATATAAAATGGGACTGACAACCACCAAGTAGACAGCCTAAGAAACAAAGAATTGAGATCCAAAGTCAATACAACAACTAAGCTTTGAATACTTTAAACAAAAGTGAAGAAATCCTAACCAGAAGATAGGCACCAAAGATGTTGCCGATAACAAAGAGTAAGCCTCCGAGTCCTTTCAGAGCAATAATAGTCCAGACGACTTGTTTCACCTGTTAAAATTAGTTTTCCAAGTCAGTCGAAACATAAATATAGACAGCATAAGAGACATGAAGACAAGGAATCAAGGCAATAAGATAAGAGCAATGGGCATACCTCTAAGTTGGGCAATGCTACTCCAAATATGGAAGAGAGATGTGCTTTGGTCAGATCAAGCTTTGGAGCTAACTCTGTAGCTGCTGGACCACCGTCAGTTCCAAAGTCATTGAACCTAATAAGAAGTCCAGAGATGCATAGTTCGGATGTCGTAAGATAATCGACAAGGGGATACTAAAAAGGCCTCTACACATATGACTAGTGAACTTTCAAGCATACAGATGTGTCTACAATTCAGATAGCTAAAAGGTGTTTTTTTTCAGGATGGAATTGAACTAACAGAACCTACACAACATTCAACAGTATCTCACTTCACCATATATCAGACCCGAATAGTGAAAAAACAGACCCTTGGTCCTCTAAGTAGATAGAGATCATATGAACAAAAGGGCTATTATAAGACTCAAAATCAGAGATACTACAAAGTCAATCCAACTCTTGTCCTTAGAACTTTAAAATCAGAGAGGAAAACTTCAATGCGTCCTCAAAAGCAGTGAGGGATAAATAACATCAATAATGAGGAAGAGAATCACTAGATTGCTGAAACAAGAGAAGAGATCTGGATCGTCACACATAAAGAAGTAAAAATCAAGCTAGGGATTATTAGAGAAGCCCTAGATGTGGCTTAGACCAAATCAAACAGTTATAGCGGAAGGTTCTCAATCAAATCGGATCTAGCAAGATAGAATTTCGTCGAACCCTAATCGCAAATAACCGGAGAAAACGAGAGAAGAAGAGATGAGGAGGGAATTGAAAGAAGAAAAGACTCACATTTGCCAAGCGGAGAGGATGAATAAAGAAGCGAAGAGAACTCTTCCAAGAAAAGAGAAGAAACCCATTTGCTCGTTCTGGTCTCTAGGTGTCGCAGGCGCTCTGGTTTGTCGTCGGAAAGACGGGATCCTTTCTCGGTGCGAAGCTTAAAGTTCGGTTCCTCTGCTTTGTCTTTTTTTTTTCTGGGACAAAAAGCTTAAAGGTGGAAAACCAAAGATAAAACCTAAACCGAATTTAACCGAAGTATCTAAATTAAAACTCTTAACCGAAAGAATATATTAAACAAATGAAACCAATTTTAGTTTGTGTTGGTAGGTATGAGAACATCTTTTTTGAGTTCTTTTCAAATAACCGAGATTCCGAGCCCATATACTAGTTCATAAAACTTGTAACCCGTTGAATACTTTGATATTTGAAATATTTTTAGTAGCTAAGATTGAATTACAGTTGAAAGACTCGAATCTTGATCTTCTTGACCCCAAGATAGTATCGTTCGCATCACCATAATTTGGTTTAGTCGCTTAGAATTTATTTATCTCGATGTGAATGTTTGTTGTTATTACATATGTTTTGACCAAAGAAAAAAACATGCTGATGACATAAGTTCCAGTCACGGTTAGCAAAACCGGACATACGTCATCAACGGTCATTGACAGTCCCACAGACCAAGCCCAAACTTGTCTACATCTGTCTAGTTTATCTTTTACTGGGACAATAGATAAACAGAATCCATATGTTTCTGGATAACGTTCCTCTTCTTCTTGTATACATATGAAGCAGCCTTTTGTGATGAAATCTTTAAAATAGGTTGAAGAAACATAAATGGCGACCAAAGAATTCGACTCTTACAGTGAGCGCAAAGCTTTCGACGATAGGAAAACAGGTGTGAAAGGTCTTGTTGATGCTCACATCACTGAGATTCCTCGAATCTTCCGTCTCCCTCAAGGTGTCTTATCCGACAAGAAACCTTCTGTCTCTGCCTCGGATTTTGCAATCCCTATCATCGACTTTGAAGGCCTCCACGTCTCGCGTGAAGGTATCGTCGAGAAGATCAAAGACGCTGCATCGAATTGGGGGTTCTTCCAGGTGATTAATCATGGTGTTCCTTTAAACGTTCTTGAAGAGATTCAAGAAGGAGTTCGTAGGTTTCATGAAGAAGATCCTGAGGTTAAGAAAACTTACTTCACCCGTGATGCCGCTAAAAGATTTGTCTACAATAGTAACTTCGATCTCTACAGTTCTTCTTCATGTGTTAACTGGAGAGACTCGTTCGCTTGTTACATGGCTCCTGATCCTCCAAACCCTGAGGAACTCCCAGTGGCTTGCAGGTACATAACTTCGATTTTTCATTGAGAAATCTTATGAACCGTTGAGTGATCTTATGAAATATTGGCTCAGGGATGCTATGATCGAATACTCAAAGCATATGATGAGATTAGGTGATTTGATCTTTGAGCTTCTCTCAGAAGCTCTTGGTTTGAGATCTGATAAGCTTAAGAGCATGGATTGCATGAAGGGTTTGCTTTTGATCTGCCATTATTATCCTCCATGTCCACAACCTGATCTAACTATCGGCACAAATAATCATTCGGACAACTCCTTCCTCACAATTCTTCTTCAGGACCAAATCGGTGGTCTTCAAATTCATCATCAGGACTGTTGGGTCGATGTCTCTCCTATTCCAGGGGCTCTAGTCATCAACATGGGAGATTTCTTGCAGGTAAGGCAATTATTCGTTGATCCTTTACTCTCAACTTAAAAAGTATAACATACAATGTTAAAAAACTGAGATTACCTTATGATATGCAGCTAATAACGAATGACAAGTTCAGAAGTGTGGAGCATAGGGTGCTAGCGAACAGGGCAGCTACACCGAGGATATCAGTAGCGAGCTTTTTCAGCACAAGTATGCTTCCGAATTCAACTGTTTACGGACCAATCAAAGAGATTCTCTCTGAAGAAAACCCTCAAAAATACAGAGTCATCGACTTAAAAGAATACACAGAGGGGTACTTCAAGAAAGGCCTCGATGGAACATCGTATCTGTCGCATTACAAGATATGAAAAAGAACACTTGAAAGAGTAAATCATCTCAAGTTTATTGTAATATATTGGTGTGTTTCATGCATCTATTGGGTCAGTCCTTGTCCACTTGTCAGTTCTTGACTCTGCAAATAGCTAAACCTTTTGTACCAAAAACGAAAAGAACAAAGAAGGTTGTGGTATGTGTCTATCAGTCTATGTATTATTTTAGTGAATGCATTAAATTGGGTATAAAGGTTCAAACTTGATCAGCATCTTATCAATCACAGTTTCTTGACTCAATTGAAACTAGCCATACCAAAAGAAAGAATTATATACAAGCTAAACTAGAATCAATAACCAAACTAAACCAGTAGCAAATGTTATTGAACCAAACAAAACCGATCAAAGATTGCTTGTTGTAGCCAAGAAGCCACCTGCAACCATTCTTTACTTAGCTCGCAGAAAACTGATCAATAATATCTTCACGTTCTGAGGATCCACGCCGGTTCGATTGCAGAGACCGATGTAAGGATTTGGTAATTCCTACGCCGGAGAATCCTCGGGCTCTGTTCCTAATTTGTCCGATTTGACACGGACCTTAAACGCGCGTCGGCAACGACAAGGATTTATTTGGGCCTTTATGCTTTTAAGCCTTTTGGGCCTCACAGGTTATATTGAAAGTGTTGAAAATTAAAAATTTTAGAAAACTACCAACAGCTGGTGTGACTTCTTTGTTCCCTTGTAACACGTTTAGTGAAATTGAAAAACACTATTGATGTAACTCATCAACATCAACTGCTTTGACTGAACATACATATCTTTCTCTTCTACTTCACCCTCCAAAATAATTTTAAATTTTCACATCAGAAAATAACAAATACAAAAATCAATAAATGAAGAAGAGGAAATACACAATTAGGGTTCCAAATAAACAGGTATTATTGAGGAACTTTTAGAAGTTCTACTACTTCCAAAAGAGAAGAAACATCTTTTCATCACTCTGTTATTACCACCACCACTACTGCTACTATCTTCACCGTCTCTAGCTACCGGAATCTGCCTGTTTCTCCGGCTGATTTCCTCTTGGACCGCCAAGTACAGCTGACGATCCACTGATGAATCCATCGAGATCGATCTTCTTATGGGCTGAATTTCACCAAAATGACCATCTTTGCCTCGAGTATCGATACATTCGTCTCCCATACTCGTCATTTTGTGAAATTTGCTCTCTTTCTTATGCATTCCGCGATTATCAAACTTTCTAGGCAAAGGACTCATCGATTTCGGGCTGTTTTCAGTCGAGACCTGGTTCGAGGCTACCCTTTCTTGTTCCGTAAGGAAGTCTCTGTTTCTCACGCTTCCCCTGTTATTACCATTACTGGCCCCAAGCTCGATCACGACGAAGTCATCATCGCTTCCAAGAACCAGGCCGGGTTCAAGATTCCTGTTCCGTGAATGAGGGCTATTCTCCGGGGAAGAGATTAGGTCAAGAGAGAAACTTGCGTCGCAAGAAACGCTGGTTCTGCACAATGGACAATTAGCGTTCCCCTGAAGCCAAATATCAATGCAATCAATGTGAAACACGTGGCAACAGTTGGGAATAATCCTTAGCTTCTCGTCTTCTTGAAACTCGTTTAAGCAAACAGAGCATTCTTGAGAGCTCTTAGTCTGATCGTCTTCTCCTGCAACAACGTCTCTCTTCTTGAATTTAAAGACTGGGATAGCTCTAATGGCGGATTCGTCGAGTCCTCTGTTTACTTCATGAGGAGAGTAAATCATTAGAGGGTTTTGGTCACTGCTTCGTCTGCGGCGGCGGAAGATGTCGATTTGGTGCCAATTAAGACAGCATTTGATCACGAAGATGTAGTAACTTACAAGCAAGAACGCAGTGGCTAAGATTCCAATCACTGCGATGGCGATAATGGGGAAATTCGTGCCGGATGAGCTTGTTCGTGGGAAAATAGGACTTGTGAACGTCGTCGATGGCGGAGGCGGCGGCGGCGGAAAAACCAGATTAGTAAAAGGGTTACGACGGTCTGTTAGATCCATTTGACAAGAAAAAATCTAAATGAAATGACCCTTTAGGATTTGGAGGGCAAGATTCAGTAGAAAAATAAAAACAAATCAAGAAGTCATGTAGTTTTTTTCTATTGAATCTTTCTCTTTCCGTAATCAAGAATCTGAAGTGATTGTGTGTGTATATATACCTATTTGCGTGTGTAAGAGAAAGACCAGAATAGTAGAAGAGATAGTGGTAGAGAAGAAAAACAGAGATGAAGTAATGAAATGGAAGAGAGAGAGAAAGAGTTGGTGAGATTTCAGAGGCTCTTTATATGATTCATTTATTTATTTAGGTTATCATCTTTCTTTTCTTGTCAATATTTAAGTTATCATCTTGCTGAATCTTTTAGGACTTAGGAGTAATATTTAAGTTAGGAATAATATTTTTCTCGATCTATATGACTCGTTTGGTGTAAGAGTTTTTTATTTATTTGCCCTTATTTAAACGGTTTCTTGTACCTTTTTGGTGAGGAAAACAATAAGGAAAAACATACTTATATTCAAGTGGAGTAATTTAACTGATTAGTTTGAGTTGGATCTTCTGATAGTGTTAAAGTTTTGTTTGTCCATGTACCATTACGTTTATATTTATTTAATTCATGTGTAATGATGATAAACTTGGATTCGCTAATACAGTATAGTGGTCATTTTTCAATTATTAGAATCTGTGAAAACCAGCTAACCACACTTGTCGGTTTCTAATATAAGTTGATCTTCTGTCTAATTTTTTTTTTTGTTGTCAAATAATATACTAAAAGTTATCTCATTGAGAATATCTGCAAGTAATTTGCTCAAAATATTATATGGTTAACAATAGATATTGAAGATCTAAGTTATGGTTCGAAACGGTACAAAAAGACGCAAGGTTAGTAAGACCTATCCTTTCTCTGTCTAATCCCGTCAAGAAAGAACGGAATGAGAAGAAAGGTCGTCAAATCTACCGCAAGAAATAATTCCAAAGTTTTCATTTTAGATCTATAAGAAATGAGAAGAAAAATAAAAACAACAACAACACTGGCAAACACCAAACAGAATAAAAAAATGAAAAAGAAGGACAATGTTTCCATACTCTATCAGTCTATCGTGTATGTATGTTTGACGAGTTTGGCTCACGACAGAACAGAACATAATAGGTTCGGTGAGCAATACAGATTCGTGTTATAATTGAATTTTTTGCTCTTGTCAATCAATTATTATCTTTAGCAAAACAATATTAATAAAATACATATACATTACACTCACAGTTATTTATTTCAAATAAAACTTATTTTTTTAATATTTCAAGTATTTTTAGTACTTAATTAGCTTGTTAGTTGTTTGTGTCATTTTGGGTACGTATTTGTGACTTTGTGTATTTATTTTTTGGTATCAATTTGTGTATTTATCTATCATATAAGTATGTATAAATATAATCGACTTTTGCATGGACGTAGATGTGTTTGCAATTGCAAGATATATTATATACAATAATTACTTTCATATACATTATATACTATAAATACACAATCGCGACTTATGGCGTTCTCAGTTTTGTCCTAACATGATAAAAATGAAAACGTGCCCACGACGGAGACAAACCTTAGTGGAAATTAATTTGTTTTTTTATCCATTAATGTAGTTATCCGAACAATTAATATTCTGAAGAAATTAAGTGGCTCCCGATGAAAATCACAATTGTAGAGAAAAAAAATTTAGTGGGACAAATAACAAATCGACAAAATTAGATTCAGATCCATGGTTACAATTAAACTTGCAAATAAACAAATGCTACCAGAGCAGAGCAGCAGAAGAATATTTCATACAGAACTTAATGACACTGTATTTACTTAAACTTAAACTTTCTTAAATCAACAATAAAAACAGCTGATTCATGAAACTTGTGAAAAACTCAGTAGTTTTCACATGACTAACAGCTGTAAAATCGTTTGGTTCAAAATTTGGGAAGGATTTTACGAGAATCCAATGATTTATAATTTTATACAATCCAAAACTAATATGAAAATAAAAACTCTAGGCGTGCCATTGATAAAAAAGTTTGTTTGCACAACATAAACCTTTGAGAATCCTAAAGAAAGGGTTCAACATTTCAAACTGAATTTGTTTGACTGTAACACTAACAATAGACTTTGACTAGAGATTACTCGTTTACGAATGAGGATTCATCATCATCATGGGCCACGTCGACAACTCAGGTCAACACAGCAACGGTGAGAAGATGGATCAGCAGCACGTGATGCTTGGTCGGTCACGTGTGTGCGTCAGACCATCGATACACGTAGCTCCGAGATGAACTCGACCTCTATAATTTTCTCTGTCTTGTTTCGATGCTTTTTTTTTTTCTTTAATACAGTTTTTGTTTTGATGTTCAAGTTAACATTGATCAGGATATAACGTGTCTAGCCCTACGCTGTATATATGCACCAACATATTTAAAGGGAAATTAATTAACAGAAATTCTAGAACTTAAGCTGGTCAAGTATCTAGATCCGATGATTTTTTTTGTTTGGCTAAATAAAAGAAATTTAATACTAACAAAAAATGCATTTCAAAAGAACAGCTTTAGCCCAACCTTAAGATCGATGATCTCAAACTAAAGGTTGACTTTTCTTTACCATTTAAAGAAACTAAGAGCAATCTTGGGTCAACGTATTTGAACCTTTGATATGTGTGTGAGTCAAAACATCCTATTCCGATGCTAATTCATTTAATGACGGATCACTAATGAGACCCAAATTAACAACACATACCGCAGTATGTCAAACAGAAAAAAAAAGAGAATTGTAAGAAAAGTGCTGTCATTTGTTCCATTCGTTGACAGAAACAAAAGAAATCTGTTTCGCCATTCTTCCTTAATTTCTAGACCCATTTCGGGTAGCTGCGTGGACCACATGTGGGTCACGAGTAAACTTGGGCTGGGCCATTATATGTTCAATGTCCAAAGATTATGTCAATTTATTACAATGAAAATAACTTGTGTCAAATTTTACAAATATCTTTAAATAAAAATTCTGTCAATTATTCATAATATTGTATGAATATCTTTGAGTTCAACCATTTAAATTCTTTTTGTTCTTTTATTAAAAGAATGAAAGTAAAAATGTATTTAAACTATACATTAAAATATATTATTATTTATAGTGCTAATTATGAAACTTTGATTAATCAATTAATTTTTATTTTCTCCCAGTAAAATTCCGATCCACTAGAACTCTCGTGTAAATTGATCGAAGATTTTCCAAAAGAATTGGTCAATATATATTATTGATTTCATGATATTTTACAAATTTTTCAATTGATATTCTTAACTTTTAGAAGCTTCATCTACATGTTAGGGTTCTTGTTCATAAATTAAACTTTTATTATGTTCCTTCATGGACGTTGCCGATTATGTGATAGATTCTCCTTATTATAAATGTTATTCAATTAGTAGGTTCATGCACGAAGACATAAAAAGACTTTGGGTCTAGCTATGTGTTGTCCCGAACCTCGAGAGGCCTTACACTAGTCGTAATGGTGACAACAATATAGATTCTGATTCTATATCAATCGAAACCACACAATCTTCTTTTTCCCATGGATCATTAATCTACAATAGATTAGACATTAATTCCAATTTTCTTGAATTTTATTCTTCTAATGTTGAATTAACATAGATTCATCTCACCTTTCAATTCAAGAAAGACGTCGGAAATGTAGATTGAAGATTGTTGATTGTTGAAGTTTATTCTATAGTAATTAATTTTTTGCAGGCTCTAGTTTAAAATATTTTAATGATTTTTCAAAATATAAAACAATCTTTAAGGGAAAAAATGTGAACTTTCAAATAGGTTGTTCGATGATGATATAATTTTATATTTTGTTACTGTACCGAGTATTTTCAACAAAACGTTTCTAATTGGGCCTAACTTTCAAACCCAAAATCAGTTTTCGGTTATTTGAAACTCGGTTTATCCAAAATAAACCTTTATGCGACATTTTAACCATTTATTTTTTTCACTATATACAACTAATACAATATTTGTCGTGGACCGATTCAAAGTCAAAGCCAAGTCAGATTTAAACGACTTAATCAAATCGCAATCATTATTTTAATGTGATTGAAAGGGAAAGGAACAAAGATAGCATGAAAGAAGAACAAAAGAAGGAAAGGGAACTCCAAAAGCCTGTTTTGAAGACTAATAAAAACGATTTGGAATATGTACGGACATGTATAAGATCGAATCCAAGATTAGGAGCAGCCAAAAAGGGCCAGTTAGTGTTTTAAAATATATTTCTAAAAAGGTAACAAAAAGAAAACTCGAAGAAGTATATATATCTAAGAGCATCTCCAATGGTAGATACCCATAGAGTGTCTCACCAATATAATATTAATATTTTTATGTTTAATTTATTTAGAGAAACTCACACTAATATTCTACTTCCATTGGTGAGATATCTCTATGGGTGTCTACCATTGGAGATAATTTTAACCTTAACTAATATCAATTAAAAATTATATTAATAAATAGTTTAAACTTTTGTATAATGGAATTTGATATATAGATAATTTTATTTTATGAATTGTAGAAAAATAAAAAATAAAAAATAGTAACTTATAAACTATTTAATTGATATTATAAATCTTAGAGTAATTGAATTTTTTAAAAATATTGTTAAACCAATATAAGAGTGACATGTGTATGAGAGAGAGAGTGTCTCAAAGTGTCTCAAATGAGAAACTTGTCTCAAAGTGTCTCAGCTTTTTTGATTAAAAAATTATTTTTTATTTATTTTTATTATGGGTGTCTCATGTAGACACCACTGATGGAAGTGCTCTTACTTTGTGACAATGATGATGAATTTATGATCAGCTAGGTGCATTGGACATGTCGTTATCCTTTTTCCAAACTGACTTAACGTTAATTATAGATATTTTTATTTTTAATCACAAATTCACAATTCACAAGGATGTACGACTCATTAGAAAAACCCACGTGACAAATAGGCTAATTAATAGGTTTATAAAATTCAATTTCGACGGAGTAGTGTCAGTAAAATAATTGAGATTTACGGATGAAAGATACTATGGAATGTTCACTTATACGTAGTCCTCTCATAGAAGTTTCTTAATGACAGTGACACCTATTGCAAAATTTATGGAACTTTAGCGATTAAATTTGTTGGACCTACTAGCTAACTAAAGAAAGTTAATATTTGTTGGCTCAACGAAGTCCGTATATTTTAGTTAGAAGATTCAGATTCTAGTGTATGTAAGGTATTATAGGCTGTGGATTCTTGTTTTTCAGTTAACAACTATATAGTGTGTATAAAGGCAATTACAAATATCTTGATTATAATTGACTACTTTTTTTTTGGTTTTGTATTTATATTTTACAGGACTAAATGGTGTGTTTATATTTAATGAAAATATATATGGTATCTTCTAATATGTTTTTAAATATAAACAAAAATGTAGATACGTCGTATATGCATGTGTGAGATGCGAAGCATAAAATCAAATTGCGAATACCTTTTTGTATTTGCGTTCACAACTTATATATATTATTCCATAAAAGTTAACTGAATTATTGTTTCAAAGTAATATATGTATTTTTTAAAGTAATATTTTTAGTATTTCTGTTTATTTTAGTTTTGACAACGTTCTCGATGATTTTGTAGTCTTCTTATTTTGCATTTAAAATGCCAAGTGAATAATAAGATATGTCGAATATTTGTATACAAGTAAACAATACCAGGACCGATCCAATGTACTAGTAAACGGGTTTTTGCTTGGTTAGTGGTATGCTCGTAAACTTGGATGTTAAGAAAGATAAATTGATCCAATGTACTCCAAATTAATTTTGTCAATAAAAATTAAAACTAAATGATGTGAAAATATCTCTAGAAGGAAAAAATTCTCCAAAATGTAAAGTCATGTCAAGAAATTAGACCCCTACGCGTAGATTCTGCATTAAACAGAAACATTTGATAAAAAAAGAAGAGTATTTAATTATGGTCCAACGAAAGCTTCTGAGTCGGTTTTGAGAGTCAACCCACGTGGGCACTAACGAAGTCCCAAGTCAAACATATTCCTCCGGGTCCTCCAATCAACTCTTTTATTCAGCACACATCATATTTTTTGTAACAAAAAATTCCATCACTGTTGCCAAAAATACCATACAATATCGTTTTATATACTATATATTAGTTTAAGGGACTATCTAATTTTATTATAAATTTCCTACTTTTTGCAAAAGTTCAACTTCAGTTAAAGCATAAAAAAAATTGGTATTTTCTCTTTAGCTATAAACTAGCAGATTTTTATAAAAATTATTCTTAGCATAAAAAATTTTAGATATAACGTAAAAAATTAAATCATGCAATATTTTCATATATAAACATGTAAACGCAAAAAATAATAATTTCAAGATTATAACAAAAACAGTTTATATTTTTGTTCACATGATTCTTACCATATTATTGATGTTGTACATTTCGGAAACCCCAGACAGTATCAGCAGTTACTTTCAGATTTGTAAAATAAAATAGCTAATCAAATAAATAAATGGTAGCAGTAGATGCCAAATATATATATTGAATTCACGATACCAATAGCGTAAGGAAAATCTATTATATCAGAAACATCTATGTTGAAGGAGAAAAAGGTATAAAGAACATCTACACAATTTTGATAAGTGGAGAGTTCGAATTTCGAATATTAGGTTGATGGGCCCACTTGTTTCCTTGCCTATAAATTCCACAAATCAAATCTCATTTAATCCATGCAAAATTAAAAACACACACACAGACAAAAAAACAGACGCTAAATCTTGTGTCCGTTCCCTCAAACACACATTTCTTCTTCTTATTCTTAGTTACTTAATTTGTCTCTGTCTCTCTTCTCACACACAACAGAATATACTATGGATCAAGGAGGTCGTAGTGGTGGTGGGGGAGGAGGAGGAGCCGAGCAAGGGAAGTACCGGGGAGTAAGGAGACGGCCTTGGGGAAAATACGCAGCGGAAATAAGAGATTCGAGGAAGCACGGAGAGCGTGTGTGGCTAGGGACATTCGACACTGCAGAAGACGCGGCTCGAGCCTATGACCGAGCTGCCTATTCAATGAGAGGCAAAGCCGCCATTCTCAACTTCCCTCATGAGTATAACATGGGATCCGGATCCTCTTCCACTGCGGCTAATTCTTCTTCCTCGTCGAGGGAGGTTTTTGAGTTTGAGTACTTGGACGACAGCGTTTTGGATGAACTTCTTGAGTATGGAGAGAACTATAACAAGACTCATAATATCAACACCGGTAAGAGGCAATAAGGGAATACAATCGTTCTAGATTGAAAGTTATGTGAAAGACCATTTTCACTTATAACAAATAAAATAAAATCCCAAGCGTACAAAGCTGTTTCAATTATTGGCATGAATGTAATTGTCAATCGATTTCTGTAACGAATAAGATTCTTTAAGCGGGTCATCTTAGTTTCTTGAACTTGATCAAAGTTCAAACGGGTACTTGTGTAATTAATTAGTTTTGAAAAAATATTAATGAAAAATAATGATTATGTGAAACATCCTTTTATGTTTGGTGACGTGTAACTATGATTTGATATATTTGTTACATTCTTGTGATTCATCTAGATGAGCTGAAATTTGTTAAAACAAATCAAATACTGAAAGAGAAATCTAACTTTGTGTGATATCAATATAACCTATTACATTGTTCTAATATAACTAGCAGCATTTACAAGTACGTTGTGTTTTACGTTTGAAATATGGAATTCATCTTACCATTGCTTGTTAGTTATACTGAAATGGCATGTTGTAGATGCATATACACATGTACATTTTGAAAAATAATTCTTATAAGCAATTGAGTTTAGTAACTTATGTAAAATGTTTAAATAACTTTTTTTTTTAAGTAGCCGGGATAAAAGTAAACCAAACTCATGGTAATATATCGAAGGAGTGTACAATTATTTTTTTACTATTTGGAGAGAGTTATTTAATTGGTTGGATATTTTGATTTTTTTGGTTTATATACGGTTCGGAATATTGATGACCAAATTAAAATCATAATTTTCTAGACAAACATACAGTAGTTTCTATTGTTAAAAACGCCAAACCGGTGAGAATTACAAACGAACATAGAGGTCCGATAACTCAAAGAATTGGGAATCAAAAAAAAAAATAGTGCGGGACAATTTCTTTGAGTTTTCAAAGAAAATAAATGCGTGGAAAAATAAAATCACTCACACGCCATGTTTTCACCTTAATCAAAGTCGTAACAAATCGTATATATTCTCTATAAGAAAGGAAAATGATCACTGTAATATTTTATTTGTTAACACATTAATTTTGTTTTTGTCCCAAGGTAAAAATAACTAATATAACCAACAAAAATTAACTTATTAAGATGAATAACATGAATAAATTTTGGTTCAGTTGCACTAACTTCAACTTTAAAAAATGTGGGCTCGGCTTATAAATAAGCAAAACCAGACCTTTTTATGTTAGGTTTCCACCAAACTCTTTCTTTGATTGCTTCAATGGCGTCGTCGCTTCTGGACCCACCGGCGGCTAGCCACCGTCAGTCAAACCGTGTTTCTAATCACCCGAAACTCCTTTTCGCCGCCACCGATAGGTCAGATCGGAGAGCCGTGCCTCGATTCCTTGACGCACGAACCGTGTTGACGACGCTGACTCTCGTCTAGGTATGTTATTGTTTGCACGAGTGCCTTCTTGAATCATCATGAAACCCTAAATCTGAATCTTCTGGATCTGTTCGATTTCCAAGATATCCCCAAGATTGAGGGGAATATATTCAAGCCTTAGCAGGTACTAATATGATGCTCTGACTAGTTACGATTGGATCAAATTACTTGATAGAGATGGTTAAGCCACGGAGAAGAGTAAGTAAACAAATTAAGTTTGAATCTATAGATCCAATATAAAGCACAGATGTTTCAACACATACACACATACAGACACACCATTTGTTTCTTATCTTTGGTACAATGGTTTTGTTATTGCAGACTCAAGAAAAGAGTACTAGCTTTACATCGATAAGGAAAGGACGGACCATAGACAATATATCTGAATACATCAAACAGGGTATTTTACCTATCTGTCCTTTTTTTTTTAATCTCATATCCTGTAATGTGACAGATGCGATGTTCCATCGAGACCTTTCTCAATGTATCCCTTTGAGTACTCTGGTACAGTGAAGTTTCTGTATTTTGGAGTGTTTTCTTCAGAGAGAAGCTCCTTGATTGGTCCGTAAACTGTGGAGTTTGGATTCATACTCGAGCTGAAAAAGCACGCGATTGAAATCCTCGGTCCAACTTTATTTGCAAGCACTCTATGTTCAACGCTTATGAACTTGTCGTTCGTCACCAGCTGCACAAACCCAATAAGAAAACCTTAGGTGAGAAAGTAATTCAATGAATCTCTCACTAAAACCTCTGTTTTATGTTCAGGGTATCTTGTACTTTTAGGTATAAGTATGGATCTTCAATGAGCTTACCTGCAAGAAATCTCCGATGTTGATGACAAGAGCCCCGGGAAGAGGCGAGACATCGACCCAACAGTCTTGATGAAGAATTTGAAGACCACCAATGTTGTCCTGAAGAAGAATGGTGATAAAGGTGTTGTCGGAATGCTTACTTGTGCCTAAAGTTAGGTCAGGTTGTGGACATGGAGGGTAATAATGGCAGATCATATGCAAACCCTTCATGCAACCCATACTCTTAAGCTTATCAGAGCTCAAACCAAGAGCTTCTGAGAGAAGTTCAAAGATCAAACCACCTAAGTTCGTCACATGCTTTGAGTATCCGATCATAGCATCCCTGAGCCAATGATGTTAGAATCAATAATGAATCTTCAATATTTCCTAAGACTACTTCTCAGTGTAAAACAAAATTACCTGCAAGCCACTGGGAGATCCTCGGGGTTTGGAGGATCAGGAGCCATGTAACAAGCGAAAGAGTCTCTCCAGTTACCAGCAGACGAACTGTACAGTTCGAAATTATTGTGGTAGATAAATGTTTTTGTGAAGTCAAGAGAGAAGTAAGATTTCTTAACCTCAGGATCTTCTTCATGAAACCTAACAACTCCATCTTGAATCTCTTCAAGAACACTTAAAGGAACACCATGGTTGATCACCTGGAAGATTCCCCACTTCTCTGCAGCGTCTTTGATCTTCTGCACAACGGCTTCACGTGACACGTGGATGCCTGCAAAGTCGATGACAGGTATTGCAAAATCCGAGGTAGGTTTCTTGTCGTCTAAGGCAACTAGAGGAAGGCCAAAGATAGGAGGAACCTTGGTCTCTTCGAAAGACTTGCGCTCAGTACTGTAAGAGTTGCATTCGATCGAGTTTTTCGCCACCATTTTTGTATTTTGTTTATCTCCTTTTACTTCCTCACAATAAAGCTGCTTATGTAGAGAACACAATAAGAAGAAGAAGAAAGAAATGATGCAACTAAAGAGAAACGTGGAGAGGTCATGCGAAAAACGAGAAGCGTTACATACTATATATAAAAAGACAAGATTCAGAGTTTGGTCTTTGTTACGTGGAGCCGATAATATGACCGTTTCGTGATGCTTAAAATGTCCGTTTTGTGGTTCGATGTGCAACAAAGAAAGCAATTAAAAAGGTGAAATGAAAAGATACAAAGTGTTTTTTTTTTTGTTCTTACAAGGATAAAATAAAGGGAAACTCACCTATCCTATTTATTATTTATAAATAAGCATACATATATACAAGAATCACACAAACATCTAATTTGAAGATTAAAACAACCAAATAGTTGAATAATCGATAGATAATATAAACACACCATTTATAAAATCTTTTAATTTGCACCGTAGCTTTTCTAAAGCACTCAAAAATGGAATCAACAAATTTATTTACTTTTTGTTTCTTAATCGAATCCGGGATCAATTCTGATCTAATGATGGGGAGTAAAAGCTGGTTGCGGAAGTAGAAACGACCAAAGAGCTTAGAAATCAGAGAGAAGCAGAAGAGATCGTAAGCGTCGATGAAGAAGCTCATGCTGTCGATGACGATATCAATGAAAATGGAAAAGAGTGTTTTCGCGACGTCAAGTGCTGCCTTCAGGAACCTCACCATTTCCTTCATTGCTTTCTTCACACTTAGTTTTTCTTATAACTTCAAAGAAGAATGAATTTGTTTTTAATGGATGTATCATATTGGGAATAAGTGGCTCTCACGATTAACGTACAGATATACTTGTCTATGAATTGACCTTTTAAGCATTGGACAATGTCATTTTCATTAACTTCGAACAGTACCCTTGTATAGCTTATAGAAATTACTTTGTACATTACCTTGTTTGGCTTACACAAAATTTAATGTCTTTTTGTATATCTACTATAGAAACGACTCTGAGACAAAATCCCACAACAGATTGCTCTCTATCGAAAACCATTATAACACGTACGATCTTTAAAAGGGATTAGTGTCAATAAATTGACTAACTATACCATCCCGGATCCTTAACATGACTAAAGAGCCGCATAGACTCTTAGATCCATATTTCTCAAAAACCGCCGAAACCCTCTTTAGCTTTTTGCTTTTGTTGATTTAACCACCCTTTTGAGAAAACTGAACAGCGGCCGTTCGGATCAAGTTTACCAGCTCGTCGTCTAGCTCATCGAGCTCACCTGAGTCACGAAGCTGATGATATATAGGAGCTGCATGATTAGCAGCAGCTTCAACCAGTTTCCACATCGAGAAACTTGCAGCTAATTCAATTGTTTTGATAGATAACTCTCTAGCGGATTCCAAGCAACAGAGAATCACATGAGCGCAATCGTTTTGAAGATCTTCCATAATCCACCATTCAGAAAGCGAGTATATCTCCACGTAAGCTTGAAGCTCATCCAGTTTTGCCTCAGTGTCCATGTTGTTCCACTTGCAACCCGATGGAGGGTCTGGCAACTCATCAGAGTAGAACCAACTCACAAGTTTTGTTAACCCCAGCCAGCTCACAGGAACGTTTAGTCTATCCAAATGGCTGCAAATTTTTAAGATTCAAATTCTTAGATGTTGAGTCTTTTATTCCTCAATAAACACTAATTAACTTCTAAATATATGAATTTAAAGTAAATCAGACAGAAAAAAATACCAAATAACACCTCAGGTTTCGTCTACAAGAATTAGGGGTGGACACACATACCCAAAGTATAAACTGACTCACAGCTAGTTTTGGTATATATGCCAAAACTAGCCACTAACATACGTTCCACTATATATGCCAAACAAAAATTCTGTGAACTAAGAGCAATTGTTAGTTTGTTACATACCTCTCCTGCATCCCCGATCGGAACAAGGCACGTAGGTATTCACAGCCTGACGACAGTATAACTCGGTGAGAGTGGGCATGAGGAGATGTTAAGGAACACATACGGCAGTTGAAGCCAGCCACGTTTGTTTCTTTAGGTACTAATATCACATCCCTGAAATTACAAGAATACTATGATTTATACCTGGGTTTATCTGGTTGTTAGCGTCGAAAAAGAATGATGAGACTGATAAACTTACGAGAAGTGGATGAGTTTCGGAGTGAGGGCAAGGGGTAAATCAATTCCGGGTATTGGAGATCCCCACTTGGGTCTTCTTCTGCTGAGCATCTGCAGCAGAACCTTTGCCTTACAATGTCTCGCCAAAGTTTTCAGCTTTTTCAGAGTCGTGCTTTCTACTTCCACATACCCGGAGTAAGCAAATTCCAATAATTTAACAAGCGCCAAAGTATCCACATTGGCAGACATGCGGATTTCTTGAATGGTTCTCTGAGATTTCTCAGTTAATATAGTCGAGCCACTGTGAGCTCCTTCCTTGGGAGGCAGCAACATTGGACAACTGACAGCAATAATAACTTTGTTTACACTCGCACTATTCCCACTAGCAAAAACGAGTCGCATATCACTAAATTCCTCATCTTCATAAGCTCCCATGAGCCTTTTCCCCAACTTATGTTGGAAGCCATAGTATCCAAGATAGCTTAGGATGTGTGCAGCATACCACCTTGGACCAGAGCCATAAGTTTCATCTCGGATCTCCTTAAGTGTGGTGCATAACCGATCTTTCAAATTTTCGCTCTTCACTGAAAGTTCTATAGCGTGATTCTGTTCAGAGAATGAATGATTTACCAACTCGGCCAAAGCCAAGAGAGCGTATAGAAGAAAAGCATCTTTGTTGTCCCAGTCTTCCGTACATACCCAACAACATATCCTCTTTTCAGCGATGCTCTGGGGAGAAGGAGCAAAACTTGATGCTCCAATATTTTCCCAATTCCTTTGATACCAGCTACAGAAAGATAACAGTATCTCTAAACCCTGGTTTCTTAAAATGAAACTCGCATATTGAGGGATCGATGAATAGCATGCCAAGCCCACCAAACAGACTGTAGTTTGGAGTATATTTGGTAGTATGTAACCTCCAGAAGATGGAATATAACGCAGAAAATTCACAAGGGAATTCAAATTTTGCTCACCACCTTCTTCTAGGATGAATGACAGGGTAACTCTGGCCCTCGATGATATGTATTTGGAGGGAGAATATATCATCATTAGCACTGCTCTTGATGCTGACTCGCTATGGGAGGCGCTGATAATATCATTTTGACATATTTGATAGCCTTTCTGAACCGACCTCGAAAAGGTCAAGCTTAAAAAAAAAAGTCGAAAGAAAAAAAATCAGAATAGATAAGATTATATCCAAAACGAAGCGGTTGGGGGAAACAAAACAACCAGTGTCTTACCATGCACATGTGACAAGAAAGTTGAGGCAGAGTTCATCTCCACGCAAAATGGAATCAAACTCTTCCTCACAGTGAGCTGCCAAGAATCCAATTATATCCCAAACGTATGACCTCAGACTAGGTAAATAATTGGCATTCAGTACCTTCTCAGCAACTAAAATTTCTTCATCCAGAGACACATAACCATCCAAGGATTGACTATGAAAATTCTCCACAACAAGACTAAGAAGCGTTTCAGAGATCCGATACTTCCAGAAATAAATATGATGTTTTCCTTCCCAACGAGTGATTAGAGCCAGTTTACAAGCCTCCACAAGTAAAGACATCTGGTCATGTTCAAGCTTTCCTGAGCTCAAGAACCACTTACCCATGGTCCGAATGGTAGCCTTTACTAGGGACTCAGAACACATGTTTATCATCTTCAAGCACTCTCGGTTACCTGTCTGAGCAATGGCCACTGATTAGAAATCCAGAAAGATAGTTAAAATAAAGGTCAACAGGGCGAGGTGCTATTACCGCAAGCCTTTGTGCTAGCTTTAACCCTTCAATTCGAGCATTTTGAGGGCTTGATTCCTCCATGCAGCTAATCATCATATCTAACATAGGCTTCCCATTGTCTAGAAGCTCATTGGCACCATGGCCACAAAGAGCTGAAACAGAAAAACACCCAAGAGACAATTAAGGCCAATTTATTTGGTAGCTCAGTAGAGAACATAAATATCCAGTTTTACAAGCATATATACCTAGAGAAGAATACAGCTTCAAAGTTGCAACTCTCAAACCCATATCAGGGTTCTGACTAACACTCTCCAATATACCCATCAAGGCAGGGTTGTTCCAAACAGAATACCTTGACCGAGGCCACTTCAACATAATTGTACTCAGAAGCAAAGCCATCTCTTGAAACCATTCCACTGACATACTCCCCTCAGAAAAGTTCTGCAGATTACCAACAACGGAAACCACAGTTTTTGCGTCTTCTAAAATCTTCCACACATCTGTCTCCTTCGTTTCTCTTACGTTTACAAGAATAGCGTTCAAAGCAACGGCACAGGGAAGCGAAACATCAAATTGTTGACAACTTAACAGAGGTGATAAAGACTCCACGAGATCCAAAGAATATGAATGCAAGATAGAAGGAGGAACAATACGGATCAACCTAATGACTACATTGGCTGCTAAACCAACCACTGCTCTGTTTTTACACCCTAGAATAAACACCAAGGCCCCGGCTATATCAGAAATTGAATCCTAAGCAAGCACAAAAAAAAAAAAAAACTTGGAATCAAGCAAGACAATTTCAACAAAAGTTAAGAACTTTCAACGAGCAGAGATGGAAATAGACCTTGATAAGACGATTGTTAGCTGTTGCTCGAGAAAAACAATCAAGAAAAGCTGAAATCGACTTCACGACATGTCTCTGTATCTCGATATCAGTACACTTCCACTTCTTCTCTTTCTCATCACATACCCTAATAACAAGCAACAATCAAACTTTTCTCAGGAAACAAATTCAAAAAGGGAAAAACAGCAAATCAAACAACGAGAGATTGAGAGTAAAGAGAAAGAGAAAAAAAAGAGAGGACCTGAAGCCGAGATTAAGAGCGTGATAAAGACGATGGTGAAGAGTATTGATGTGGGCGGTGGTGTTTCCTCCCTTTGACGACGCCATATCTGTCGCCGGAGTTCCCGTCTGACTGAAATTTACCGGTGGATTGATACAACGGAGAATGATTGATAATACGACACAGAGACCGTCCTTTGATTTTTTGATAATGGGCCTTTAAATAAGGCTTTCTCTTTCCAAACTATTGTAATTCGCCTAATCAATAGTATTTTTTTTTCTATTCCCAAACAATTATAAAATTATTAATTTAAGAACAAAGCCGAAATAATTTCATCACAAAATTTTAAAAAATGTTCTATAAAGGTGTAAACGTTGTTACCTTTTAAAAAAAAAAGTCATAAAACTTGGTTAAAAAGCTTTTAAAGTTTAAACCCATAATGAGTTTGTAAGAAAAGAAAAAATAGTAAGATAAATTATTTTCTTTTAATTCTATTCATCAAAACAAAGTCCTTGATTTTGTAATTAAGTAACGTACCTTAGCAAGAAAACAGAAGAGAAAATTATATTAAAATCAATCAGAGAGAAAATTTTGTACAAACGTAATTTTTGTGGATATAATTTTCATTCATATAAAGAAGGGAGAAAATTTTGTTTTCGTTTATGTTTTTTCTTCTAAGCCAAAATTTTACTAAAAATTCATTAAAAACCTGCTTAATTAACATTTTTTAACTCCAGGATTTGAAGGATTTCAAAGACGTTAGGATAAAGTCGACCCTTTCTTGAAAGATAATTGCTACCTTGATACTCTTTTCACGACAATTCCGGCTACGTCGACCCTCATCCAGGCCCATCGACCCCTTTCTGGACGACGACGCAGTCATCAAACATTTTGACGCCTGATTCCTGCCATAGAAGCTTTTAAAAGATTTTTTTTTCATTGGTTTTTTGGACCTTTGTTTTGTTAGCTTTATTAAATAATAAATAGATATTAATTTTGTTAATTTTATTTTCAACTGCATTTATTTCATACAAAACCTCGTGTCAATTCAGATTTTTTTTTTCTCAAGCTAAGTAACTCAAATGAAATTCAAACACTAAACAAAAGTGTATATATATTTATTCATAGCCAATTGAAATAAACCGTAATATCAGCATTATATGTTTTATGCAACCATATATCCTTTTGAGTACAATCAAAAGGAAACAGAGTTAAAAGACACATTCACACATCTACATGTTAGGCTTTATGACAGCACATAAAGCTTATTTTGATCATTTGCAACCATTTTTTCCCATACTTGTGGTAAGCTGATCAGATGAATCTTGAATACCTTCCAAATTCTTCCCTTCTGATGCCAGCGAGCAAGAATGCGAAACAAAGAACACACTCGAAGAAGAAGAAGATTCAGCAGTCGAAAACAATTCCCTTTCATCGAATCCTCTAGATTTCTTCATGTCTCTCTCTTCTTCTTCCCCAGGTTTCACTCTCTTTGACCCGTTGTAACGAACAGCCGAAGGTACTTGTTGGTCATTAGAAGACACAGATGGGCAAAGGCCAGGTTCTTTAATGGTATTAGCTTCTAAGGCCTCGAAGCTATCTGCTACAATCTCATCAGGTGCTGCTCCGATCATGATTTGTGCTTCACGGGTTCTTGATATGGCTCTAGCGAGTAGCTCACGAGCTGTGTCGATGTCTACAATGGGTTTTGCATAGTTTGTTCCGAGTTCCACACCGGAAGCTTTGAGTACAGTTAACGGAGCGTCCCATGGATGATGGATCCATTCAGTTGGCAATCTCGCAAGCTCGGGAAGCCATTGCCTTATGTACTCACCTTCTGGGTCATATTTGGCGCCTTGTAACTGAAATCAAAACAGAGATTTTTCAGAGATTTCTCATAATCACAGTAACTAAAGCTAAACCAAACCAAAGAAACGAATGCATAGCAAAAACTGTTATTAAGCTTTGACTCTAAACTATAAGATAAGTTTTGTAGTTTACTGCGGGATTGTCCAAGCGATCAAGCTCATGGCCATCAGGTATGCTCCCAGAGATATACTGCCAGCCAAGGATGTCACATTCCAAATCAGCATCCAAAAGTGTATCCCAGAAATACTTCATTCCCCATTTCCATGGAAGGAGAAGAAACTTCACAGCAAAGCTCGAAACAATCACTCTTATTCTGTTATGCATCCATCCGGTAGCCCAAAGCTCTCTCATTCCGGCATCCACCAACGGATAACCAGTCCTGCCTTGTCTCCAGGCCTTGAACTTATCAACATCAGCATCCCAAGGGAAAAACCGAAGATGACTCAACAACGATTGCTCGTGAGTAAACGGGAAGTTGAAACATATATACCGAGAATACTCTCTCAGACCGATTCCTCTAAGAAAAAGATCTGCACTTTCTTCTCCTTCACTGTTCTTATCTCTAGCCCATATGATTTGTTTCATCCGGGCACACTGGAAAACGTGTCTGACGCTTATTTCCCCGAAATGGAGATATGGAGAGAGCAGTGAGGTTGAATTCCCAACAACTTTCTTGCTGTTCTTTGCATAATCTATCAACTGCTTCTCAATGAACTCATTTAGTATCTTATCAGCATTGCTCCATCCTGGAGACCAAGCTCTAGTTAACAACGCATTACTCGGTTTCTCAGCTTCATTCTCTAGCCCTAGTTCTTCAATCGAACATGCCCAAACTGCTTCAGCCGCTAACAAAGAAAGACAAAAACTTTTACTACCGCTTATGTCCTGAAGAAATCAAGAACGTTTTATCTTTTAAGTAATACTCTTTAAGGTTTTACCTGCAGTTATTGGCATCAACCGCCACGGAGGAGGAAGCATAACAGATTCAATCGACATATCTAAGCATTTCTTCCAGTAAGAACTGAAACTCGTAAAAGGTTTGCCCTTTTCGCAGTATATCTCCCACGGTTCATACAATAGATCTCCATTGTAGCTTTGCACAGAGATCCCACGTTCCACCAGCTTCTCCTTTACGGTATGGTCCCGAACTAACGAAACAGGATCTACAACAAAGAGATTGCATCAACCTCAGTTGCACTTAGCATTCTACACTAACTTTAAATAACTCATATCCTGTGAATGAGAGATGAAGAGATATAGTATACCATAGAGATGGTTAAAGACGACTTTTGTAGCACCGGTAACGCGGATACAATCCAAGATAGCTGAAACCGTGTTATGGGTTTTGATTAAAGTGAGGTCAGATCCAAGAGCCTTCAAGGATTGAGATAAGTGAGCAAGTGATTGTTTCATCCACCATCTTGAAGCTCTTCCTGGATAAAACTGTCCTTCTTCTTCAGGACACCAAATGAAGACAGGAAAAACAGATCCTTCGTGAGCAGCAGCTGCTAATGCAGGATTATCCTCAATCCTTAGGTCTCTTCTAAACCAAACTATAGTCTTTTTGTCCGACGTCATAGTTAGTATGATCAGATATGAATCAAACCCAAATCAGCTAAATTCCACACTCTAACCAAGTTTGTCCATGATTTCAGACCTCAAGCTCCTCCAGAAGATAGTTCTATATCAACAACAGAGAATAATTCATCAGAAATCCAAAATCTTTAAGTCCTAAATCCAAAATAATCTACCAAAACATACCGGAACGGATTCGATTTAACCCTAATCCTAAAAACAGAGCAAGCAAGAGAATTTCAATTAAAGGAAACAAAAATCAAAAGCTGGAAACTTTTTACCAGAACTCAAATCAGAGAGGATATCTGTTGGCCACAAAGATCTTCAACGAGCTTAGAATCAAAGACTGTGAAGGGTTATTTTAATGACTTGACTCTTCTTTCTTCCTATTTTGGGTATGCAAAGTTAAAGATTTGAGATCTAACGGAGACGAAAAACATACCCATGAGAGTATGAATGTTAATAATTGTGCAATATAATAATTACAACGAGACAAAAGTAGACAACTTTATCCACAACTAGTGGCGTATGTTCTTATATTAGTGTTTTTTTACCGACGTCTCATCTTTGATTTGCTAATCTACGATTTTATTGGGATCATCTACGAACTTTCTGTAGAAGATATTTTTATAAGAGATCGAATTTTGTTTGATTTGTTGAGTGGGCCTAAAGTGCAGTGAAGATACTCTTATCTTCTTATGGTTGAGAAAAAAGGTTTTTAACGTTGGGGCCGAGGACGGTGGTTCATGAACTCGATTCTGGTCATGCCCACTTTTGAAGAATCCATTAAATATCTAAGTCTATATGTGGCTTATTTATTTTGTATATAGCTTAAAGGTGAGAACTTGATTCTCATTACCAAGTAGAATCTATTATCAAAATCCACTGCTTTTACTTTACAAAAGGAAAAAGGGAAGATAAAAATTCTCTCAAACTTGAATCCTCGTATACCCTAATTAGTGGATCATTTTGCCTATGGTTTATGATTCCATTTCAGATTTATAGGATCGTTGAAAAATAGAGGCAATCTAATTCGGGTAGGTAAATTGTGTTGGCCTTACTAATAAAATATTTCTTTTAAAATGTAAAAAGGTTCAAGCTGTTGGATGTATATTTTAAAGTTCAATTTGATGTTAGGTTACACAATTTTTGAATGAAGAAAAAATACAAGTAATCCATATTAGAATTTCAGTTCAATGTAGTCATTTGGTTTTGGTATGAATCCGCAAGAGTAGCATTTCTTTTTGCAACACAATAACACCATTCCGCACAGTTGCACAAATTTTGGGCTAATTGCTGAAGATAACCATGGAATTGCCTATTTTCCTTTTATGGGTAAACCAAATCAGGCACATAGAATAAAGTATAAACGATATCCTGGTTTAGAAACAGACCAGGGACAATGCTCATTAACGAGACAACCCCACAAAGAGGTTATTAAACAGTGTTTTGAGATCCTTTAAACAAACTTCTTATTCAGACAAAGCCCTGAAAACTTTAAACGATCTCACACCTTATAGGTGAAAAATGTTTCAGAAGGGTTTAAGAGAGGCATGAGTACGCCAAGTCCTTCTCTTCCTTGAGCTCCTCCGCAGTCAAATCCATCTTCTTCCTTGATACTTCATCGATCGGAAGGCCTAACCAAACAACATACACATTAGAGTAGGCACAAATAGGGTTTAATAATTGAGTATTTGAGTTTGTAAAAGCTTGTCTTTACCTTGGACAATACTCCACTCTCCATTGCGACAAGTTACAGGGAAGGAGTAGATTAGTCCTGATGGAACGTTGTAAGAGCCATCAGAGTATACTCCCATGGAAACAAACGTACCCTGACCAATCGAATCAAAGAAAGAACACATATTAGAACAACTATTATAAACCGCACTGCAAATAACGGGGAAGAGTTTTATTATGAACCTCTGGAGTTCCAAGAACCCAGTCACGGATGTGGTCACAAGCAGAGCTAGCAGCAGAAAGCGCACTAGACAACTTCCTCGCCTTGATGATTGCAGCTCCACGTTGTTGAACTGTAGAGATGAATTCCCCGTCCAACCTACACATGAGCAAATATTTAAATGAAATTAGATTTTGCTTCGAGAGAAAAGAAAGGGTCTTAAGTTCTATGGCATGACATACATACCATGCATCGTCCTTGACGAGCTCACGGACAGGCTTCTCTCCAGATGAGGTCTGCACTTTAGCATGGTTGACATCTGGGTACTGTGAGGATGAGTGGTTTCCCCAGATGATCACGTTCTTAACATCAGACACTGGCACGCTCAACCTCTCAGAGATCTGGCCCAATGCCCTGTTGTGGTCAAGCCTTGTCAAACAAGAGATGTTCTTTTCAGGGATGGATGGCGCAAATTCCTTGAGGATCAATGCGTTGGTATTCGCGGGGTTAGCCACAACAAGAACCTGAAAAAGACAAAACGAGAGAGATTATCTGAGCAAGCGAGTCACAAACTAGAACCCAATTTGAGAATACAAAGCATCTCACACTCCAATGAACAGCAAAAGTTGGATGAAATGGCTTCATTTTATTAAAAAAAGTGAAACAGATCCCATCACCTTGCAGTTTGGAGCGGCATGCTTCTCCAAGGCAGCAGCCTGAGACTTGTAGATAGAGACATTCTTGGACATCACATCCTTCCTCTCCATTCCTTCCTTCCTCGGGAAACCACCAACCATAACAGCAACGTTGACTCCAGTACATCCCTCAACGGCATCAGTTGTAGCAACAACACCTAATCATAATACACATCAAATGTTCATCATCTTTCCCACTTGAACAAAACAACTTATGGCACGGAATGCAAATATTCACAGTAAAAACAAAACTTAAAAAACTTAAACAACCTTTGAGAAGAGGGAAAGCAGCATCGATCAACTCCATCTTAACACCGTTCAATGCTTCAGCAGCAGGAGGAATATCCAACATGTGGAGAATAACAGGTTGGTCAGCACCAAGCATGATACCCCTCGCAATCATAGGGACAAGAGCGTATCCGATTTGTCCTGCATAATCACCACCATAGTTAGTTACTTCAGTAGCTGTGGCAATCTAACGTAAGAACTTAAAATCTATCCAATTGTTTCCAAATCAGAGTTCAATCCATGGAATAATCCATCCCAAAATAGATATGCGAGCAACTCAATCAATCGTTGGACTTGGGTCAACGTGAATCCAACCAGTGTGAAAAGTTTAAGGAGAAATACTAGATGGTTCTTGCATGAAGTAAGATGATTCGTTCAATCATAGACTAAAAGAATCTTAGTACTTTCGAAGTATTTCAAGCCTAGCAAAGTTAAGATCCAACAAATACATACTCCCAGATCTAACGAAACAAGAATCGACCTATAGTTCATCGATCTAAGACTATGCAGAGATCTGACTGGAGTAAGCAAGAGCTTTGCGATACACTAGCCAGAGATCTAAAACCAGAAATAGAAGTTACACGATCTGATCGGATATAGATTTAAAGTTATACCTGCAGCTCCAGTGACGAGAACACGAACGGGTTCTTTGGCCATCGGATAAAGATCGGAGATTATCGCCGGAAAACGGATCGAAGTTGGGATATTCGACTTTTGAGAGAGCGTAGAGTCAGCTGCTTCGGTGTGTCCGTGAAGCTCACTCTTTTTCGTGTATTTATCGAAGATATCGAAGGATGTATCATGCCACGTCATCTAATTTAATCATATTATCTCGAAGAAATAAATGGAAATCTGAGATTACACTTATCATATTAGGAAAACAAGATATTCCAATAAATATTATGGTTCTAATGGGCCTATAAGATTAGGCCCAAACTCATTTAGCCCAGAGTTTTCAAATCCGTGAATTAAAAAAAAACTCTAGATAGGGTGGCGAGAACCACGTCCAAGACATTCTCCGGTATGGCGTCATCTTACGTCACCTTCTCAACGGTCACTCCGGTGGTCAGCGGCAGCGACACTCGAGGCTACGCTCGCTTGGCATTCACGCGCCGCCGTGTAACGCCATCGCCGAATGCTCGGAAGAGACTATTGAGAATTTCGGCGAAAGCGTCGACGAAGAATGCTATGGAGTTCAGGAAATTAGGAGATTCCGATCTTAACATCAGCGAAGTTACTATGGGCACTGTAAGATGAATCTATTTTATCTCCTGAAAGTGTAGTTCACTGTTCAATTTTGAGTTTTGATGGAAATTTGGAATATCAGATGACATTTGGGGAGCAAAAATACTGAGAAAGAATCTCATGAGATGCTGAGTTATGCAATTGAAGAGGGCATCAATTGCATTGACACTGCTGAAGCTGTGAGATTTTATCTTAATTGTTCATGTTTCTCTACTTGTTTTGGTGAATATGAATGCAAGTGTTTGAATGTTTTATACTTCTATGTATAAGTATTAACTATGCTTATATGAGCTAAGACCTATCTTCTACTGCCCTGGCTTATATAACACATGTATTGAGAGATATAGGAGTGTTCTTTGGTTATGGAAAATGTCTTTTTGTTTATAGTGCAACTTGATTAATGCTTTTTGGTGAAAGAACTTGAGTATTGTTGTAAGAACTTACAGAACGAGGTCTGGTGTTTCAACGATTTCGAACTTGGAACGGTAATATGTGTTTGTTCTAAACAAACAGCAATATGTGTTGATGAAAAAAAAAATAAAGCTTTGAAGAGTTGTGTTTAGCTTTCTGACATCTGCTTAGTCGTGTGGTAATTTTTCAATCCATTTTTCCTTCCAGTCTCCCATACCGATGAAGAAGGCGACCCAAGGAAAAACGGATCTTTATATCAGTAGCTGGTTGAAGTCTCAGCAACGTGACAAGGTATTACCATCTGTCATGCTTTGGATGCATATTGTAGTGCTGCAGTCCTTGGATTCCTTTGACTGATATATAACCAATAATGTATACGGGCCTTACTCTTTGAAGTTCTTACCTGCTATAACTGTTAGCAAAGTTTATCGTTCGTGTTGAGTATCACTGTCGTTGTCAATTTGATGGTCAGGAATGTATATGATATCAGCAAACGTACTCGAAGTTGGAAAAATTTATATTGATGTTCTTATTTTTCTGTATACAGATAGTTTTGGCAACTAAAGTATGTGGGTACTCAGAAAGATCATCTTACATTAGGGACAGTGGTGAGGTTCTGCGTGTAGATGCTGCTAATATCAAAGAAAGTGTTGAGAAAAGTCTTAAGCGCCTTGGAACTGATTACATTGATTTGCTTCAAATACACTGGTAACATCGCCTTATTTTTCCTTTAAGTCTAACTCATATGCTTCATTATGTGATCAAGGCTTTTTCTATTTCATACGCGAAATATTTCTATATTCATTATCAAATGTCAGACAATCATGATACTGATGTTTTTTCAGTCCAGGCCAGATCGATACGTACCACTCTTCGGTGTTTTACTATGACACATCGAAATGGAGACCTAGTGTGCCATTCGCTGAGCAAAAGAGCCTTTAAGGATCTCATAGATGAGGGAAAGGTAGTGCTACTCCTTAAAAATCAGATGTTATATTGAGCTATAAAAACTCCTTGCTGTAAACCTCAAACACAGAATCTTAAAGTATTCCTTGAATTCTGTTGAATTGTTACAGGTTCGCTACATTGGTGTCTCGAATGAAACTTCATATGGAGTGATGGAGTTTGTTAACACAGCAAAACTCGAAGGACTACCAAAGATTGTGAGCATCCAGAATGGTTACAGCTTGCTAGTTAGATGTCGGTATGAAGGTAAATCTTTCTAGAATACCTAGAGAGCAAGTGTGTCGGAGGAGCATGTTCTAAACTTTTTGGTTTGTGTTAAAAATCACAGTTGACCTGGTAGAAGTATGCCACCCAAAAAACTGCAATGTTGGCTTGCTTGCTTATTCCCCTCTTGGAGGCGGCTCGTTGTCTGGGAAATACTTGGTTACTGACCAAGAAGCTACAAAAAATGCAAGGCTGAATCTTTTCCCAGGTTATATGGAACGTTACAAGGGATCTCTAGCCAAGGTTTGTTCTTGATCCAACTATACTTACTTCTTTTTATGTCGTCAGAAACGGTATTAGCTCAAATATAGTTGTAAAGCCAGGTCGTGAAAGTTTTTTGAGGTCAGTTTTATTTTCTTCCGATCTTAGGAAGCAACGATACAATACGTAGAGGTGGCGAAGAAGCACGGTTTAACTCCGGTTGAGTTAGCACTTGGGTTTGTACGTGACCGGCCCTTTGTGACAAGCACGATCATTGGGGCCACATCGGTAGAGCAACTTAAAGAAGACATTGATGCTTTTCTGATGACGAAGCGGCCGTTTTCGCAGGAAGTTATGGCAGACATTGACGCCGTTTTCAAAAGGTTCAAAGACCCTTCTTTCGTTTGAAAGAAAAGTAGGTTTCTCATGAGTTTGTGACCTCAACGTGAAAAGTCCATCAGTTAATATATAGCTTGAATTTGTTTCTTACAGTTTATGATATGATAGATATACAGTACTTTCAGTTGCAAAACGTTTCAACGATTTTCTTGATCTATAATGGACCTTAACCAGATCCAATTTATCCATTAAGCCTTATATTGGACATGTAAAAATTAAAAAGTTGATGGGTTTGGGCCGATCTCGATAGCCCAGGAGGAATACAACTTAAAGTAGTTTAAGTGCACACGTGTTGCGGACAGAACGGTAACTCTGAGTTAGCCGTTTGAGATATGTCAGAACGGTAACTTAAAACGGTAACTTACTTCAAAATTCAGAAACTATCCGTTAGTAATTTCTCCCAACGGTAAAGAAAACTTGTCTATATATAGTAATACACAGCCATCGTTTTCGTTAAAAAATCTAATCCAAAAGATGTAAATAGAAACTTTAGTCTCTCGTCTCTTCTTGTCTCTCTCTTGCTTCATCTCCGGCGGCAAACTCAGCAAATCATAAGGTGAGAGTTACTTTGATACACGTTTTATTTAGTAACTGATTTTTCCAGTCTTAATACTGCCAAAACTCAGCCCTCTTTTTTTTTAAATTCACGAATGTGTCCATATCTTTACATAAGTGTTTTCTCTATCTAGTTCCAGTTTCTTAACTATCTCTGAAATGTGATCTAGTTTAATCTCCAGTTTCTTACCTATCTAGATCTTACATAAGTGTTTATTCTATCTAGTTTAATGTCCAGTTATTCACTCGGATTATACTTCTCCTGGCTCGTATTGCTTTGTTTTTTTTTTGGCCCTTGTTGATTTTGATTTATGTGCTATTCTTGTTGATATGCTAAGTGCAATGTTTTTATAATATGAGTCATATTTTCGTTATTATTTCTTTGATTATATACTTCTCCTGGCTAGTCTTGAGTATGTTATTAATCAAAAAAAAAAAATTTGCAAGGTATTATTCTGATGAGGAGGACAGAGAGCTTTCAAGCCAACAACAATTTCCACTACTTAAAGCAAAAGTCCAAACATGAATTGCAATTTCCTCCAGGTAAAATTTTTCACTGCTTTCAAAGTAACCACTAGACATTTATTTCGAGTGAAACTCTGTTTAGTCGAAACACTTATTTTGAACATTTAGTATATTTAAAAAGCATTTTTTTAGTGTACACTAAAATACATTTGTGTCAAAAACAAGTCTTTTTATCCAAACTCACCTTAGTTAAAATTAGTTGAAAATCACCTTAGTTAAAATTTTGAAATATTTAGTAGAAACACTTTATCCATCAAAAAGGCCAACTTAAATAAAACACCCTTAACCACCAATTTTTTAACTCCCTTTAGTCAAAACTTAGTCGAAGCACTTGTCATAAAATGAGCCAGTGCCGTGCCTACTCAGTTAAAATTGGGGCAACAGCCCTAGGCCACAATCATATATTCAAAATTTTAGGCCACATTAACAAGATGTGTTTTAACTTACTTGATTAGTTTCTTTTTCCTATTGGATTTTTATCATCACTTTGTTTAATTTTTATGTTTAGTTTCTTTTTCTTATTGGATTTTTATCATCATTGTCATATCTTTTTGTTTTCATCTTTTATTATTTTATAATTCATCCTACATATTTTCTTACTCTATTGAAGTTACTTTTTACCAAAGTTTTTGATGATATTTTGTTAATTGAGTTTTTTTTTTTAATAATTAAAAAGGCCACAATTTTAATTTAGCCATAGGCCTCTTAAGTCATAGGCACGGCACTGAAATGAGCCCACGTCTAAAACACACATATGGTAGTAAACACATAAAAATCAACTCAAACAAATCACTTAGTCCGGGGCAGAGCGGGACTGATCATCCCGGGGCGGTCAGGGAGGTCGGGGCGGGCGGTCAGTTAGGGACGAGGCGGTCAGTTAGGGACAGTTTGGGACGAGGCGGTCAGTCGGGGCTCGGCAGTCAGGCGGGGCTCGGCAGTCAGGGCACAGGCGGGGCAGTCAGTCCAGGGCAGGCGGGCGGCGGGGCAATCAGTCCAGCGCAGTCCGAGGCGGTCAGACGGGTCGGTGCGGGGGTCCGGGGCGGTCGGTCGGTCTGGACAGTCAGCCGGAGCAGTTAGGGCGTAGTCGATGTTAGTCGAAACCCAAACACTAGTAACAAGTATAGTCTTAGTCGAAGCTTTTTAGTCAAAAAAAAACTTTAGTCGAAACAACGCAGAAAGCAGACTTTAAAATCGGAGCAGTCGAAATTTATATTGGGTTGAAAGCACATTAGTCGAAACATTTCAGTCAATTATGTAATTTCATGTAATATTTTATTATTATTTATTGTTTTTGATTCTTTAAATTCGGATGTTGTAATATTAGTATGTAATTTTAAAATAGAAAAAAAAACAGAAAATTATAATTACTGATTAATTTTAAAAAAAAACTGAGCGAGAAAATATGTTAGTTTGAAACATAAATATTTAATTTAATGTATTGTGTACACAAAAAGTTTTACAGCTTTAACTATTTTATTATTTAGTGAGAGCAAACTTTATTTAAAAATAACAAAAAAAAATAGTGTTTGGCGTGGAAATTCACCTAATTATTAAAAGTATTTAGGAAATGAGAACACAATTTAATGGTCAGATCTAGATCTCGTCGGTCATCCACCTTTCAGTTTTCACGAGTGTGTCGAACAAACGATATTAAATTATCGATTAAAACAAATTAATACTAGAATTGAATAATACAAGTTGCATGGTTAATGAATAAATCACCGATTTGGAGTCATTAATCAGTAACGACCGACACACTGAATAAAAACGCGTTCAGTTAATGGGCTATGAGTCTGTGACTGTGACTTCTCCATATAGGCAACTGTATTTTTATCGTCACATTTTTTTATAGAAAGTAAACTAAATTTATTCCATAACAAAACTTAAAAAAATTGCAAGAAGATAAACACCATGTGGGGGTTGTTGTTACTTATTAATGATGGAATTAAAAAACGCATTATGTGAAAATCTTGAAAATCCAATAAAATATTTTGTTGTAACAATATCTAATGTATATATATCTTCTTGGCCCAAAAAATTAAATACACAAAAAAAAAGGGAAATAAAAAGATTTAACAGCAAGTCGACAGTGTGGACATGGAAAGAGACCTTTACAACGAAAACAATGTACCTATCTCCCAAATATAGGAATAAACATTTCGCCAGTGAAAAAAGGTATCATTCCTTCCTTGAGGAGGAGATCTGAATCTATAAAGTTTTCTTTTTTATTTTTATGCAAAAAAGATCGTTACTTTAAAGCAAAAGAATACACACAACACAACTTCATTCACTCTCGGATCTCTCTCACTGGACACTGGTTGTGACTCTTCCTGGTCGGTGAGTTTTCGATTTTTCTGGGTTTTCATTCGTTTTCGATTCGTATTTTGCTTCCATCTCATTCTCTGAGATATTCGTTAATCAATGAGAGCGTTTTTTTTACTTTTCCTGGGAAATTGAGTGAGACTTTCATTAAAAGCTCTCCCGATAAAATGGATACTCTACACTCAGATCTACTGCTACTTCTATTTAATTTCATAAAGATCCAATCTTTGACTGTGTAACCAAAAAAAAAACAAAACTTTGTCGGTGGCCATTTTATAACACTTATGTTACTTACTTGGTTTACACTTAACTTGGCTTCTGACTCAAGATGCTTGTCTATGTGTGTGGTTTCTGACCCAATTAACACGGATCTGAATCAAGTCTGTTTTTTACAACTTTGAATTTATCATGTTCTGTTTATTTAAGTGCCAGTGCCTTTTTACCAAACTTTATGCTTAAAGTCATTTTCTTTATAAGTGTTTTGTTCTTGATTTCTGCAGAAACTCTTTCTGGGAGAGAGCATTCTATTAACAAGACTCTGAAGAGCTCTTTTGGTTGTTGGGGGAGGATATTACGGTTGGATGATGAGAGGGAGATCTGATGGAGGCCTAAAGAAGCGGCTTATTGCCTCTGTCTGTGTCGTGGCTTTATTCGTCTGTTTCTTGTTCATGTACTATGGTTCCTCTAGCCAAGGTGCATCAGCATTGGAATATGGAAGATCTTTGAGAAAACTCGGATCTTCTTATTTGGGTGGAGATGATGATAATGGTGATACCAAACAGGAGGATTCTGTCACCAATGCAGAAGACAGTCTTGTTGTCGCCAAAAGTTTTCCTGTAAGTTTGATCAGATTCTCAGGTCTGGTAACTGTGTTGAGATATGTTAATGTAAGCTAACTTATGGTATATATGTTAAGGTTTGTGATGATCGGCACTCGGAAATCATCCCTTGCTTAGATAGGAATTTCATCTACCAAATGAGGTTAAAGCTTGATCTATCTCTAATGGAACATTATGAACGGCATTGTCCTCCTCCCGAAAGACGGTTTAACTGTTTGATTCCTCCACCAAATGGCTACAAGGTTGCTAAATTTGCTTTCTTGTTTTGCTTTGATTTGTGAGTGGTTTCTGGTACCTTGTCTTGATATTGTTTTGTTCTTTGTATTATTTGTCTTTAGGTTCCTATTAAGTGGCCTAAGAGTAGAGATGAAGTGTGGAAAGCCAACATACCTCACACTCACCTTGCAAAAGAGAAGTCTGATCAAAATTGGATGGTTGAGAAAGGCGAGAAAATTTCTTTTCCCGGTGGAGGCACTCATTTCCATTACGGAGCTGATAAATACATTGCATCAATCGCAAATGTAAGCGTCTTTTGCTCACTTTTTTTTCTTTAGTGATAACTTGTTTCTAATGATTTTTTTTTTACTCGCAGATGCTTAACTTTTCAAACGATGTTTTGAATGATGAAGGGAGATTAAGAACGGTTCTTGATGTCGGATGCGGAGTTGCAAGTTTTGGAGCTTACCTTCTCGCATCTGATATACTCACAATGTCATTAGCCCCTAATGATGTTCACCAGAACCAAATCCAGTTTGCATTAGAAAGAGGAATCCCAGCTTATCTTGGTGTTTTAGGTACCAAAAGGCTTCCTTACCCGAGCAGATCATTCGAGCTAGCTCATTGTTCTCGATGTAGGATCGATTGGCTTCAAAGAGACGGACTCCTTCTTCTTGAGCTCGACCGGGTACTAAGACCGGGAGGTTATTTCGCTTATTCGTCTCCTGAAGCTTACGCGCAAGATGAAGAGAATTTGAAAATCTGGAAAGAGATGAGTGCTCTTGTTGAAAGAATGTGTTGGAGAATCGCTGTTAAAAGAAACCAAACTGTGGTATGGCAGAAACCGTTGAGTAATGACTGTTACTTGGAGAGAGAGCCCGGGACACAGCCTCCTCTCTGTCGCTCTGATGCTGATCCTGATGCGGTTGCGGGTGTGGCAATGGAAGCTTGCATCACTCCTTACTCCAAGCGTAAGTATTTACTTCTTTTTTTTCTGTTCCGTTGGTTATTTAGAGTTTTGAGGAATTAGGACCAGATCTTTTGTTTTCTGGTTGGTTTTGTATGCCATATGTCACAGTCATGCTCTGTTTTTCTAAAATACAGATGACCATAAAACCAAGGGAAGTGGGTTAGCTCCTTGGCCGGCTAGGTTGACTTCTTCACCTCCACGTCTTGCGGATTTCGGTTATTCAACCGACATGTTTGAGAAGGACACGGTACTAAAACCGCAATCTTTTCGCAACCATTGATCTTACTTAATCTTTCTTCCACAGATTTATTGAAAAAAATATTGCTTTGTTTATCTTCTTTGGTTACAGGAACTTTGGAAACAACAAGTGGACAGTTACTGGAATTTGATGTCATCAAAAGTCAAATCAAACACTGTGAGGAACATAATGGACATGAAAGCTCACATGGGTTCTTTTGCAGCTGCTCTTAAAGACAAAGATGTCTGGGTGATGAACGTTGTCTCTCCCGATGGTCCCAACACTCTAAAACTGATCTACGACCGCGGTTTAATCGGGACAAATCATAACTGGTATACACCTGAAACCTGAAAATCGAAAACTTTCCCTCAAAAATGTGACAATAGTTACACATTTTCACCATTCCTTTTGTTTGTTTCCGGTTTAATTTAGGTGTGAGGCTTTCTCTACATATCCACGAACATACGATCTGTTGCACGCGTGGTCAGTATTTTCAGACATTAAAAGCAAAGGATGCAGCGCAGAGGATCTATTAATCGAGATGGATCGGATTCTTAGACCTACAGGATTTGTTATCATCAGAGATAAGCAAAGTGTAGTTGAATCAATCAAGAAGTATCTGCAGGCTTTGCATTGGGAGACTGTGGCATCAGAGAAGGTAAATACAGGTTCAGAACTCGACCAAGACAGTGAAGATGGTGAGAACAATGTGGTTTTCATTGTCCAGAAGAAACTGTGGCTCACCAGTGAAAGCCTTAGGGACACTGAGTAAAACATATGAAAAGCAGAAGAAAAAACAAACAGAAAGAAATTGATTTATCCCACAAGTTTCTATATAGTTTTACTTTGATTTTTGTAGTTTGATTTGTACGACATAAGCATGATTATATAAAATACTAAAATTATTCATTGTTTCTTACTTTCTTGAAACATTCTTTAATTTTTCTGTTTCGATGTTTCTTATGTGTTATTATGACTGATCTGATCTTATCTTAAGTCTTAACTCTTTAGAATATATATATATTTTTCAACTCTTTAGAATATGTTTATGTTAGGCTAGAATGTGTTTGGTTAGAATGTTAACTTTGGTGTCGGCATAATATGTTAAATTATTGAAGAAAAAGTAAAACAGATTAGAAATTGAAATAGCATAGACTTTTGGATAATTTAATAACTAATAGAAGAAGATAACTATTGACAAATTCAATTTAGATGTTGATTTTTTTTTTGGTAAGATCAATTTAGATGTTGATTAGTTCAACAAAAAAAAAAAAACTTTAATGTGTGTTCTCAAAATGAGAATAGAGTTAAGTATTATTTCTATGTCCATTTTTAAAATGTTTCAAAACGTGAAATTTTAATAAATGCCGACAAAAGTAAGAAAAACAAATTATTCTCTATTTACTGATTTAAAATATTAAATGGTACAGAAGTAAAGAGCATCCAATTCGAAAGTTAAATATGTAATTTATACTACAAGTTTTTTAATATAATTAATGATGGGACCTATAACCTATTGTTTTGATTTGTTGTTGTATTATATGGTGGTGACTAATAAGATGTTTCCTTCTAACAATAATGCCAAAATGAAATATAAAATAAAATAAAAAAGATAAGGTAAAGTTTTATTTACATAAAAAAGCATGTGGGAAGAGGATTATACAAATAAGTACGCAACTAAGAGAGAGAGTAGTAGTTGTTGACCTTTTTGTCTAATTCAAGATAAGGCAAAATAAAAATGTAAGCCTCTCTTCTACTTTTTAAGAGTTTTTCCGTAGAAAATAAAACTCAGATTTCCACATCAAATCGATAATTTTCTCTCGCCGCGTTTTTTATTGTTCTTCCTTGCTTTTCCCTTTTAATTTCATCTTCAGTTTCTACCGACTATCGTGCACAAAATCTGTTTTAGTTTTCTTCTGATCTAAAAAGTGTGAAGCTTTGTTTAGTTGCATCTCGATGATGGTTGATTGTAAATGGGTAGTTTCAGTTTGGTTGTAGCAGAGAAGCAAAATCGATTTGGGTCAAAAACACTTTGGATTCATCATCCAACGATCGAAAGTTTCTATCTTTGTTAAGTTTGTTTCTTTTAGCAGAAGAAATTCTGAGGATTTTTACTCGAATTTCTAGTTTTTCCTTCTTGTTGATTGATTTCGTAGCTAGAAGAAATCGATCTAGGTGTATATATATATATATATCCATTCGATCGGATTTTAGCGACGCAATCGGTGATCTGGGTGAATATTATTTCAAAGATCAAGGTTTTTATTAGAGCACTTTTTGCTTGAACTGGGTTTTCAATACACTAAGAAGAAAAAAAAGAGAATCCTTTGGTGAATAATGGATCGTGTTGTTGGTGGTAAGTTCAAGCTCGGACGTAAGCTCGGAAGTGGTTCCTTTGGTGAAATTTTCCTAGGTATTCTTCATTTCTTACTTTTATTATCTTTTCTTGGATATAAATAAATGTCTTTAGTATTTCTCTGAATCTGTTTTTGTTTGCAGGAGTGAATGTACAAACTGGAGAAGAAGTGGCTGTTAAGCTTGTAAGTTACAATTCTCATATCTCAATATTATTGTCTTTAATGATCACTTGTCTTTAGTTTTGAAACTCGATATTTGCTTCTTTACGTATAGGAACCACTCCGAGCTAGGCATCCTCAGCTTCATTACGAGTCAAAGCTTTATATGCTTCTCCAAGGAGGAAGTATGTTTTGCATTGCCTTTTCATCACTCTTTCTTGACTTCAAATCTTACAATCTTCTTTCTTTTTATTAATATATATGTCTTTGTTTTATTTGAAGCTGGTATTCCTCACCTCAAATGGTTTGGTGTTGAGGGTGAATTCAACTGTATGGTGATCGACCTTCTCGGTCCTAGTATGGAGGAATTTTTCAACTATTGCAGTCGATCCTTCACTCTTAAGACTGTTCTAATGCTCGCTGATCAGATGGTTATTACTTTTTCCTTGCTTCTGCTCTTCTCTTTGATTACATGTACTGACACATTTTGGTTTCAAATTTTCCAGATAAATAGAGTCGAGTATATGCATGTACGAGGGTTTCTTCATCGTGATATCAAGCCAGATAACTTTTTGATGGGTCTTGGACGCAAAGCAAACCAGGTGAGTTTTTTCATAAGACTTCGGCAAGGATACATTTGTTTCTCTTCTTGTTTATTACATCTTTGTTTCTTCCTTTGCAGGTTTACATCATTGACTATGGCCTTGCCAAGAAGTATAGAGATCTTCAAACACACAAGCATATTCCATACAGGTATTTACATTGTCTCATCATGTAGAATGAATCCGGCTCTGTATTTAATGTTTTCTGTCACACAAACTTTTTACTCAAATAAATTTGTAACTGCCAAAGTTTATCTGTTTTCTTAAATGCCTTTCACTTTGTTAATCGGGAGTGTTACTTCTTAGGGAAAACAAGAATCTTACAGGAACAGCTCGATATGCAAGTGTTAACACCCATCTTGGAATTGGTGAGTCTTTTTTTTTCTTGCTTCTCATATATTCCGAGGTGACTGTCTTCTTTGCTTTTCCATCAGACTTGACAATTCATCAGTTTCTTAATAAATATTTTAAAATAATACACAGAGCAAAGTAGAAGGGATGATCTGGAATCTCTTGGCTATGTGCTTATGTATTTTCTTCGAGGAAGGTAAATTGATAAATCTGTATTTTGATTTTCTTCCCTATCATGATAGTTATGCCTGATCCTTAATTTCTGTTTCAGCCTTCCTTGGCAAGGCCTTCGTGCAGGTACCAAAAAGCAGAAGTATGACAGGATCAGTGAAAAGAAAAGACTAACACCAGTGGAGGTATTGTTTCCCGCTCCAATAAATATAAACTTCTTTGGTATATTGACTTGCAAGGTTTTGCAGTATTTTTGAATTCAAAGTTCTGAAACTGAAGTACTTAAGACTTGAGCTTTTGAGAAGTTCTGTGTTAATAATTTTAACCTTGAAATTGTCTTTGACAGGTCCTCTGTAAAAACTTTCCACCTGAGTTCACATCGTATTTTCTCTATGTGCGTTCATTACGGTTTGAAGACAAACCAGATTATTCATACCTAAAGAGGCTTTTCAGAGAACTATTTATCCGAGAAGGTTGGGAATTTGTCAAAAATAACTATCTGATGTGCTTGTGTTTGAGTATTTTTAACATAAAACACACTCAAGAAATTGCTTTGATTCTTATTTCCACAGGTTATCAGTTTGACTATGTATTTGATTGGACAATATTGAGGTATCCACAGTTCGGCTCCAGTTCCAGCTCCAACTCCAAACCAAGAGTAAGTCCATTCTGAAGCTATATGTGCAGAATTGTCATCATTTTGAATAGTGTATCAACCTTCTCACGCTTTTCCTGTTCCAATAGCCAAGTTTAAGACCAGCTATGAATATTCCAGTACCATCTGCCGACAAAGCAGAAAAGCCTTCAAGTAAGCATAAGATTTTGAAACTTTACAATCACTGGTAGAATAACTTTTTATTCCTTGTAACTGCTCTCATTCTGTGTTTACCCGATTTGGTTTTGGCTGAATTAACCTGTCGTTTCTCTCCGGTTCAAGATGTATTGTTATGCTCCCAAAATCAATGATTCAGTTTTTGTTCTGGTCAAGTAGTTGTTACACAGCTTTAACGCTTGTAGAAGAAACTCAGATACTAACAAAAACTTTTCGCTGAATCATATACAGTTGGGCAGGACAGTCGCGAGAGGTTCTCAGGTGTTTTCGAGGCATACACCAGAAGAAATGGCTCAGGAACCGGCGTTCAAGCTGATCAATCTGGTAGACCAAGAACCTCAGAGAATGTTCTTGCATCCAAGGACACGGTTAGTACATCAAAATAGAAACATTTTTATGTCTTTTTATGGTAAACCGGAAGATCCAAGACTGAAACTGTCCTAAATCTAGATTCTTTAAATACATTTTGGGATTTGCACATAAAGCACCTCTTTTTTTTTTTGAATCAGCAAAACCAGGAGAGACCAATATCTTTATCTAGGAACCTGAGTTCGTCAAGAAAAGCAATTGCTGGGTCAAGTGTTCGAGCCACTTCCTCAGCTGATTTCACAGAGAATCGATCAAGCAGACTCATCCCAAACAACGGTCGGTCCTCTACAACTCAGAGGACCCAGTTTGCTCCTTCGTCCTCCTCTTTAGCCACAAAGGCTGCACCAACGAGAACCGCACGGGACATTACCCTCCAGAGCCTCGAGCTCCTCAGTATTGGGAACAGCAAGAGGAAGTGATTATCTGCATTTGTCGCCCGCCAGGTTCACAGTTGGATCATATTTATTATCCATCTTTGTTTCAGAAATTATTGTTAAGTAAGAAACAAACTTGATTTGTTAAAAGATAAATATTATACATGGCTTTTCTTCGTAAAATCAGTGTTGTTCATATTGTATTTGTTAAATTTATATTATCCTCTTTAACGCCAATAATTTTATGATTAAATATATTGTGACTTAAATGTGTCTGAACTTTTTAAAAAGTAATAGTAATTTATTTTTATTTCTTATTATTTATCCAATTTAATTCTTATAGTATTGAAATAAATTTAGAATCTAATAAAATGATGTAATTACATGTAAGTGGATTAAAAAAGTAATTAATTTTTTTGGTCAACTTTCAACATTTTCTTAAATTTATATTTTAGTATAATCATAGAAATAAATCTTTGTCTATGGGATAAAATCACATGTACAATTAACCATTTTAATATGTGAAACCTATGACAATTGATTATTATGTAAACTAGTGAAGTCTTGTTACAAATTATTTACAACATACTAAGTAAATATATGTTTAAGAATTTGACTATTTAATTAATAAGTAGATATATATTGTAATGATCTAAACATATTCAAAATTTGCAATAAGTTTGATGATAGTAATATGTTTTATTGCAATCATATTCAAAATTCATTTTTATTATTGTTGATTCAGTCGCAAACAATAAACTAAAACTATAGTAGTCAAAATTTCATATTAAGAACACTAAAATCATACTAACGATTTACTTATTTAGTCGTTTTTCATAAGCAGAGCTGGTCATGTAAATATTTATATGAAATAATGTGTGGGTCCTCAGTCCTCAATTTTGTGATGGGGCCTCGTGTATCTCATTCCGGTCCTCTCTTAATAAGAGAAGAAATAAATTCAATCTCCATATAAAGAAATGTTTTAGGACACATATTTGAAATAGATAACATCGTAAATGGAAGACCAGAAGCAAAGATTTCATTTTTGTTAATATTTACCCAAATAGATAACTAAAACTAATTAGGGATTTTTCCCAAAAGAAAATTGTATTACAGTGGAGCAAGAAGTGTACAATGTGTATTTCCCTTAATAGTACTGTATACAAAACAAAAAGAAGAAAAAGTTTTATTTTTAAAAGGTGGTTGATTAATTTCCCACAAATCATCAACCTCCCATTAGTATCCTTCCCAAAATGAAAACAATCACTATTCTTAAGTTTTAATTTGCATTAAATCACATTACCTTTTAATTTTTCCATACAATGTTTGACTTCTTTATATGATTAGATATACCTATATATAAAAAATTGTTTTCTTTATTAGAAAACATTTACAAAAAAAAAATCCTGAACTAAATTCATGCATGATGAGATAATAAATCCATCCTCATCATCATCAAATTAAGACAAAACTAACACACATGGAAAAATATATTTCCCCATATAGTGTTGGCATTATCTCCATCTCCTTTTTTTCATACATAAAACTTGTATATAAATAGTTCTCTAGATGTGTCTTAGGTTCTCCATCTCTCAATATCTTTCTTGCATCGTCATTAATATAAACATATAAAATAAAACCTAAGCATGCCATTTTCAAACCCCCAAGAATGTGCGATTTGTAAGAGAGTCTTCTTATCACCACACCACCTGATCTCACACTTCAACGATGTTCACTCCAATCGCCACAATTCCACCTTCTCTTCCTCCGCCACCGCTACACCCACCTCCTTCCGCCACTACCCGAACGTAAACCGGAACCCTAATCCTGATTTTCAGGCGAGGAATCATTTTGACGTGAATTATTACCGTAGGGGTTACTTAGACGATCACGGGAGGTTTCATAATGGATGTTCTCCGACGCCGGTGATAACTCCGACCAGAAAATATAAGTTTTTGCTGCCAAAGATGCCAACGACGCCGCAGATGCCGAAGCTGATGGATCTTTTTCCGGCGGCGTCATCCGAAAATGTCTTTACGCTGCCGCTTATTTGCCAGCTGGAGCAAAGGAGAGCGGAGGATAGTGCTGTGACGGAGAACGAAGGAGCCAATTCGAGTTACATCGACTTGTCATTAAGGCTGTGACTCTCTAGCAGTAGACTTGTCCGGTTAAATTAATTAATAAAAACAAGAAATTTAGGATTCTCGATCCGAAAAAATTAGGGCTTTTCGAGAAGTATGATGTCTCTTTGGTTGTTGTTCTTGTTATTGTTGTTTCATTATTATTATTTTAACAGTTCTTTGGACTGATTAGTGTATTATATATGTATTTCTTTTTGGATTATTATTTTGTTCTTCATTTTGTATTATTTCTTTTTCTTTTTGTCAAAGATTCACTTTGAATTATTTCTTCTTGTTATATCTATCTATTCATGATTATTATAAGATTCATAACTAAATTTGAGTAAGTGGGTATTACTATTATGTGTAAAAAAATATTATAAACTCATTAAAACTAAAAAGTATATAAACATAACATAAAAACTATAGCTATATTATATATATATATATATATATATATATGGTTAGAGCAAATTTAATTTTGTATTTTTTTTGTCAACTTTACTTATATATTTCTCAATTTTGTATTTGGTATTTCTACTTTACTTATATATTTTATTTATATAGTAAAAATGTATGTTATTAATAAAGTTTATTACCTGATATATATTAAGAAACACTAATGCGGAGTAATTTTTTTTTGTGTTAGTGGTCTTGACTCTTGTCTCCTTCAACCCGTAAAATCCTCTCGTCGACTAGTTTTTTTGTTTTGTTTTTCCCACGGAGGATTCAGTAAACACTACGTTGCCTCTATTATCACCAACAAAAAACCTTAAAATAAAATTAGTTCTATTTATAAAAACATATATAAACAGTAAAAATAAAAATCTTGAAAAAGTTTTTTGTTTTTTTTGGTAAATAAAGTATAGTGCTCTCCCTCTTCTTCGCAACCAAGAATTTGTCTGAAACCTAATCTCTCTCTTTCCAATTCTTTTCTCAATTATTTCCAAAATGAAAATCAATGCAATCAAGGTTCGAATTCTCTGATCTCGTTCAATTCTTTGTCTGTCTGGTTGGAACTGCTTAAATGTTTATCTGTTAAATTTTTCATTCAGTGATTGATTTGTTCTTTCATTTGGTCTACAAAGTTAGGTTTTGGCACATTCAGAGAGTTACAGCATCTGAATTTCTAACCGGAAACCATTCCTCCCGAGATGACGACTGTGAAAGGCCTTCTTAAAGGCCTTCGCTACATTACTCAGATTTTCGGTGAGTCTCATCGATTCACAAGAAATATTTTAACTTTTCTTGTACTACAAGTCACATCTCTGTATATATATTTGAAAAAAAATATCTAATTGCAGACGAAGATAAAGACAAGGACATGCAGATCGGGTTTCCTACCGATGTAAAGCATGTCGCCCACATCGGATCCGACGGTCCCGCCGCCAATATGCCAAGCTGGGTACGCTTTGTACATTTATACGTATTTTGCCGACCATACGTATAAGTATACTCACCATTGGTTAAAAAAACATGTAGATGGGTGACTTCAGACCTCAAGACAATGAGAATGGTCAAGTAGTTTCTCGAGGAGATGCCAACAATCAAATAGGAGAAGGAGTTGGATTACAAGAGTTGTTGCCTCCTACCGAGAAACCGAAGCACAAGAAGACGAGGCGTAAATCCGAGACGGTCTCACAAAACGGTTCTCCGCCTCGGCGAAACAGCAGTGCGTCAGCATCAGATATGCAACCAAAACACCCGAGACGTCATCACAGGAGTAGGCACGGGTCGATAGATTCATCGAATGATCCATCAGTTAGGAGGAGGCGTGTTGTCTCGGTTACCACCGATATGGAAGGTTCTTACCCTCTTTCAGACAGTTCAACTCATACTAGAAAGTCTACATCACGTCATAGGAAGCCAAAAGGATCAGGAGGAGGAGAGCTATCAATGAAGAAGACGAAAGGGAAAACTGAGAATCCTATTGTTCAATCAGTCGATATATGTAATGATAATAATATCAGTGACAAAGAGTAAAACACATCATGGTTTTGGTCACCTGTCTAGCGTGTGAATTGTCTCGGTCTTTCTTGACTGTTCCATAGAGAAAAACATACATGTTTCACAAAGAAAATGGTTAACCACCTGAGAAGTGATAAAATCACAGGAGATAACCTGCTTTATGATCTCTCTCTATCAAGGAGGCACCGAAACAACAAGCTGATGATAGAGCTACTATAAATGGATTTGAAACATTTACCATTCAATGATTCTACTGAGGAAGATTAAAACTCTTGACAAAATTTACTTTTTCAGCTTATCTAAGTAGTTTTTGGCGATTCTTGAGATGAACTAGACATTAAGGATTGGACAAAGCGGACTAACCCGACAATGCCATGAATGGGACAAAGCTACATATACCTCAGATAAATCTACAGTTTCTACTTCTTACGAAGATCTATGCCAGCTTTCTTGGCAACAGCATCGAGGCCGTTCTTTTCAATGGTCTTCAAGGCCTTAGTTGATAAGCGTAATTTGACGAAACGTTTGCCAGCTTCCCACCAAACTTTTTTGTATTGCAAGTTGACGAATTGCAACTTCTTGGTCTTGTGGTTAGAGAAGGACACTTTGTTAGCTCTGTTTGCTTTCTTCCCCGTAAAAGGGCAGATTCTACCTGAGATGACAAACACGAAACAGCTTCAAAGGATGAAAGCTAGGCAAATGTTTAAGCTGGTAACAAAAAACGTTTGTGAATGTCTAAAACTGCAAACAAACCAAATAAGAAGATCTAAATCTCAAATTGGGGAAACATTAAACTCACATAAACTCCTTGTGAAGCATTCATCATCATCAATGTTTACTTTTGTGATGTATCAATCATAATCGAGATAGAATTTCGTTACAGGACTTAAAGCATTGATGAATTCTAGCAATTTCAGAGAACCAAACGCAAGATACTCCAAAAATACGAACTTGAACACAAATTGCAAAAACCCTAATTGACTAAAGGCGGAAGAAGAACTGAGAGAAGCTTACGAGCGACGATGGCTTGGAGAGAGGGAACAGAAGGTAAGGTTATACGATTGATGGCATCACTGTAACCATGTGAAATTCTTACGCCGCTGAGTTGGGAAGTCAGAGAACCGAGCTCCGTTGATTTCGGCCGAGATAAGGAAGCAACCCTGAGCCAAGGCACCTGCGTCGCCATTGTCGCCATTTTTGTTACTGTAGCTAAACCAAGAAAAGTTTAAGAGGAGAAAGAAGAAGGGCGGATAATTATCGCATCGATGCGACGACGTCGTTTCAGGTTAAATGTCCAAACCAAAAACATTTACATGTCAAAATTGATCAAATCACCTCTTAGGGGTTTGGATGTTGTGTTCAACTAGTTTACACAAAATTTAAAAATTTAACACTTATCAAAAAAAAACAAGTGTTAAAAATTAATTGTGTGTAAACCACATTGAACCTAGAACACCTCTTAGGGGTTTGGATGTTGTGTCCAACTAGTTTACACAAAACTAAAAATTTAACACTTATTAGAAGAAAGAAAAAAACAAGTGTTAAAAAATTAATTATGTGTAAATCATATTGAACCTAGAACATCACTTAGGGGTTTGGATGTTGATCCAATTAGTTTACACAAAAATTAAAAATTTAACACTTACTCAAAAAAAAAACAAATGTTAAAAATTTAATTATGTGTAAACCATATTGAACCTAGAACACCTCTTAGGGGTTTGGATGTTGTATCCAATTAGTTTACACCAAAATTAAAAATTTAACATTTATAAAAAAAAAGAAAAAAAAAAACAAAAACATTAAAAAAAAACAAGTATTAAAAATTTAATTATGTGTAAACCATATTGAACCTAGAACACCTCTTAGGGGTTTGGATTAGTTTACACAAAATTTAAAAATTTAACACTTATAAAAAAAAAGAAAAAAAAAAACAAAAACATTAAGAAAAACAAAACAAGTGTTAAAAATTTAATTATGTGTAAACGATATTGAACCTAGAACACCACTTAGGGGTTTGGATGTTGTATCCAATTAGTTTACACAAAAAATAAAAATTTTAACACTTCTTAAAAAAAAATAAAAAAAATCACTTTTTATTTGAAAAAAATAATTAAAGAAATAAAGAAAGTATTATACCTAATTGGACTTAGTTTGGACAAGAAAAGTCATTGCCAAGTTGTTCGTCACTGCTCTATTATGTAGTTGTTGATCGTGACATCGATGAAACTCAAACTATCGCACTCGTCTTCATTACCAAGTCCATCGAACATGATCTGTTCCATTGCCAAGTCATTCTTCACTGCCACTGCACTGGTCGTCGTCTTCACTAATCTCATGAGAACAGATCATCAAGAACTGTGAAATTAGGGTAAACCCGATTGACAGAAGACAGAGGATGGTGATCAATCACGAAACGAGATGTTTTCCTCCGACCAATCCTACAGACGAAATCGTTGCATAGATCATCGGCTTACTTCAATCTCTGAATGGATCATCTCCTTCACGGTCTCGATCATATCCGTAAGACATTGCAGAGGTTTGCTTCAGAAGAAACAAGAGGTATTTAAAAAAAAAGAAGGAGATGAATGATGAAAGATGGATTCTTTTGTTTTCGTTTTGAAAAAGAAGATGAATGAATAATTATGATTTCACAAGGAAGAAGAGTATTTATAAGCAAACGTTGTTCAATAGAAAAAAGGAAAGTCTCTATTGTTTCCTTTTTGTTTTACGACGAGGATAGGAAAAGGAAATTTTAGTTTTGCTGCAAAACTAATGGAAATTTGCTCACAACGGTCAAATTTGTTATTTGTGCGTAATATTATTTGAGTTTTAATGGGTAACAATTTATCAAGATAATATTTGTGTTTTAGTGAGTAACGGTCATATTTGTTATTTGTGCGTAAAATTATATTAGTGTGTAACAAGTTATCAAGATAAATTATTTGGGTTTTCTTATTTGTTGAAACAGAGAATGAGCCGTTGAAATCGAGAGGAGCAAAGTAGGGATCATCTGAGCTCTTTGACAAGATCGTGCAACTAAGGTCTGTACCGAATTTTGTAGTTACTTATCTTTGGTTACTTTGTAAAAACACAATTACAATTTACAAACTCGTTAGATTCAAAGAAAAACTTTCACTCATAACAGAACACTAACCATCATCAATGATACAAAACAGAACAGAACAGAGCATTCTTTAACCATCCATGTTGTTGCTGTCTCCGTTAACAACCAAAAGCATCAAGAAATAAGGAAAGTAGAAGATGTGTCTGAGAAAGCCTTGTCTTGTAGACGAGAAAGCATAAGGAATGATAAGTAGCATCAGGACTACCAAGAAGCCTGAATCTATGGCTAATGCAAGATGGGAAAGCCATGGGAGATCGTTCACCAAAAATCCGAACTTTAACACAAATTGCAAAAACCCTAATTGAATAAAAGCATCTGGTTTTGGCACATTCAGAGAGTTACTGCACCTGAATCTCTAACCGGAAACCATTCCTCCCAAGATGACGACCGTGAAAGGCCTTCTTAAAGGCCTTCGCTACATTACTCAGATTTTCGGTGAGTCTTATCGATTCACAAGAAATATTTTAACTTTTCTTGTAGTACAAGTCACATCTCTGTATATATATTTGAAAAAAAAAATCTAATGAACAAGCAATTTTTTCTTTTTTTGTAACATCTTAATCTCAAAATATACAACTGATCACGTCTTAGCGAGATGACATTCTTTTTACTATTTTTCTTTGTGTCATCTTCGTTTACCCAATTGAAACGATTTTTTCAAAAACTGATTAGCGACACGATCGTCTCTATAGCAAAGAACTCGCAAAATCGTGTTCGGATCCGACCTGTTCCATCGTCCAGTCGTTGGAGGCATTGGAAGTTTTTGTCCGGTTCCGACCAATCCCATTCCGCTTGACTCGCATGTCACGATGCTAAAGTCTTCCATAAGTTGTTCTGTTGGTTGGCCCATAAGCTGAATCACTCCCTCAACTGTCTCTGCCTCTCTATCCACCACTTCCTCTGGGATTAGTCCTTCGCCGCAAGTGCAATAAACCTTCTTTAAACTCTCGAAATCTTCCTCGATCAAATCGTGATCCGTTCGATAGAAGACTCGGGAATGTCCTCCCGCGAGTAGAACCGTCAAAACGACTTCGAATGAAGCCTTCATGACTTCCTTCATCGCCAACGCTTGCGCTCGGTCCGCAAGAATCGCGGTCATTAACGTTAAGTTCTGTTTCAAGATTCGCAACCCGGGTTTGATCCTCGCATTAGCGACATCTCCGGTGTATAGGCTTTCGTAGAATACTGCGTATGAGTCCAGGAAGATTAACCGGTAAGCTGCAACCTCAGAGACATGTTGGCACGCGGATTCGATTCCCGCTTGAGTGAATTCGAAATACGATGATGATTTGGTCCGTTCGCGGCAGCGTTTACGTGTCGCGGGGAGGACCCTCGGGTTGAGAGAAAGGGATTTGTTGAGGGAGTGAAGTTGAGAGCTTAGGAAATGTAAAGTGTTGAGACGAACGTAGAGGCGTTGGGTTCCGCGGCTGGTGGAAGGACGCGGGTGGTTGCCACCTGTGGCTTCACCAATTTGGTGAAGTTCTTCTCCCGAGGCAGCACAAGGCGTGGCTTTCTTCCAAAGCTTCACGAACTTTGAGTCTCGGTTACATCTTGTAAGTGGAGGAAGCGTAGGAATGTAACTCTGTTTTGAACCTGACAAAAAAACAATCACGAATCAGTCACCAATGGTTTGGTATGGAATGAGAAATTTTATCCTTTCACTTACCACAAGATGCTACGAATGTGGTGTATTCTTGGAAGATTTTTTCTAATCCATCAGCAAGATCATGAACCAGATCCTCTGTAATCCCAATAGGGATCTCAAAGAATTCCTCGATCGCATCATTTGCTAGCTTCATCAACTCTCCAGCAGATTGTGCATAAGGTTCTGATTTTGACTTCGGGTTCCATGTCTACAGAAACAAAAAAAAATGATTGAATAGATGAAACATTTTGTATACTTGAACTGCAAGTAAAGCTTTAATAAACATACTTCAGCTTCTTTTGCTCTGCTCAAACATTCTTGAACTGTTTGTAACTTCTCGTCAATCCATTGCCTTAGTAGTTGTAAGATAATCGAATCGATTTCATACGGAACCATCTCTCTAACAAGCCCTTTGCCTCCATCTTCACATTCCTCTGAATCTTCTGCCACCATCTGCACAAGAACCTTCTCGAGCTTCCCCGCCGTTTGCAGAACTTCAACAGTCTCTTTAGTGATTGTCGACCGACCAGCTAAGTATTGCATCAAGATGGAACCATAACATTGGTGAAGCGAAACCGAGGCGACTCCAGCTGCAACCAAGTGCCATCTCTTAAGTATAGGGCTAAAACACTCGCTCTCGCGCAAAGCAAGCTCCTCTGTCTCTTTAGCTAGCCGAAGCAACATAGTTGCCGCTTCTTCTCCTTCTTCTGTTTCTGCGATTTCGGCCTTCATGTTTTCTATAACCTGACACATTTTTGAATAATAATGATATTAAAAACCAAAAACACAGAGAGATATAAAACACATATGTGATTTTTGTAGTCAAAATTACCTTTGAGAAGGCGTTTTTAATAGATGCTCTTATATAGTAATCAACGCGATCCCCTGAAGAATCTACTAATTTCACATCACCTTTCTCTAGACCATTCCCTTGAGAGATTGTCACGTCCTCCCCCAAAATCTTAGACGAAGACAACGCCAATGGCAGAAGATTCTCTATCAATCCCACGTTTCCTCGTTGAAAATAATCATGATAGCTCAACAACCTATAATCACACATTCATAATCAGATTCAGTTTTGTGTGATCAGGTCCAAAATTATAAGGCAAATATATATACCTTTTTTCAGTCCATCCTTGCATAGAGGCCAATGTCGAGGTCAAGAGCTTCACGTAAAGAGCCTCGCGATCAGACTTCTTGGCGTCATTCGCAACTTCAGCCAACATGGCGTGAGAGGCACCAAGCAAGTCTGGCTCCATCTGAGAAGTCACAATGTATTGATGAAACAGAACCCAAGTGAAACACAGGTTATGCATAGGTCGTGTAATCCCCAACATTAACCATGTCTTTTTCATCAGTTCCAAAAGCTCATCGATCTCATCGAGAACCAACGTCTCATCACGTACGTCAAATATCGACTGCAAAAGCGCCACATAGAGATGAATATTAAGCGGGTATCCGTCGGCCCAATGGCATACATCGGTTGTTGGATTGCTGTTGCGCCATGATAAGGAGGCGACAATGTTACATAATGTCGGCATTATGTCTGAGTTTTTGCTGGTGTCGATGGCTTTTGTCTCACTCTGGCGGATAATTTCTCGGAGACGCATTGCAGAGTTGTTGGTCTTCTCAAGAGGGATTGATGGGTGGATTAGAAGACCAGCTTCAAGGACTTTGAGTTGCCGTCTTTGCCAAATTTGATACTCATGTACATCGCCAAACTCCGATGATTTCACGTGACGGAGAAGCTCTAACGGAAGGATTATTGTCTCTGCTCGCCTACCAGTCTAAAGAATAACAGTGATTAAACATTTCTTTAATTAATCAAGAAACAGAGTTCATTCATAATTTCAAACAAAAAAAACAGAGGAACTTACTTGGCCAACAAGTGTCCTCATTAGGGTTTTCCGAAGCCGAGTGTCACTCTGTTCTGTCACCTTCATTTGTTGCCTCATGATTTCTGCAGAGGTTAACGGTCGTCGAGGCCGAGAAGGTGGGACCGTAAAAAACCCAGCCCCTGGGCTAAAGTGTCCTGAACCACTTCCTATGCTTCCATTATTACCAGGGGATGAAGGAGCAGACACGGCTCCTACAACGGTCCCTACTGTCGACATTCGCCTAGACGGAGATCGTTTAAGCATCTTTAACCCTAATGCCCTTTTTACTCGGCTTGTTGGTGTTGTCACCACTTCTTTTCTTCCTAAAGACCCGAAACCAGACCCATTAGGCGATCCTCCTCCTCCTCCTATTCCATCCCCTTGATGGTCACCACCATTGTGCTTGGAGTAGAATGTGAGAGCATTTCTACCTCCAAATCCAGGTGATGATCGACACGCGGCGAAAAAGATCTCATACGCGGTTTCACGGATTTCATCCCGATCAAGACCATCAAGCTTCCCGAATGGCCAGAGAAGATCAGTATCAGGACAAACCTCAAAGCCAACCATGTCGAAAAAGGACTCCCTCCGAGAATGACGAACCATCACGGAGGGGAGGCAAGAAGGAAGAAAGACCAGACGGATTCGGGTTTAAGAAATCAGATGTCCGAGAAAATGAGGAGAGAGAAGGAGTTCTTTGGTTTAATAAGGGAAAAATGAGAGACAACAAACAAAAAAAACAGAGAGAAATGAGGAGGTGGAGGAAGACGAGACAACTTGGAAAAAGCTAGGCGACAACAAATTTCTCTGTGCTAATGAAGGATAGAGGATGTGAGTAAAATGAGGAAGACTCGTGAAATCAACCATAATTAGCAAATCTCCTATTCCAAGTAACTTTTGCCAAGCCAAATCTATTGTTTCTCTTGTATTTCATATGAATTCTCTTCCATATACACAACCTTTTAAGAAAAAAACAAAATCCAACCTTAAATTGTTGACAACAGAATCCAACATAAACAGAGTTGGAAACTTGTTACTCAACATACTTTTGCACCTTCTTGTTGTTGATGTATCCGGAAAAAAAGAAGATAAAATTTGGTCAAAACTTAAATCTAAATTCTGTCGGCAGCAGTTACTGAAATGTTGTCCTTTAATTGTTAAACTGGATAGCTATATATATATGATCTTATGATGGAATTTGTTCAAACTTCCAAGTAAGGTCAACTCTACTCAATCACGAGATGTATAGGACCTAATCATTGATCATTTCAGCGACCTTTTAACTTTGAGAAATATGGAATATCATCATCCCCAGACAACTTAAGATTTTAGGAATCGACAAAAATTGCTAATCAACTTGACTTCTGCGAAAATCTTACAAGCCTTAAAAACAAATATAACAGAAGATGATGAATAAATGCAGTTCTTACAAGTTACAACCATGAAGCTTGTACAAATAATGGCATCAGCAAAAACCAATTCAAATATCATAAATAACCTCAAAGCTTATTCTATCGATTCCAGATCACAACTTAGCAAAGTCGATCATATGCATCAATATCAACAAATCCAAGCCAAAAAATATAAGATCCTAATTTAGGACACAAATACATTTTTTGACTCGTTCCAGTGTAAGGAATCTTTAATATACAAATGATTTAACTGGATTATGTTGGGACTCACAGTGAAGTGAGATCCCTCCAAAAATAGGCGTATGCCACTTAGCGTGGAGAGCACACGGTATTCTTTAGTAAAAGGCGAAAGAATAGTTCGCTATGTTCTCACCACATGGCTGCGTGAGTAATAACTGAGGAGAGTGCAGTCTATTTATACTGATGTTTCACTACCAAACTCTCCCAGCTTTCCGATGTGGGACTCTCAAAACAATAAAGACGCGTGTGATTTAAAACTCTTTGTGGGCTTTCATGGGCCTCAAATACTTTAAACTTGGGCTTTAAAACGCGATCGTCTTCTTCTTCCATCTTAAGCCTAGTGAAACCCTAGAAGTATCAGTCACTACTATAAATCACACCGGAAACCCTAATACTAAAACTCCAGATTTCTCTTCAAGCCGTCAACAATGTCGAAGCGAGGTTCGTGCTTTTCTTCTATCTACTTTATTAGATCTGTTATATTTCAATTCATCAATGTGTATTCGTTCAGTTTTTGGCATTGGTTTAATTGTTTTTGATTTGGATATGTTTTTGATTAGGGCGTGGAGGTACCTCTGGTAACAAATTCAGAATGTCACTGGGTCTTCCGGTGGCAGCGACGGTGAACTGTGCCGATAACACCGGTGCTAAGAATCTGTACATCATTTCGGTGAAAGGTATCAAAGGTCGTCTTAATCGATTACCTTCTGCTTGCGTCGGCGACATGGTGATGGCCACCGTCAAAAAGGGTAAGCCTGATCTCCGGAAAAAGGTTCTTCCTGCCGTCATCGTCAGGCAACGCAAACCATGGCGCCGAAAGGACGGTGTTTTCATGTACTTCGAAGGTCAGATTACTTTCTTTCTCCCTAAATACCCTTATAGGATTCATAATTTCTTCACCAAGATTAAGTCATGTATTCACCGACACTACTTAGAGGGTGTTTAATACAGTTACAAGCATTGGGATAGTTTAAGTTGTGTTCATCATTACAGATGCTTTAATGCTTCAACGCTTGAATCTGTTCCATTTGGACTCAAATTCTTTATATCAATAGCTTGATTGTGTTCTAGTGGTCATGTAGCTTATGAATAGATAAAGATATTATGTAGTTGCTTTGGTCTAGTTACATGTTCCAGAATTGTGTCATGTATCCACCGACACATTAAGAGGGTGTATAAATACAAAACAAAATCTGGTATACCTAAATGTGTTCTATCGTTACAGATACTGTTATGCTCAAACGCTTGCATCTGCTCCATTTGAACTCTACATTCTCATTGTTCTAGTAATTGTGATTCTATGATTTTAGTCATATTTAGCTTCATAATTAAGCTTTCAGTCAGTTTATGTGATTGATGTCACCAGGCTTAAGTCAAGTATCCACCGACACATTTAGAGGGTGTTGATGCTCGTACAAGTCTGGAAAACTAAATTGTGTCCTTCGTTACAGATGCTTTATTGCTTGAACGCTTGCATCTGCTCCATATTGACTCTATATATTCCTCAACTTGATCATCCTTTTGGTTCTAGTATTACTGTTTCTGTGATTTTAGTAAGGCTTTAGTCAGTTTATATGATTGATATCACCAGGCTTAAGTCAAGTATCCACCGACATGTTTAGAGGGTGTTGATGCTCGTACAAGTCTGGAAAACTAAATTGTGTCCTTCGTTACAGATGCTTCATTGCTTGAACGCTTGTATCTGCTCCATATGGACTCTATATATTCTTCAACTTGATCATTGTTAGTAATTGTGTAATGGAAGCAAAGTACTGATTCTGTATTTCTTTGTTGCACAGATAATGCTGGAGTCATTGTCAACCCCAAGGGAGAAATGAAAGGTTCTGCAATTACTGGTCCTATTGGGAAAGAGTGTGCTGATCTTTGGCCAAGGATTGCTAGTGCTGCCAATGCCATTGTCTAATGATCAGATCAATCAATTGCTTGTATTTGATGGATCAGTCTAAATACAATCTTGAGAATTTTTGTAGCAAGATATTTTTATTCTCTGACAATGTGTGTTCGACATTCAAATCTTTTGGCTATTTAGACATTCTTACAACTTCTTTCCAGTTCTGTTATTATTAACATATGGACAAAGCTTAACTAGTTCAAATATGTAAGATGCAACGGTCTAAGCTTCTGGCTATGTATGAATGCCAAAGCAATTGCAAATGATTGCAGACTAGTCAACTTTGCTTCGAATTGAACTAAGTAGACTCCTCCACTAACATTCACAATCTTTAATCCACTCGTTTCATGCTTTGAACCCTGAAACAGCACCAAAAGATTAGCAAAGTGGCAATCTTTGTTAAAGGGGTTGGCTATAAGATTGATGTGTTAGACGAAATGAATGAGTGTTAGTTACCTCTTTGAGTAGCTCGAACTGGTCTTTCCGAGGTTGGCCTTTAAGAAGGGTTAAGGAACAACCCAAGTCCCATCCTCCACAGTCACACTTTCCTTGAGATTTCCACCTCTCTATCAAACTCAAAGGTCCATCTTCAGGCCCTCCATGAACCCCTGAAGAAATCACAACATTCATACTTATCATCGAAGATGTTGAAGTTTCAGTCTCAGTAGCATCATTAGTTCTTTGGACCATGGGGGATCTTTTCAAGAACTTTAATCCCCAACCTCCAATTTCTTCCTCAAGAGTCTCTTGTTTCACAACAACAGCTAATGTTTCAAGATTTGTTGGAAGGTTGTTTTCTAGCAGATTCACCTTCTCAAGGTCATAGTTTGGTTCTTGGAATTGCTGATCCCAAGAACCTAAACCAGGTATGAAGCTTGTTCTACTCAATCTTGAGATTCTTTGATCGTTCTTGATTGCATGGACTACTTTTTTAGACAATCCTCTGTTTTTCATACTACGCGGTATCTTGAGATGCTCACCATTGCTACTGAACAAAACAAACTGTCTCTCTAAGATTTTCTCCGAGAACAAAGTCGATATATTTATTCTACCAACTAGATGTGATGATGATGACAATGATTCTCCTCTTTGCAGATGGATCATATACGAGTTTTGGTCTTGGACATTGCTGCTTAAGCTTGCCACATAAACATCCTTTTGATTCTCCAATTTGAAAACAAAATGAGGCATTCCATTGGCTCTCATAGTGAATTGTAGGATTCCCTGAGAGTAGTTGCTCGATAAAGAGATTACCTTGTTATGCATCTTTTCGGATTTAGCAACATCATAGTTTTCTCCTACTTTGCTCAAAAATTGACTTGGACAAGTAGCGACCTCACATGATACTTTGGGACTGCCTCTTACAATCTGTAACCATTTCCCGTTGCATAAAACCGACAAACATTGTGCATCTTTCTTAGAAGTCAAGTTGCTTGATGGATTCTTCACATTCATCAATGGATTGTCATGCTCAGGGTCATTGTTTTGAGCATCAGGAGTATCACCCTCCATCTCTATTGTCAAATTCCAGAGGAATTCCTGATCAAGAAATATTCTCTGTTTTTTTCAGGACAAAAGACAAACATTATGGACAATCAGAAGCCTAACAAGTCTTTATGTGCATATATAACAAAGATAAGTTAACTCAAAACTATTCTAGTGTAAGGACAGGTTCTTATCTACATCTTTGCCAGATTACATTTTCAAAAGCAAATGCATCAAATTTTGGAAACAAACTTCAAAACACAAAATAACTATAAAACAGAAATTGAAACCCAAAGGCCAAAGCTAAACAGAGCTTATTTGGTAAAAAAACTGGAAATTATGGGTTAATATTTATGAAGCTTTTTTTATTGAAACGAAAAACCTGCAAAAATAACATGCAATGATCAAATTTATGATGCAACTTCAAGCTCAAACCTCGAATACTATTTTTTTTTTTTTTTTTTAAACAGTTTTCATTGCAATGCTTTTTACCTGGGTAAACTGGATCAACGAAATATTTTCGACCAAGATGATAATCTTCCTTGTGGATTATTGCTCCTTCTGTTGGCTAAACTCTCACCAAATTTAAAGCAGAAACAAGTTTCCCTCTACTCTTAAGGAATCAAATGAGTAAGAAGAAAGTGGGCAAAGCTTTGAAGCAATCACATTTGAGAATTATCAGAAAAAATGTGTATTGTACAAACCTAACGCGTTGTATCCACTTTTATAATACTCATTTTGATTTATGTCTTCCACTTAAGTCTTGTTTTCACAACTTTTGGTTAATTGGCTTTTAGTGGGAGGTGCGTGTGTGTTCGGTGGATCAATCAACACACTCATGTCACTATCTATTTAATTAACTTCTAATTAATTAATTAATTATTTTAATTTCAACTAATATTTCTGGTAGTTATGGTCTCATAGAAACAAGAAGATTTATCTACTAAAATTGTACACTAATAGGGGATGGTGAACCATGTTCATAACCAGCATAAAGAATTCGTAAAACATGTCTACTTGAATTCAAAATTAGAGGTAGGTGTATCTTAAATAATTGTCCACTTCTATCTAAAATAATTTTCCTTAAATGATGATTACATACAATCAACGCAGTCGAATGGCACCGGCTCTAACCTTTGTTAATGTATAATATGTTTTCTTAACTCGCAAGTACTAATCGTATAAAACTAACAAGTATAGGTACTGAGTATTAATCGACGTAATATTAAATTCTCCAAAAATAAATATCTTAGACTGTTACGTAGAAACTTAAGAGCTACTCGTTTATACATCATCTAAATTGTTTGCATGTACTCTTATTTTGTATGCATACATTTTCTGTTTGTGAACTAGTAACAAATCAAATTTTAAAAAAAAAAAATTGTAATAAATTGATATGATATGATATGTTGATATGTTGTTCTTTAACAAAAAATAAATAAATTGATATGTTGTTTATCAACATCATTTTTTCTGTTACGAGTTTATTGTCCATACTGTTTGTTGTTAGAAAAAACAATTAAAAAACCAGCAAAATTTTGGAACATCTAACATGGCGTACCTTTAGGGATGGGTCATGCATGGTCAACCACTCTTTTAAATAAAACTATAAACTACACCTTCAATTTATAATTTTTTTTAATATAATTAGTAGATGTGTGTTGTTTTCAACTATTCCTATAATATAAGTGCTCAATCCAGAAATTAAAATGTGAAAAGTAGTTAATTGTCACTAAAATCCAATAATTATATAATATTAAATTCTAAAACGTCTGACGACGCGAAATTAAGTATCAATAAACCAACCAACATAAAATGACAAAAGTATTATATTGTCTTGGACCTTTGGCGTGAGATTGGATCGAGGCACTCTTTCACTAAAATTAAAGTTAAATAATTAATCTGTTGAAGGTGTATTAGGCCATACACATTGGCGCACTCAATGGCCGAGTGTGAGTAATAAACAAAAGAAAAATAATTGAAATGTTGTCTCTCTCTTCTCACCCGGGTGTAACTTTACACTCGGGTGTAACACTCTTTCTCTCTTTCTCTCTCTCTCTTCTTTCTCTCTCTCTTTTCTCTTTTGCTTTAAATTATGATAATAAAAAAATACTTACACCCACACAAACACATTTGCCACTGCTGATGCTCTTAGTAAGTTTCTATACAGTATTCATATTTCAAATTTTAAACCACATACTGAAAATTAGTGACAAACTTGAACACAACTGCTTATTTATATTGTTCAAATGATTATTATTATTTATACAACACCCATCAAATACAATAGACATCATAATTATCATACCATATAATATATATATCTACAAAATTTTGTAATGTTCTATGTAACATAAACAAACCCTCTCACTCACTACAGTTTTATTCATAATTACCTGCCTAAACCCATCATTCATCTCTCTGTTTTCTTATGTTCTACTTATTCGACAAACCATGAGTCATGGCCAAAAAAATGTACTAATAAATATACAAATTACAGACATCTATAATGATACTATTTTATTTTTTTGTAAATCATAAGACCATGCAAGTAATCCAACTCAAATCCAAGACTGAATTGGATAATTGCATTTGAAAGAGTTCACACCACTTATGTGTGAAAATATGTCCGAAGAATCAACTAATTGTTCTTCTTCCTTTACCCCCACCTGCAAACCATGACCGGGTTTAGAAACGGTTTATTATATCAAACAAAAACAAACCTTTTTCTAATTGTAATCAAACAAGATTAATCTTACATCATCATCATCTTCTTCATGATGGCTTGAACAAGCTTGTCTATTTGGTTCACCAAATTCATCATTCTTTGCAAATCTTCCTCTAACTCTTGGACGACTATCTGCCAATGTCTTTCTACATGCATACTACAACAAAAATATAACCAAAATATTTGAATAGATCGGTATTATATGGATAACAAATGGTTTTATCCGGTTATGATGGTTAAGCACAAAGACCTTGATTTTCTTGCTGAAATTCCTCTCGTTCCTCTTCTTCATGTACCTATGAATCTTCTCTTTCCTCTGCTCGGCGGAGAGTTTTCCGACTTTGTTGAAACTCGGGTCGTCTAAACCGGTTATCTCCGTCCCTAACTGCGGAAGAACCGGCTGTGCCACCATGTGGTTCTGGTTCTCGCCACCGTCAAGTCCCTATTAAAAAACCAAAACCCCATAACCGGTTAGTATCCGACCGGTTCACTAAGCCGGTTTCATTTCACAATTGGTTTGCCAGTAATACCTTTTAATTATATATAAGTTTTTGAATTTATACCTGGAGATGATGATCTCCTGGATTGAAGATGGGTTTAATCGGATCTGGACAGAACAATCCACCATTATCAGCCTGAATTTCCATCAATTGATCATGTGATGGTTTAAAATCAGAACCGAGATGGATACTCCCGGAGTAAAAACCAGATCCTAAACCGGTGTTCATCATATTCCCGGTTACTGTCATGTAAGTCGGTAAACCGGTATTACCCAAAAAAGAGCAAGAAGGAGAAGAAGGGTTTATGGAGCCAAGATTGTAACTTGGGACAGAAGAAAGACAATCTTCTTCGAAAACCGATAAAGGCGGAGGCAGAAGTTCACCGGAGGAGGAAGAGTAGAGAGCGTTCGGAGGCTGATGAAGTTGAATCCCGCTGAAATCAAACTGCTCTTGGAGTTGATCGGAGACTGGGAACTGGATGGATGAAGAGAAATCGATAGAAGCTGTGATATCGTTATCGAAATCATCTTGTGAATCAAATATGATCGATAAATCAGCGTTGTCGGTGTTGTCTTCATGATCTTGATTCGAACCACTGTTGGATTTGTCTGGAAAGTTGTTGGTGTTGTTGTTTTCGACATAGCCACAACCGTTTGAAGCAGAGGTCACTTCAGAAGTTTGATTGAAGGTTTCTTGAAATAACTGTGAATCGCAAAAATCGAAGATTTGTGCGGTGAGAGGGCTTGTGATCTCATCCTACAAAATAACAACAACAGTATAAGATCGAATTAGCTGGAAATAAAAGATGTAAATAAATATACATGCAAATTGGTTTATTTGTTTATCGGCGCCATACGTTGAAGGCTTGCATAAAAAGCTACTTGGTAGGATTTTCTTGTGAAACAAGAAACAATAACTCAGATGACCTAAAGATAAGTAGTTTTTAACTTAAGACAGTCGTTTAAAGAAAAGTGTACATTTATACGACCAGATCTTGTTCGTTCTATGTGGTTTTCATCGAGAGGGAATCAGGAGAAGAAATTAACGATAAGGAGGGAGAGTTTCCATAACAGGAAACTTTTTGGATTCTTGTGTTTCTTTAGAACCAAAACATTGCCTAATTAGTACCAACATCTGATTTCTTAATAACAAATAAGAGCAAGAATCATTGTTTTTGATACACTAATAATATAATTCTAATAAAAATTCATGTGATTAGATATTTAAAATATAAATAAAAGTTCATATTTTAATTACTGGAATTACTAAAAGAAGATATGTAGCATCTTTTGAATTCTGATAAACTGTTCTATTCTATCTATGTCTCGTGAGTTGTGACGATTTGTGGTTGGCTAGCTATAAGGTACGTATGAACACCGTACAAAAGAGTTAGCACTAAAAAGTTTGCTTTACTAATTATCGTTTGAGACTTTTCGAATATGAACTGAATTGTATATAGAATAACCAGAAACAGAAAAGAAAGTAAAAAGGAATGAAGCAATTTGACAAAAGATAAAATCGAATAACTCAGAAAATTAAGAAAACGATGTTACCTACAAAAAAAATTGAGCTAATTAAATAATCTTATTCCCTTCGAACAAATAGTTATCGTTAAAATTTAGATAATAGATATACATGCAAAATTTTCAGGAAAAAAGTATATGCTTTTTAATCATTTAAGCAATGTATGACATAAAAGAGGTAACACAAAGAACAATGGTCTTAAAACAGATTCAAGGACAAACAATAAACATTGCACGGTACGTACCATAGAGAGCTGCTCATGAGAGGAAATTACGTCCTGCGACATGTTTATGAGTTCTTTATGGTCTCCAAATTGTGAAAGATTTTCCGGGAAAGAATCGAGAGAGAAAATTCCCTAGGAAAAGGGAAAATTATTGGAGGAGGCTTCTTGAATGTGGGAGGAGCTAGTGATGTCTGAACAAGAATATCCAAAGAATTCAAATACTGGAACAAAAGAGATGATTATTAACTAAACAGAACAGAAAAAAAAAATCTGTTTAAAAGACAGAGAAGAAAAGAAATTTCTTACAGCTTTCTGGAGAAACTAATTGAAGGTTATGGAAGTTATCGTAACCAATTTATTTATACTTTTGGTTTAAATGTGTATCTATATGTGTATGTATGCAAAATGTAATAAGAAAAATGCCACCGTGGCAATTGACGTTAAACGCGCTGGTCCTGGAGTTTCTTATTCTCGTGACGTGGCGTGTAAGGATTGGAAGAATTGAGTTGACGTGGAGAAAATGGTCCCACCTAAGTGATGACTTGGTTGACCGGTAAAGGAGTTTGACCCAATTCTTTTGTCGCGATGATTTTTGACTTTCTGACTGAAAGTTGTGCTAAATTAAGCCTTCTATTTATAGAATTTGGCTTTTCTATTTTATTTTTAGCAATTTATTTTTTCATTTTCTATTTATTTACTTGGCTGTTTTTTTAAATGCTGGTAAGAAGTGGAAAACAAAAGGAGAAAAAAGAGACCAGGACACAAGGTCAGTGAAAAATTGGAAAAGAAAGAGATAAAGATTGTACAAAGTCAAATTTATTTATTTTATGAAAATTTCGAGGAAAAGAAAAATGTTACGTGATGCTTAGTTAAATTCGGAAACTAAAAATTCCATATGAAAATGGTTTCCTCTGGATAAAAATTCCGTGACAGTGCTAGTTTTAGCACACCATGCTTCGAGTTGTCGTTTTCTTATATTGTTTTTTTTTCTTACAACCATAACCAAATAATGAACTGATTACAGCAAAAGAAAAGATACATACAAAGATCGGAATATATATCGACTTAGATAACGTAAATAAAAGGTCACCAATGTGATTTATAGATTATATATTTTTTTTTTTTGGTAAAAGATATAGATTATATATTTATCAAAACTATAAATGATACTACAATTTTTGACTATTACTCAGTTAAGTACAAAATATCCACCACTTCAAAACTTCAAAAAACTTACTTTCATGGACTATTACACAGTAGTTTACTCTTATAATTACGGCGATTTCTTTGCGTTCTCCTCTAGCTGTTTTAGTTTATTTGTTTTGGTCCTGGTTGGGACATCGCTTGTCAACATTCTATTTGGTCCCCAACTCTGTGAAGCATTTGAAATCATTGGCATGAAAGTTTTCTTTCCCTATATTTATCCAAAATTCGATTCCACTAAAAATTGTTTAACAATATGTACATATATATATATATATATATATAAAACTCTCGGAGAGAAGAAATCGCGCGCGTGGATCTCACTCTCGGCGATTTTTTCTCTCTCAATTTTCTTCCTCTTCTGATCACAATCCCTTGCGCCGGCGGTCGGGTTCTCCGTCGATTCCGGCGACGATGAGGACCCAAGGCTCATGGTTCTTCATCCGTAACCTGCTGCATCTCTCTGTCAAAGCAATCTGACCAAAATCAAAGGAGCAGTAGAGGGGAGAAGCTTCTGCCCGACACTGACGGTAAGAGCTCTACCGGCGGTGTAGCGATGCAGAGTGGAAGACGGAGATCTGCGGTGAGGAACGAGAGAGACAAACAGTTAGATCTTGGGACCGGAGATTTTGGAGGTTTCACGGGTTCTTAGTCGATGGGGGAGGTAGGCTCCGATCCAGCGAAGCTAAGCCACCGTCGTTGGTCTCTTTTTCTACTCCCTACTGTTCCTCTTTCTCACGTCCGAGCAAGGATCTCCTCGACAAAGACGAAATCGTATCTCTTCCTCCTCCTCATTACGACTCTATGGTGGCGGGATGGAAACGGATCTTGGATCACCATCTCGTTCGGCTTGCGTCGTCCAGGCTCACCGGAGGTCATGTTCTGGCGAGAATCTGCAGATTTGGACGGCGGCTCCGATCATGTTCTTTGATAGGAGATTAGGGTTTCAACACATGCCCGGTTTAGTTCGGTTTGTGAACCCGAGCCGGTTTTCGGTCTTTGATTATTTTGTTATTGGATTGATGTTTGTGGGTTGGGCCTTCGGGATTTAGAATGGGCCTATATCCGGAAATAGCCCATTGGGCACTTATTTATAAAAATTGAATACCTTTTAACAAAAAAAAAAAATATGTACATATATACTATATGTATCACCACTCAGGCATTTGTTTTTTGCTTCTTTTTTTTTGTTTAGTTTTTTTGTTTTGTTTCGTTTAGTTATTATATCCCTGTTATAAAATAAACATGGTCATACGATTCAAGAATTGGAGATTAATAAGGTTGCAAGAAATCATTAATGATGAGAAAAGAATGAAGAGAAAGAAAAAAAAATAGCAACTTGTTGGCAAAAAGGAAAAAGAAACAGCTTGAGATCAAAGCTGATTTGATGAATCGATACTTTGGAGATATATATGAGAGCATCTTCGGCAAAAAGCTTTGAGTGCAGTACTTGCACACGCATTTTCCAAAATAGATGATTTACGTTTTGCAGAGCTTTCACAAATATATTATTTGTAACTACTCTCGGACAGGATTATATAAATCGAAAGTCTAAATTTTTTATACATTTTTTAAAATGAATATATAATATTAGTTTGTTTAAAAGGTTTATGTGAAGAAGATAATTAACATCAGTGTAGTAAAACATATTGATTGTGTTGATTGGTGTCTGCTAAGTAACTTTCATATGACCAAATGATTTGTTCATAAAAGGTTCTTTTTTCCGGCTATATATGTTAATTTTTGAGAATACTACTTTTCGCCTATGAATATTTTTTGTTCACAAAGAACACATCTATCGTGCGTGCAAATAGAATGGTCCGTACATCGTCGTCCTACCGGCTTTAAAGGGAAGAATTTGACAACAACAAAAAGTTATACATCGTTTACTAATGGGCTTCAAGAAAGCCCAATTACGCATAAATCATGGCCCAATATTTATAGCAAGAAATCTCTAACTTGTGCTAAGCTTAAAACAATTTGTGCATCTCTCTCCGTCTTCATCGTCCTCCCGGCTTCTGCGATTTTGTTTAGTAGCGCCGGACCGGAGTAGTTAAAACCCTAGCCCCTTCTCTTTAAGGATTCACCGATTAGTCTTCTAGTGTTGCGTATACTTCTTCTTCTTCGTTTATACTTCGAAGATGAATTGTGCAAGTAAGGCACTCTTTCTTCTCTATTTGCCGATTTAGGGTTTTATTTTGCCTTGTTTCTGTTGCTAACAGTGTGGTCTTTTCTCCTCTACAGTTTCCGGCGAAGTTCCGGAGGAGCCTGTGGTTTCTAAGAAGTCGGGTTTGCTCTACGAGAAGCGGCTAATCGAGAGGCATATATCGGTAAGTTAGTTCTTTGCCTTTCTCCGTTCGTTCGACTTCTATCTAGGGGTTTTCAGCTTAGTGTAAAAGCTCAAAGTTTTGCAGATTTGTCAATGCATCTGGTTTTATACTCGTCTGTGAAGTAGTAAAATCCATTTGATATAATGAACAATAGTTAAAATTTGATAATGCATTTCCGGTTTCAAAGATAAAAGCTGCGTCCTTGATAATTTATAGATTGCTTTTGGTACCTTGTAGGATTATGGGAAATGCCCTATTACCGGTGAACCACATACTCTTGATGACATTGTTCCCATCAAAACTGGGAAGGTAATGCAACTGCTGGAGTTATTTTTCACAGAGCACTGTTTGTAGAAACTTATTAAAGCCTGATTCACTTCCTGGACCATTTTGCAGATCGTAAAACCGAAACCATTACACACAGCTAGCATCCCTGGATTGCTCGGAACGTTTCAGACTGTAAGTTTTTATGTTGTTTCCCTTATACCTTCTTTTTTCGTTTTTTGCTTGCTTTTCTTGTTGGAAACTTTACTCTTAAAATTTCCCTCTGTCCATTAGGCGAAATAAATGCTTAAAAAGTTTATCTATTTGTTGTGCTTGTAGGAATGGGACAGTTTGATGCTATCAAATTTTGCACTGGAACAACAACTGCATACTGCGAGGCAAGAGCTAAGTCATGCTTTGTATCAGGTAATTATGGTTAGGTGCATGTGCCACCACCTTATCAGACTACATGAATTACAAATATCTATTGTGTATTCTAGTTTTCTTTTCCTGGATCTTTCCATTGATTGCTAGTGATAAAGGTGATTGATGGATTTTTGGGGTACACTTTTCCTTCTGTTTGCAGCATGATGCTGCTTGTCGTGTGATTGCTAGGCTTAAAAAAGAAAGAGACGAATCACGCCAATTGCTTGCAGAGGCTGAAAGGCAGTTACCTGCAGCCCCCGAAGTTGCCACATCGAATGCTGCTCTTAGTAATGGTAAACGAGGTATGTTTGCACGTTTGCTTCTCAAAGTAAGTTGGCTATGTTGTAATTTCTCTTATAACAAGCTACTATGTTTTATTGTTGCAATATAGGTATCGATGATGGTGAGCAGGGGCCCGATGCAAAGAAAATGCGTCTTGGAATTTCGACTGAAGTTATCACAGAACTGACAGATTGTAATGCTGCTCTTTCTCAGCAACGTAAAAAGAGACAGGTAACACATATAACTTCGTATCAATCAGTATATTAGTTAGAAAATAGAAGGCAAATGAGACAGGTAACACATACAGGCAGCTAGCATCTATCGGTACATGTTGCTATATATATATCGTTGGCTGTACCATACAGTTGATATCTGCACTTTTGGAGTTCAATTGGTATTGCGTGTGGTTCTTCTGTCTTAATAATTTATCCTCATTTGTTCTCTAGATCCCTAAAACATTGGCTTCAATCGATGCTCTGGAGAAGTTCACCCAACTCTCAAGCCACCCACTTCATAAGACCAACAAACCTGGTATTTTTTCAATGGACATCCTACATTCTAAGGTTTGACACCTGGAACTTCTCTATTTTTCATTCATCACTTTATGTAGCTTTTCTCTGTTCTGGGAAGTCACTGCATTGAATGTCATAGTTACATGTTTACTTTTGCGCTTACATTAATTTGTACACTGCCATGAATCCCCATTTGGATGCTTATCAATATTATTCTTGGGAATTTTTTAAAGCGTAAAAAGTATACTATGAGCCTCTAATAATTCATGCTAAACAGTGCTTCTTTTGTATTGATTCATTGCATTTTTTTTATTATTCAATACCTTTTCTATGCGCAGGTTCCTGTGTCTGTTCTCTATTAAGTATTATTCGTAATTTCCTTTTATATGTGGTAATCAGGATGTCATTGCTACGGGAGGAATTGATACAACTGCCGTTCTCTTTGATCGTCCTTCAGGACAAATCTTATCAACGCTGACTGGTCACTCAAAGAAGGTCTGTCTTTTGCCGTAGTCTTTTTTTTTTTTATAACTTTTCCTTTGTAGTTTTGTGCTTGACATGCGTTGACCCTTTTGCAGGTTACAAGCATTAAGTTTGTTGGTGACACTGATCTTGTGTTAACTGCTTCATCAGACAAGGTAAGTCAAGATTATGTGTACAAGTCCCTACGGTTTTACATTATTATGTGTAGTACTTGTACATCATTTATGTAGGAGTTTCTTTTATCCTTTGAGTATTGCATGATTTTGAGTAGTAAGTGAAGAGATTAAGTTGTCATTTAACAGCCGCAAAATCAGTTGACTTACATAATGGATTGATTAGTTTGATGTTTTGACACTCTGCAGACAGTCCGCATCTGGGGAAGTTCTGAGGATGGGAACTATACCTGTAGACATACATTGAAAGATCACTCTGCAGAGGTAAGGATGTAATTGAAAAACTTCTACAAGCTACAGTCTCATACAGTTTTACCTGTTACTTATATTTGTTCAGTTTAACGTAAAAGCAATGATGTGGTTTTCAGGTGCGAGCTGTTACTGTCCACGCAACGAATAAATACTTTGTGTCAGCATCTCTTGACAGTACATGGTGCTTCTATGATCTGTCCTCCGGTTTATGCCTTGCCCAGGTCTCCATAATTTTCATCCACAAGCAACTACTGATACCTGTTTTCCAGTTTCAGATTTCTTCTTTTATGCTAATATAACAATGAAACATTTACCTGCTTTATTGGTAATATAAATTAGACTTGTTAGAATAAATGTTTCTTCCATGCGTCTTTCTCACTATTGTTGTTGTTATTCAGGTGACAGATGCTTCCGAAAACGTGGATTACACGGCTGCTGCTTTTCATCCCGACGGTCTCATTCTTGGAACTGGTACCGCTCAATCTATTGTTAAGATTTGGGATGTAAAAAGTCAGGTAAAAACTCTTTGACCTTCTTTGATCATCAACTGTTGTCACTTGTAAGTTTGTTCTCACTTCACTTTCATCTATCTCTTTCGTTTGATAGGCAAATGTGGCAAAGTTTGGCGGACACAATGGAGAAATCACCTCTATATCATTCTCTGAAAACGGTTATTTTCTTGCGGTGGGTACTTTGACCTCAATTAAGTAGAAAGAAGGATAAATACCAGTTTCCTTTTGACTGACCAATATTTTATTATTCTTGAAATTGTACAGACTGCTGCACAGGATGGTGTTAGGTTGTGGGACTTGCGCAAGTTAAAGAACTTCCGGACATTTGACTTTCCAGATGCAAACTCGGGTATTCAACTACCTGAGCACTGTTACTAGTCTATATTGTTGATTGGGTTTTCATTTCTTAAGACCTGAATGATTTTTTTTTGTGCAGTGGAGTTCGACCATAGTGGATCTTATCTTGGCATTGCTGCTTCAGATATAAGGTGAGGTCTACTTTGATACACACACAATGTAGGGAATTTATAGATATAGGAGCTCACTTTGATAACGAGATATTGAAAGATAGTTGTGCAAACTCAAATAACCTGCTATCACCAGAAATGCAGCTTGGGTATATGTGCATATGTTTCTTTTGCAGATCATACTAATCAAAAACTTGTGTTTCAATGGTGTAGAGTATTCCAAACAGCTAGTGTAAAAGCAGAATGGAACCCAATCAAGACTCTCCCCGATCTGTCCGGTACAGGTAAATGCTATATGATTAAGCTTTTGAAGTCACTGTTCTTCCTTCTTTTTTGAGTCTATTATGCAGACATTGTAATTCCATGAATATGCAGGTAAAGCAACATGTGTTAAGTTTGGACTCGACTCCAAATACATAGCAGTCGGTTCAATGGACCGTAATCTCAGGATATTTGGTTTACCCGGCGATGACAATACTGAAGATTCTGCACAAGATTCATGAAGAGATTCCTCAAGTCCCATCATCAAGAGTAGCTAAATCCTCAATTATCTCGATTTTTGTTGTATCTTTGCACTTCTGTTTGGTATTTTTTTGATGGCCCTTTCACAGTCGCATATACACACATGAGCTCTCCCTTTCTTTCTCAATCTACAATTTCCTGTAACATCATCGTACCTTAAGAATCTGCAATTAATCTTTCTCTCTTTGATATGAAAGTGTCAACATAAAGCTTTTCATGTTTCAGAGAACGTTAGCTGCTCACTAAATACTATAAAAACTAACTAAATACATATGTATATGATTGATTATTATCAAATCAGTTAAGACGTAAACGGTAAGAACTAAACACTTGTGTTTATGTACATAGACGTTGATAATTAAAGAGTAAAAATTCCTATTTTTGGGCTAGGGGGTCTTAAAGACAAAGAAATGAAGACAAAATAATTGTGATGGTGGTCATAGAAATTAGAAAACCCTGAGACAGACAGAGATTTTGACTGTACTGTGGTCAAAAAACACACTTCACAATCTTCCCATTTCCCCACCATTCTCAGATTCCTTTTCACTTGCTCTCTCTCTGGCCTTTTTAATTTTCTATTTATAGCTCATCTTTAGTAATTCCGTTATTAGTTAAATTTTCTAAACATGTTTTCGGTATCAACAATCAAGTGGAAGAAAGTTTGTATCTTTCTCTAAACCCAATTTCCAAAGTAACCAACTACTAAAACCAGAATGTTACACAAAGTAAGTCACTGAAATGACTTTAAACTAGATTAGATATAAACTTACTTTGAATTAGATTCAAAGGTCACTAGTAGGTGGTAAAAAGGATGCTAAGCAATAAATAAACTGTTATAAAGATTTCAATCAATAACTCTAAATTAGTATTTATTATAGTTGCTGCAGTAAATCAAACATTGTACAGTTTCAGAACTGAATGGCTCAGAAGCGTTAAAAGGAAAAAGAGACTCTCTCTCTCCCCTAATCTCCTCTCACATGGTCATCAAAAGCCAAAGCCAAAAAAACAAAGAACCCAGAAACCTAGAAGACAGAAACAAAAATTAAAGCTTTACTGAGCCACCAAGCAACCAATTACATAAACTCAAAAACCCATAAAACCAAAAAACTCCCACAAAGATTCCATCTTTCAATATCTCTACAATGAGAAAGCCAATGCTTTGATTTTTCCCCCAATCTTTCTTCCAAGAAACCTCAAAAGCAAACCACCAAAATAATCCACACACAAAAAATGGGTCTTTCAATCTCATTCCTCAACATCATCTTGATGATGTCTCTACTATTTCCAGATCTCAATGTCGTAGTAGAATCTGCAACAACCGAATACACAACCTTAATCTACAAAGGATGTGCAAGACAGCAATTCTCAGATCCATCTGGTTTATACTCACAAGCTCTCTCTGCTATGTTCGGCTCATTGGTTTCTCAGTCTACTAAAACCAGATTCTACAAGACCACAACAGGAACAAGCACAACTACAATCACTGGTCTGTTCCAGTGTAGAGGAGATTTAAGCAACCATGACTGTTACAACTGTGTTAGTCGTCTTCCTGTTCTCTCCGACAAGCTCTGTGGCAAAACCATTGCTTCAAGAGTTCAACTTTCCGGCTGTTATCTTCTCTATGAAGTTGCTGGCTTTTCTCAAATTTCAGGTAACCCTTTCTTCTTCTTCTTCAATCAAACCGGAAATTCAATTCCTCGGGTTCGTCGATTTTAACCTTAACCAGACTAACCATCAAACCCCCACTTGAGATCACAATCAGCATTTTTCTGGTTTAATCGAACCGGTAATTTGATTTTTGGTTTTGGTTTAACTGAACCCCAAAAATGCATGTATTTTTCACCAGAGTTTTCCGGTTTGGTTTGAAATCAATTGGTTAATTCAACACCCTTGGTCAGAGGTGAAGTAGGATGTTTCAATTTAGGTTTTTATCTTTAAACCGGTTTGGTTTCTCTTATATCGAATTTCCGGTTTATATTTATGCAGGGATGGAGATGTTGTTCAAGACTTGTGGGAAGAGCAACATCGCCGGAACAGGGTTCGAAGAGAGAAGAGACACGGCGTTTGGGGTGATGCAAAACGGCGTAGTATCAGGCCATGGATTCTACGCTACTACGTACGAATCTGTCTACGTTTTAGGACAATGCGAAGGCGATGTCGGAGACACCGATTGTAGCGGATGCATAAAGAACGCACTCGAGAAAGCTCAGGTGGAATGTGGAAGCTCAATCTCCGGTCAGATTTACCTCCATAAGTGTTTCATCGCTTATAGTTATTACCCAAATGGTGTTCCCAGAAGATCTTCTTCTTCTTCATCTTCGTCTTCTTCCTCTAGCTCGGGCTCTTCCAATTCAGATCCTTCGTCTTCTACAGGTTAGTTTTTGATTTCTGGGTTTACTATAATTGGGTCATTTACCAAAAAAAGCATCAATCTTTTCTCAATTTGGAAAGTTTCCGATTTTAAACTAAGGATCGTCACTTTAATTTGAAGATTTCTGAGTGGGACTTTGTTCTTCCGTTTTCAGTCTAAAAAATTACATTTTCTAACGGAAAAAAAAATTGTGTACTTTATCTTTTAATTGGTAACAATTATTCCTTGGAATTCTCAATATTCCCTATAGGTTGTTCAATTAATAATACTTTATTTATTATGCTTTCATTAAATATTTTTACACCCATAAGAAGAACAAATGAATTATTTAATGAAGTCTTATTCATTGAAAAGTACTCTTCAGAGAAATGGTCTACCAGTCTACCACTAATAATTTTCTTCAAAAGTTCTCTTATTAGTATCCTCGGAAAAAATAGAGTAAAATATATTATTAATGGGTTCATGAACGTTGTACAATTGAAATTAATATTGATGCCAAAAAGAAATGAAAATGTGGACAGGAGCAACAGGGAAGACGGTGGCAATAATAGTAGGAGGAGCAGCTGGTGTTGGCTTTCTTGTCATTTGCTTACTTTTTGCCAAAAACTTGATGAGGAAGAAACATGACGGTACCATTTTCTTCACCTATATACTTACATACATAAGCATCTTTTCTATTACATACATGTATGGTACATGCATATAGTATTATACAAAACACATGCACATGTGATGTAGAATATAGTAAAGGGAAGATTATTTGGAATTGTCATTACTCATTACAATGATATCTTTTTTGGCAGACTATTGAAAGTTGGAGGGAAGAGAACAAAAGGAGTCCAATCCCTCATAAGAGAGGCACAAGTTTAATTTTTCTTTCTTTGAGGCTATTAATTCCCAAGTCCAAACTGTTTAAATTTCCATGAAAAATTGTTATTATATTATATTTTCTTTGTATTAGTTCAGATTATTGGGAGGTAGGAATTTGTGGTGGATGGAAAAATGTGAACAAAAGAGAATTTTGTTTTTCTCAATCAATTACGCTAACTATTCCAGCTGACCAATCATCATACACTATCATTGATATTTGTTACTTTTTTACTTTTTACACTATCTTAATTGACCACTTAAGTAATTTTTCATTAATATAAATGTTGTCAATTTACTAATGCTTTGACTATTATCCCTTCAATAATTGTCTACCCATAAGAAGGAAATTGATAAGTAGTATACTCTCTATTTCATTACGCATACAAGTGCAAAATTCCTACTAAACTCTGTGAGATAACGTGGGTCCGAGTGAATCATTAAGCATATATATTACATAGTTGGAAAATCAAGGTTTATTCTGCAAGAGATAAAAAAACGAGATTCTGTCATAATATACAACACATAACGGCCATGGATGAAGCTTTTAGAGCTAAGACAACAAGAGCTTTTTTCATGAAGAGCTTTTGAAACTCATATTTTACCTCAGCTATAGACATCTTCTTTTTCTTCTTGATGATCATTCGTCTATTTCCCATAAAAACCGAGCATACTCTCCAAGAATAATGCTGGCCAAACACAGAAGATGATGATGATCACATTTCAGTTTTCAAATGTGAAAACAAAAAAGAAGGTTTTGTAAGTTATTATACCTGTCATTTGGAGAGGCTTCAACGGCCTTCTCAAAGTAGAACAAGGCCTTCTCGTGGTCATTATTTATACTCCAGAACGCTTTCGCGTATCTGCATAGCGTTTCTCCATCTTCTGTCTTGGACAAGCTCGAGTTGCTTTTCTCCGCTGCATCAGGCTTTTTCGGGGACAAAAACAAAACCCAACGTTATGGACATAAATTGAAAATCCAATGAACAACAACACCAGGCAGGATACAAACTTTGATTTATCTGCAAGTAAATGTCTACTATGAGCTAAGATGTCTACAATATTCAATGTGAGATGGAACATAACAGGTGAAAATTCTAGTCATTGATCCGCAGGTTGAAAACCAAATAATCTATAGAGCTACGAAACAAAACCCACCTCAAATTCTTCTTTTCCTTTCCCAGAAGACTCATCATCATCCTCATCGTCATCATCCACGTTTATCTCCCAGAGGAAACTAGCATATGCTCCAAGAACATTGCTGAAAAGAAAAAAAAACATATTATTACCACAGAATAACAACCAATGGTGGTATTACCAAAACTGTTCCAACAGACCTATCCTCAGGAGAAGCTTGAACTGCACGTTCAAAGTAGCTCATGGCTTTAGCTTCATCTTGGTGAAGCTTCATTACTAATCTACCATAGTTTGCTAAAGCTACTCCATCACAAGGCTCAACTACAGTACACTTAAGATAATATCCTTCTGCTCCAGTAAGATCTCCTTTATACTGTTCTCACATTAACAAACAAAACTTAGACATTAATAGCAACTAGGTACTTCAAAACAGAGTCATTACACAACATAATGATTTAAATACCTCCAAGAACTTGGCATAGTTTTTGAGAAGCAAAGGATGCAATGGATACTCCTCGAGCATTCCTTTGTAGTAATCACCACAATTCTCATCATCGAAACCCGGTAAATCGAATTTCGTCTCGTTACCATACAAATCAAACTTATCAATACCTAACCCTGCAGCTAAATGCATAGGAGGACTCGGTGGTCTTTCAATCTCAAAACCTTGTTCATCTCTCTTACCAATCCCTAGCTTCTTAATAACCTCTTCATAATCTCTATCCAAAACACCTCTCTCACCTTCACTACTATCTTCTTCCTTGTGTTTCGCAAAACTGAACCCGTCGCCGTCAATAGAATCGCCAATCGTAACAGTTCTCTCCAAATTCTCCTCGATTCCAGTCAACGAATCTTCGGATTTGAACCCATCTCCGGAATCGCAGTAACTCGAGAGAGATGCCTCGCTCTTCAGCATCTTTTTGGGTCTTTCTTTCTAAATCCGTTCAAAGTCTTCAACTGGGTCGTCGTTCACAGATTCCTCGAGTGTTATTTGTGGGTTTTGATTCGGAGGACCCCAAGACAACGATCGAACGAAGAATGATTTTGAGGTTCTTAGACCATGGGGGATCACCCCCCTGATCTAAGCATTATTTAAATCCAAAAAAATGGGTTAGTGGGCTTAAGATCAGGAACTGGGCTCTTGACCTGGATCTGTTCTTGTGGGTGTTGCGGGGTGACGTGGCATTTGGGCATTGGTTGGAATATTCAACATATTTGGAATAAATTTGGATAATAAACTATGTATTAATTAGATAAAATGTTTTTGTGCTTTTATTAAGTAATATGTTTGCTTGTTTATTGTTATTTATATTTTTAATGTTTTTTTCATAAATATTTAGTATTGTATTTTCACTTTTATTTTCAGTTTTTCATAAATTTGGCATTTGCAATTTATATGTATTTTTTAAATGTTTTAATAATTGTAAAATCTTAATTTAATTTAGATTATTATATTATTAAGTCTTAAGATCTTACACATGTTCTCCCACTAATCAACTTTTAAACAAAAGATCTAAACACATGATCTTACATTATTTTAACATTATATTCTCTATAAGAACACCCTCACATGATCCCCGATTGATGATGCCCTTACGTGACCGGTTAGAGAAACAAGATAAGTGGGGTTCTGTTAGATTTCCTTGGAAACGCAAAACCTCTGCAAATGACCCTTATAGTATTATATTGTTTACAATTTTTCCTTAACTTTATTTTTTGTCTATTTGACCCATCACTCCGAAGCAAAACTAGACTGTTCTTTCATTCAAGAAATCATCAATTAGTCAGTCTTATACAGTTATACTTAAATATTAACGAAAGGTATAACGTAAAATTATTTTAACGTTTATCAACATTTATCAATTATTTCGATTAAGTATTAGTGTACGTATATATTCCAAAAATTAGTTTGTGTTTAGATTTAGAAGGAACAAAAAATTGTGGTCTCGTGAATAAATAAAGAAAGAAGGGATATCCACATGAGTTTGACCTTTCCTTTGGGCGGACAATAAGGTCCACATGAACTGAGGTTTTTGAGTCTAGACCGGGCAAGTCAATAATAGAAAAAGAGGACAAATTGTCAAATTCATTGGTCCATTTAAATAAAAAGATGCCCATAATAAATGTGACAAGGATGTGTAACATGTTTTCTTAAGGCAAAGCCACACAAAAAAAAAATCAGTTTAGTTTAGTTCATTTTGGACTATGGGTTGGTTTTGAAATTCCATTCTAGCAATTTATTTGACCAGACAAATTAAGAAAATGTTTCCAGAGGCTTTATCTTGTTAGATGTTATATATTGAGAAGACAAATAAAAAACGTATTGCAATTATAAAAGATCATAAACTATTTTAAGACTGAACTAACACGTTTTACTTGCTTAAACCTCAAACCCAAAAAGTCTAAATGTTAATGATATTAAAAAAAATCAATTCTTTATCACCTTATTTCTTATTCTTATTTCAGCAAAACCAGTCAACAATTCAGTAATAAAAAGACACATACTTGAGGTAAAATTGGAATGAGTTCTTCACCAATGCCAACTTGATCCTCACGAATGTCTCTTAAAATAGTAAATTTCTGCTGAAGAACAACACACTACTCCTAATAATCTCGTTGTCTTTCTCACATTACACAAAACCAAATTTAGTAAAATGGTTACTATTACCTTTCTTCCGTTCTTTTGCAATTTGTCACCACCAATCAAACAATCTTCTTTTTTATTCATCATCCATTTTTCGGAATTGTGAATCGAGAATTGCGAGAGAGATTTCATTCTCCCTCTCGCATTTCTCTATCCCCTCGAATCCAACAAAAGATTTTAATGTAAAATCAATATATTGATCCACAATGTCGATGTTGTTCCCATCATTTCAGTTGCTAGAGCTGAACATAATCTCAGCTCAAGATTTGGCTCCTGTCGCTCGCAAAACAAAGACTTATGCTGTCGCTTGGGTTCATTCTGAGCGTAAACTTACCACCCGGGTCGACTATAATGGTGGAACGAACCCAACTTGGAACGACAAATTCGTATTCAGAGTTAACGAAGAATTTCTTTACGCCGATACTTCAGCTGTGGTTATCGAAATTTATGCCTTGCATTGGTTCCGAGATATTCATGTAGGAACAGTTCGTGTCCTCATCAGCAATCTCATTCCCCCTAATCGTCGTCCAGGATACAGAACCAGCAACAATGAATATCGTCGCACCCCACCTCCAGGAATGAGATTTGTCGCGCTTCAGGTTCGTCGTACTTCAGGTCGACCTCAAGGGATTTTGAACATTGGTGTTGGATTAATTGATGGTTCTATGCGAAGTATGCCGCTTTATACGCATATGGATTCATCTGCTGTGGGATATAGAGATTTGCTCGGAGAAGAAGATCATCACCTACAACATTTGCATTTAAATAGCAACAAAGGCAGCTCAAAGAATCCACAATCTCCATCTTCTCGACAGTACCAATCCGTAATCTCAAGACCTGAGCTCCGTCGTACAAAGAGTGATACAAGTTCTATGGTTGTTTCAGATCTTCTTAGCAGAGCTGAACGAAGTCGTTTAGCTAACAGAAAACCGGCGAGTGCATTAGTGAGCAGTGAATCTGAAACTCTACCCACCACGACGGATTCCGATGAGAAAAAATCGAATGAGTACACACCTCCTAGTAAAAACCCTAAGGTTCCAAGGCAACGATACAATTCGATTGAGTCAGATCTTATAGATTCGTCGCCAATGGAGAAACCTCATGTGGTGGTGCCGAGAAAAGAGAGACACGATGTTATGCCGTATAGTTCGTATCATCAATCACGTAAGACACCGAGAAAGAAGACAATGTACGAGAAACAAAGATCAGTGAAAGATTACGATCGTGGCCGAGCTTCACCGTACTTATCAAGGCACGGAACACCATTGAGATCGAACATCATTGCATCTACTCCTATGAGATCTAACGGAGTTGGATCAACTCCTATGAGATCCAACATCATCGCAATGTCACCGATGCATCCCAACATGGTTGGATCGACACCAATGAGAACTCCAATGCGGTCCAACATGGTTGGTTCGACTCCGATGAGATCAAACATCGTCGGATCTACCCCGATCCGATCAAACTATATGGCTACACCGATGAGAACTCATCACGATTTTGGTACACCAGTAAGAAATTTAGCTGGAAGACGAATCTTAACTGAATCGGAGTTAGGTCCATCGCCTTCTGAAGTGGCTGACAAATTGGCAAAAGATAGATCACACGAAACAGAAAGTTCAATACTCAGCGAATGGAGCATCGATGAATCTAGCATCGAAGGATTGCGTTCAAAACTCGAGAGATGGCGAACAGAGCTTCCACCGTTATACGACATAGGATCAAGCCACATAAGTAGCAGCAATTACGATGGTGCAAGTGTTCCCGCCGCAACTGCCGGGGGAGGAATGAGTTCAAGACGGAAAACTCCTACGGCAAAAAAGCATAACCGCCGTCATACAGATGGAGGTAATGGACTTTTCTCGTGTTTTAGTAAGATTTGTGGCGTGGAATGCAGTTTCGTATGCGGTGGTGGTGGTGGGCAAATGGCTTCTGAAGGATCTACCAAGAAAGGTGGGGCCGGACGTGTGCAACGCACATATTCCGCTGATGATTTGAGCTTTGTGTGATCTTTATTTTTATTAATTTTTATATTAACTTTATTTTTTTGGACAATTTTTTTTTTATTTTTTTTGGGGTGGATGAATAAATCAAATAGTAAACAAAAATTCAGTTATTAATGTTGTGTTGAAATCATTTATTTTTGTGTTCTTCTTTTCTTTTAATTACAAAATGTTCTTCTTATTTTACATTGTTTAATAGAAAGGAAGCTCATATGCTAAAATTAGAAAACAGTGAAAGGAATAAAAAGAAGTAAAAGAGTGATTGAATGTAAGAGAGTGAGTTGAGTTGAACCAAAAAAAAAAAAAAAATGTATAAGACTATGGTGATTACAATAAAAGAAAGAGGGTGGGGAAAAATATATAAAACATTAATCTAAAACTAAAATAAAAATAAAAATTCTGCAATCTAACTATGCTTTAACGTATACATATTTAATTCATACATGATTCATTATTTATTTTCTATATTTTTCACTCAGTATTGATTTTATTTTTATCAAATCGATCAATTAGAGCATGAAATTTATGTACTCTTTGATAATGATTTTGATCAAAAGTGTAATTTCCACAAACCAATTGCGCCTGCAAAAGTTTTCAAAAGATCATCAAACATCATGATGAATATATCTCATCACCACGATTTTATAATAATGCATCTTTTCCCACCAATTTTTTTCCCGGTCTCTCCTTATTTTATCATCTAGTTCGACAACAATCATGGTCTAAGGAAAAAGTAGAAAATAAAAATAGTAACTAGGTTTTTTTTTTGTCAACTAAACTAGGTGAATTTATATCATATGTTTAAAATATATTACTTAGTTATTAGAAAAAGAAAGATAATCAAATGGTCAATATGCAAATGGCATGACCATAAACAAACTTGCTAGTATAAAGAATGATGGCCAACCTGTTAAAGAACCACTAAAATTAGGTCTAAAATATAGGAGCAATGTAACTAATACACATAACCCTTTTATTATATGCAATTTAAACGTAGGAATGGACGAATGGTTGTTATAATAAACTTATAATATGAGTCAATCCACTATTCAAAGATTAGTTTTTGATTAACTTTAATATAGTATCAAGACCTCAAGACCTCAGTTAATCTGATTGCAAGTTGAAATTCGATTCAGCATAAAAAAGAACAAAATAAACGTATAATCTTGGAAAAACGTGTTAAGGAAATTTCATATCGAATACTAGAACATATGATCTAACATAATAAGTTAGCTAATGTACTCTTTGTAGGCTTGTAGCTAACGTGACAGAAACAATTATCTATTTTGAAGAAAACTGTGTGTTTACATATACAATTTTGTGTAAGCTTTTTAGACCTCTAGACGTATTATAGAAATAAGCTGCAACATTAATGCCCCCTAACTAAATAGTATAATCCATAAGTTTATCTAGATTCTTTGATTAGCCCAAAGTAAAGAAAAATGATATTTAAAACAGCGACTCTTCATCCGAAAGCAATACAATATAGCCATTTTACACCAAAAACAAATACAAGTGGAAAAGAAAACAAAAAACTATATGATGTAACAAAAAGCAAAAACCTTGCGCGCACACACACAACTGTAAACAAGTTTCTTGGGACTCTCTATTTTTCTCTTGCTGCTTGAACCAAACACAACAGTAACGCAACGAGAGCACGACAGGTTTGATAATGTCGGGAAGAAAAAGTTTGAGAGAAAGCAAACAATAATTTAATAACAAAGGAGAAGACTTTTGGTTAGAAAAAAATGGCATTATGGTATGGCCATTACAAGACATATGGGTCCCAATTCTCATCACTCTCTCCACCACCAAAATCCTCCTCTCTCTCTTTTACTCTGTTTTCATCATCTCTCTCTCGTCTCTCTGAAACCCTAAATACCCTCGTTCTCTTCTTTTTGTCTCCATTCTCTCTGTGTCCATCAAGTTTCTTTTCTTGTGGATTATTTGAAAGACACTCTCTCTTTTGATATCTTTGGAGTCTAGGGTTTTGTTGTTGACATGCGTGGTGTGTCAGAATTGGAGGTGGGGAAGAGTAATCTTCCGGCTGAGAGTGAGCTGGAATTGGGGTTAGGGCTCAGCCTCGGCGGTGGCGCGTGGAAAGAGCGTGGGAGGATTCTTACGGCTAAGGATTTTCCTTCGGTTGGGTCTAAACGCTCTGCTGAGTCTTCCTCTCATCAAGGAGCTTCTCCTCCTCGTTCAAGGTTCGTCCTTTTTCTATCAAGAAAGCTCAAATCTTTTGATGTGAAATTGTGAATGTTACCATCTTAGAACAGAATTGTGTAGCAGTTAAGTTAGCTTCTGTTTTGGTTTACCCTGAATAAGAGTTAGGTATCTATCTCCATTGATGAGCTTTAGCTTGTCCTTATATATATATTTCTATGGAGTCATGCATATGCTAAGAGATTTGTTCATAGTAATGTTTTGTGTATAGATGATTACATCTGAATTTCGAGAGTAATTGGGTGGAAATTCTTGGTTTGTTGTGGCAGTCAAGTGGTGGGATGGCCACCAATTGGGTCACACAGGATGAACAGTTTGGTTAATAACCAATCTATGAAGGCAGCAAGAGCGGAAGAAGAAGACGGGGAGAAGAAAGTCGTGAAGAATGATGAGCTCAAAGATGTGTCAATGAAGGTGAATGGGAAAGTTCAAGGCTTAGGGTTTGTTAAGGTGAATATGGATGGAGTTGGTATAGGCAGAAAAGTGGATATGAGAGCTCATTCGTCTTACGAAAACTTGGCTCAGACGCTTGAGGAAATGTTCTTCGGAATGACAGGTCTGTACTGTTTTCAAAATGCTTACATTATAAACCCGATGTTTTCGACTGACATTTTCTGTTTAATCTATCAGGTACTACTTCTCGAGAAAAGGTTAAACCTTTAAGGCTATTAGATGGATCATCAGACTTTGTACTCACTTATGAAGATAAAGAAGGGGATTGGATGCTTGTGGGCGATGTTCCATGGAGGTAAGATTTGAATATTGAGCTGTGTTTCAATAGTTTAAAACCTGATTAGTCTCTGGTAAGATCTATATTATTTTTCTCCGTTTTTATTTAGAATGTTTATCAACTCGGTGAAAAGGCTTCGGATCATGGGAACCTCAGAAGCTAGTGGACTAGGTAAGTTTTAAAGATCATCTTCTGGTTTCTTGATTTTGCATCTTGATGAATGAAAAAAAAAAATGATTGAATCATTCTTAATGCAGCTCCAAGACATCAAGAACAGAAGGATAGACAAAGAAACAAACCTGTTTAGCTTCCCTTCCAAAGCTGGCATTGTTTATGTTTTTTTTTTGAGGTTTGCAAGTTTACTCAATACTTTTTGAAGAAAGTATAACGGAGAATGGATAAAAGCATGCAGAAGCTTAGATTTGATTTTAATCCGGTTTTCGGATATGGTTTTTCTTAGGTCATTTCAATTCGTAGTTTTCCAGTTTGTTTCTTCTTTGGCTGTGTACCAATTGTCTCTGTTCTGTGAGAGAAGGCTCTTTGTTTATTTGTTCTCTCATAATGTAAATAGTTGAAGTTATCTAATGTGATAAGAGTTCTGTTTCTTGATTACAAGGAATGAATGTTGTTCACTGTCTTTTGGAGTTTTCATTGACTCAAGTCAAAACGTTTTGCAGAAACAGAGAAGACTGTTTCATTTTGGTCAAAGAGAAGATGTTTCTAAGACCATCAAGAATCATACATTGATGGACTGATTAAAAAAAAAGTTTGACTTATTAGTTTTGTCTTTAATTGTCCTTACAAAATATGTTGAGTATTTTTAAAACTCCCAACTTTAAATTGATAAACTATGAAAAGTATGGATTTTTTTCTTAATCTGATGGATCAAAGGCAAAGAAAACAACAAATGTTTGGATTTATGTCAGCAAATCAAAATACTATAAGGTTATGGATTGTTTAGGTAATAGTTAAATTGTTACCTAAAAAAGGAGATACAGTGGTGCTTAGAAAGTCCAACCAAAGATTAAAGGATAATAAGTACCTAAAGTCAAAGACCTGTAGAAGAAGATTCATGATCCTTGATAAAATTCAAGTTTTGTGAAATCAATCCTGAAGACTACAATTTTAGATTTTGGAACTAGATAATGGATCATCAATGGCGTATGAGGTTTTCGTTCAAGAACGCCACAATTGCTCTCACAGTCGTCAACGTTCTCATCTTCCTCTTCCTCCTTCAGGGCTTTTTCACTTCATCATCTTCATCTACATCTTCTTCTTCCTCTCGCCGACTCATTTCAGGTCTGTTGCAATTCATCTCTCTCTCGCCCTTTCTCTGTAACTTTTCGTAATTCATTGCGGGTATATCTTGATTTTGCGTAATATCTCGAGATTTCATCGGAATTTGATCAAAGTTTGGTGCTTTAGGAATCATCTCTTGATAGTTCTTTCTCGGATCTGGTCTCATAACAAAATAAACTTAGGCTTGTTGACTACTTTTTAGATTTCTGGATCTATCACTTGGATTCGCTCTTTCTAGATTTAGGGATTCTACAATGCTATGATTCAATTTCGAGAAAGTTTAGATTTTTGCGTATTGAACAAATAATCCAATTGCATACGGCACTTGAAAGTTTAAGCTCTTTCCATGGAACTGTTGATATCAAAGCTGTTACAGATTCACATTCTAAGCCGTGTAGAGATGAACAACTTTGAGAGATTGTTGCTGTTTCCTACATTACTGCAGAGCTTTGTCTTCTTTTTGGGTACTTAAAAGTTTGTTCTTTCATCTTAGACGTAACAAACCCTTTGATAATTGCAGCTCAGCTTCGGTATATCAAGGAAGCCGAAGAGCTTAGGCTCAAGATGCAACCTTTGGAGCTCATTAAAAGAGTAAGCACTTTATGCATTTTGTAGCCACTTCTTCTCATTGCATTACAAATCTACAAGTTACATATGCTTTCGAGAGAGTAACGATTTGGTCGTTTGTTCTTTGAATGAATGATAGGTCCGAGAAATCGAACAGGAGGTATCTGCGGGACAAGAAACCGAGCAGCAGAAAGATGTGAAGCAGACTACAGCCGTTGATCTCTCTAAACGGCTCAAGGATTTCCGTGCACTAAACGATGCATCAAGTTTGAAAGGTAACAACAACCACAAAACAATCTTACTCTCTAGGCTATGGAATCTAGATCGTATGAGGGTTTTTATATGTTACAAATGTTCTCTATCATCCGCACAGCATTGGAAGAATGGCGAAAGCGGAAAATGGAACGAGCAAGACAACGGGATCTTGGGAAAACCGGAGGAGTTTCGTCCATCAAAACATCATCATAAGTCATTAAGTCTCAAAATATCATATTATCATAAAATTATCTAACATTATAAGTCTCATAAAAAAAATCATACTAGTGTAAAGAATGCAGGAAACCTGTCAAAACACAGGAAAAAAAAAAGAAAAGAAACGAAATGATCTGAAATGTTGTAATGTTTCCGACAAACTTGTTTACACCAAATTCTACACAGTCAGATTTTTGAACACACCTGTGTTTTGGTCAATTCATCCAATAACCTTAATTATATTGTCTGGTGCCTATGCTGCTATCATTGCAGCTCCAGTTTATGGTTATCACTCACTCATCACCATTGTGGTCTGTATCAGTCATCTTTATTACAAAGAGCAGGTGACGACATGTTTGGAGATGCGGTTTTTTTGTCCCAACCCAATATAGGCCCATGAAGCAAAGGCCGTATGCAACTTTTTTTTTTGGGTCATAAAATTAATTTCGTTACAAACAATTCCCGATATCAACGCCTTCGTGGTTAAGATAAAAGAGAAAAAAACAAGTTCTAGATAGTCGGTGCTTGTCCTCTTTGATTATCTCAAACCGTCTTCAAATAATTTTTTAACAAACGAAAAGAAGAAACTTCGCAAAAATGACTAGTTCTAGAATTTTAAACAGAACAATGTTTAGGGTAAAAATTTTGAATCCTTTCATCAGATAGTTTAGTTATCAATTTTATATTTGTGTGTTTTGTCATGGCCGAGATAATTTGATGTCACCGATAAATATCACTATTTTACAATATCCATCCAATGCAGTGATAGTAATTAACATTTTTAGATACTAATTAACATAAGTTTAATGTAATGGAATTTATTAAAATTTTAGACCAGAATTCGACAATTGCGACGTTGCCCATACCTGTGTTTGTAACGGGAAAACAGAGTTATATATGAGTATGACTTGCCATCTTATAATCTCTCCTTGAAAATATGTTATGGAATTTTAAGCTAATATCTCATATTTAAGCAATATAAATAAAAGATTTCTCCCAATACATGGATATATTATATATATATATACATATTCATTAATTACAGGTGGATTATCATAAGTAATTAATTGCTGACCCGAAGATATGGTAGCTTCATAGCTTGAAACATTTAATATGATAAAACATAAGGAGATAATATTAAAGAAAGTGGTTTGGAGATTCGAGCTCAATAGCTCATCAATGACAACACTGGCTATATCCAACACTTTAAAACAAAGTCACGACACGTGTCCCACCACCTGTAAGTAGTTAAACACAAAGGTCCTCTTCGCATGGCACGTGCTCCTTGCCAAAGAACACATAAGCTCGGTGTATATAACTATGTCATATATCCCTTCCATAGATCATCACCGAACAACTTTGTTAGCGTTTTGTTGGATCAGAGAGAAGAAAGGTTTTGAGTAGCAAAAGAGTAAAATCTAGAGCTTTAAGGGGAAAATAAAAGAGGAAAGTGATGGCGACGACAGTGGGAAGAAACATAGCAGCACCATTGCTGTTCTTGAATCTTGTTATGTACCTTATTGTGCTAGGTTTCGCAAGTTGGTGTCTCAATAAATACATCAACGGCCAAACTAACCACCCAAGTAAATTTATTTTTCTCTCTCTCTAGATATATATATATATATATATATATATGATCATGTAGCTTATTGAATGGAATCACTAATTAAGAATCATATATTGATAATGCTGAAATAGGCTTTGGAGGCAATGGAGCAACACCGTTCTTCTTGACGTTTTCGATATTGGCCGCGGTGATAGGAGTAGCGTCGAAGTTGGCCGGAGCTAATCATATTAGGTTTTGGAGGAATGATAGTCTGGCAGCTGCCGGAGCTTCTGCCATCGTTGCATGGGCCATCACAGCTCTTGCCATGGGGTAATTACTTTATCTATGATGTCCCAGTTCTAAATCTCATGATGAAGTGCTAATTTTGACAACTATTTTTCTTTAAAACTTAGTTTTGGATATTTGTCAACTTATTTATATAGATGCATTTAAGTGTCGGTGTTTGGTAAATGGTATAATGAATTTATATTTTGATAAAGGTTGGCATGCAAGCAAATAAACATAGGAGGATGGCGAGGATGGAGATTGAAGATGATTGAAGCCTTCATTATCATTTTGACGTTCACTCAATTTCTCTACCTCATGTTGATCCATGCCGGTGCATTGAGCAGCAAATATGGTCCTGGCTACAGAGACCAAGACTATGCTACAGGCCAAGGTCATGGCCATGTACCCCACACAGTGGGCGAGCACAAGGCTGGTGTTGGATCTACCATGGCAGTTTGATAAAAATCGTGTGTTTTAATTGTGTTTTGACGTTTGGATAAAAAGTACTTACGATATGTAGTTTATGTTTTTCCAAGTTTATGTAATAATGTAATTCTATCCATCTGACAAACGAACAAATCTTGTGTGTTCTTTTGTTAATTTAGTTAATGGAGATGTGTTTCTTGTGTTTTTTATTTGACGCTCTCTGCAATTTTCTCTTAAATTTTAGTTGAACAAAACCAAATCTACAAATTTTAGATCGAAGGTATCCAATACAAAATCCAAATGAAGTGATCTGAAGTAATTTATTATACTTTCACTACCGAGAATTTTGGTTCAATTTCGGTCCGGGTTGATATTCGGTCTGGTTGATGCAATCTTAACCGTAACTGAAGTTTTGGGCTAAAAACGTTAAACATAATAAATGTTGGGGTTGTTTTTTGTAAATTTAAAAACTTCAAATGAAACAGAGTGTTGCGAGTTTTTGATCTGATGGTTTTGTTTGTTACTAGCGTGTCGGGGCGTAAAATTCGAATTGGCGCAGGAGAAATTGGGTCTCTAATGAGATCGTTGAGCATCGCGCACGTGAAGACTTGGTCCTTTAATCTCTAATGAGCCCAGGAATTGCGTAACGCATCTGCTCTGTTTCGTTAGATGGGTACAGGGTGTCGTCGGCATCAAATGCTTGCGCTGATGTTGATTCTTGGTAAGAAAATATAGAGTTTTGGTTTTGTTTCGGACATTTTATTGTGACTGTGGAAAGTTTTGTGAAGCCCGGAAAGTGTTTGATAAAATGCCTAGGAGAAGAAACGTAGATTCGTGGAACATTATGATTTCGATGTAGAGTTTTAGTGAATGGTTGGTTAGTCATATGCAAACTGAAGCATTGAATTCATACATGTATGTACCTCAATGTAGGAGCCTAGCTTTTCTAAGAGAAAGTGTCGGAACATGTTTCGTTTAAGAACATCTTCAAATAAGATGATCTCAGGATTTGTAATGTAGAGAAGTGGCCAAAAGACAAAGTATATACTTGGCAATAATAGCTTCTTTTGGCAACAGCAAGAAACAGAGAAAAGGGAAAATCTCAGTATATAGACAAAGTATATATCCTTCTTGGTAACAATTGGGTTTTCGCTATACATAACTATTCTAATTTGTGATTTAACTATACTTACACTATCTCTGTGCTTCTTCTGACTCTCTTTCCCGTCGATAATCAACATTTTCTTTATCGACTACTCTCCCGACTCGTCTGTTTCTCCTGCTTCTCTTACTTATACCTCTTTTTCTTTCTTTCTCAATCACAGGTTCTGACATTGGCACAAAGTGCATGAAGCACAAAGGCATCAAAGCAGCTAGAGACTGTATGAGAATCCCTGAAGACAGGTTTGAATAGTTACTTGATGTTATACCTATCAGATTAGCCAATCCGACGCCTAAGAATGCGCTTACTATTTGTGATAGACACAGAGTTGAAGCAAGAAAAGATGTGACTGATCCTTCACACCCCTGTGGACACATACTGGCTAATCTGACTGCAAATGGAAGGATCTTAAACTGTGCAAGGATTTCTGCTAAGCTGGAAAAACACAGCACATAAATCTCATTGGAGATTCCAAATCCGAGATTTATTTGCTTCACCAAGATAAAGTCGAGGAGAATCGATAAACCGTACAAGAGTTGGATGATATGGATCAGTGGTCTCATGGGAAGTGTCTTCAAGTATCGATCATAGACCACGGTTAGACAAAGAAGCATCAATTGTCCTATCACTTTCGACATTCCAATAACCGAAGGATCAAGGTTTAGAACTTGAGTTTGGTAACAGAAGACTGATCCCGAGAGAAGTGGGACCATTGCAATGGATACTACTGCCCAGATAAGAGGCTGGGAGATTTCGTCTGCCTGAATTGCTTCCTTAAGATTCGATATCTGTGTTTTGACGCCCTCCAAAACCGAGCTTGTCTCTGCTATCCGTGGTAAGCCGAAAGATTCTTCTTTGGAAGATAAAGAAACAACAAGCTGCAGAGACAACAAACCAGCGAATACAAGAAAGGAGATCTTAGGAGGTGTTGTGAGTAAGAGATATCCTCCAAGTAAGTTTCCAAGGACTCCACCAGCTGCTGAAGCCATGAGCGCATACGACTGGAGACCGTTTATTCGATATCTCAGACCATATTCCGCAACAAGAGCGTCTTTTGCAACCTCAGTGATGGATGCTCCAAGGTTGCTAAGCAGGACAAATGCCACAAGAGAAGGAAGAACTTCTCTAGCTCCTTGAAATATCCCCATTGAACCCCATGCTAAAACCTGCAGAAACACTGACACATTCAAGATTTTAGAACATCTTGAAAGGGAGCAGAATCGCCACAATCAGCAAGCTTCTTTATTGCCTATAATCGGTTTTAAAAATCAAGGCATTGGAGCAGACAGAGAGAGAGAGAGACTTTGGAAAAACTAACCTCCAATGGCGATGTAAGGAATTCTACGACCACTTCCAATGTAAAGAACATCTGAGAGAACACCGTAGAGAGGTTTAGCCACCATGGGAAGACTGCAAGAGTATTGCACAAGCTGAAGAGTGGATGGTTGGAGTGCGAGGCTATGAACCATATGGAAGTTAAGTGCAAGCCATGGGAAACACCTTGATCCTTGTACCCAATAACCTAACCCACACAAAACCGAGATTCCTTTACCACCCACTTGTTCAAACCTCGCCGTTTCTTCAAATTCAGACACACCATTGTTGTTTCTCCTTCTCCTTATCGAGAGACATGCGAGTGTCGTCGCCCTTCTTGGTTTGGTTTCCACCATGAAAAGGGTATTGTTATTGCTCTGCCTCTCTTGTAGTTGTTTTCGCCTGTGAATGGACGAAAGTGGTGGTTTCAAGAACTTGGTTGGGGAGTTTTGGATTGATAACAATGGATTTATCATGATTCTTTCCATTGTTTCAGGGAGATGAAAACAGAGGAGGAGGAGAAAGGAGGAAGCTTTACGCTAGAAGAAACGAATTCTAGTCACAAGCTTTGTATGTATCGATGAGTTTATATAATTTTGGGGCAAACCCTAAGCATCGTTGAATTGAGGAAGGAGACGAAATAGGATTTACTCATTTTTCTCAATATCGAAACGAAAAAAAAAGAAAAATGATATTTTGAAGGAAGAGGGATCTAGAAGCGTGTAACAAAGAGTAATAAGAGGCAGACAAAACTCAAAAAAGTTTTTTAAGTACAAACTACAAAAGGTTGTCTTCCACTAATAATAATCAAGCTTCTAATGAGTTTTTAAGTAATTAAACCAACGGTTACAAAAGCTTTAGATATTTCTTTTTGAAGGGGTCCATATGAAAATCCACTGTCCTAGGAATTGGAAAAGATGAGTCATCTGATTTTGATTATGACTTGTCACTAAAGTTTGATATAAATTCTCTATCACCAAAAGAATAGTAAATTATTTTTCTAAATTTATTTTAGGTCGACCCATAAATTGTTGATCACGTGTATGCAATTTTGTTTTTTTCTGGACTTTCTTGTTTCCATAGATTCAACGGTGCGTCGGTAACGAGTAACGACCACACTTTCAGAGACGGACAGGAATTTTACATGAATTATTATATGTGGCTTACGATTTATTAGCTTTTGGTAATTTTACATGTAATCGATTATAAATAAGTATCTACCATAGTTCAAATAATATCTGAGCCGACTTCTTTGCGCCAAATTACACTTTCGAGAGATTCTTTTATTTTTGGGATTGGTCTGTATTTTTAAGTTTCATGAAAATATGGTAGCTAATTTTTAAGGATTGGTAATTAGGTATATGATTTACTCCTTTTTTTTTTGGAGAAATTCCTAAAAATGGCCCTAAAACAAGTTTTATTGACAATAATAGCACACACTCCATAAACTTCCAAAAATAGCACTAGTTAACTTACTATTAGTGTTTTTGTTCTAAAAATTTTATCACTAGCTTTTTTTTTTCAATAATACCACAACTTTTATATAAAAGCTATTCAACAAAATAAATTTAAAATATTATATTTGGGTTCTCTATTTCCAATTTAGGGTATATATTTCTACCATTTAAAAGAGATTTTGATTCATTTTAATATTAGTTTATGGTATTATATTTGGGTTCCCTATTTCCAATTTAGGGTATATATTTTCACCATTTAAAAGAGATTTTTATTTTAATATTAGTTTGTGGTATTATATTTGGGTTCCCTATTTCCAAATTAGGGTATATATTTCCACTATTTAAAACAATTTTGATACAATTTAATAGATTAGTGTTTGCTCTCTTTTTTATTTTCTATCTTATATTTTCATTAAGTTTAATTGAAGTTTATGGTGCTATTTGTGGAACTTTTCAAATGAGGTGCTATTTTTGGAAAAAACAACTTTTTTGGGGCTATTTGTGTCAATCTCCCTTTTTTTTTTTAGTTTTAGTTGTGATTATATTCCAATTGTTTGTTTGTGTATTATATTATGTCCATCTCTAGTGTGTTTTTCTTTCTTGTTTAGTGTTTATGGACTTTGCACAAAAAATAGCTATTATAAGTAATCCGAAAATAAACAAAATCAAAATTTTAAAAATTATTTTTAAAAATCCAAATTAAAACTTGAATGCTAAATCTACATAATAATAGGAAAAACAAGTTGAATGTTTGGAATCGCTAACGACTAATGCTGGATCCAAAATCCGGTTAGTTTTCATATCATTATGTAAATTTAGTATCAAATGAATTTTTTTTTTTAAAACAAATACAAGAAAAAAAGATTTTAAAAATCCGAAAATAATCAAAATCAGAATTTTAAAAACCATTTTTAAAAATCCGAATTAAAAACTTGAATGCTAAATCTACATAATAATAGGAAAACAAGTTGAATGTTTGGAATCGCTAACGACTAATGCTGGATCCAAAATCCGGTTAGCTTTCATATTATTATGTAAATTTGGTATCCAAACATAAAAAAGAAAAACTTTTTAAAAAAATCCGAAAAGAAACAAAATCAAAATTTTAAAAACCATTTTTAAAAATCCGAATTAAAAACTTAAATGCTAAATCTACATAATAATAGGAAAAACAAGTTGAATGTTTGGAATCGCTAACTACTAATGCTGGATCCAAAATTCGGTTAGTTTTCATATCATTATGTAAATTTAGTATTCAAAACAATAAAAAATTTAAACAATCACAAAAAAAGCTTTTGAAAAAATCCGACCAGAAAAAAAAAAAAAATGTTTACTACCAAATCAATTTGCAAAAAAGAAAAAGAAAGAGATGATAGAAATTCGTTACCAAGCAATAGCAAAATGTCTATCATTCTAGAGAAACTGCACCGCGAATCAAGAATAGGAACCTACAATATAACAAGAAGAAAACTAAAGGTTAATTAATTAATTAAGAAACAAATTGATAACAGACAAGAAAGTTTCAGACTCCACTTGGAATTTCAGTAGCTAAAACTAGAAGCATCAAGACAAACTAAAGGTTTTCACTTTCTGATCTTCCACACTAAACTAATAACAAAACTAACTAAGAAATCCAAACAACAGAGACTGAATTGCATAGAAATTTACCAAAAGATATTTGAGATTATATTGTTGGTGCTAATATCTTCTTTAGACGAAAACAGCGCCAGCTTCCCGATCATGTCTTCGCACTTCTGAAACATCTCACATCCTTTCTTCATAACATCCTAACAGAACCAAAAAAAAATACACATTCAGTATAAACCCAAATCGAATTAGAATACAAAAAAAGTTAGAATCGAGAAGAGGATCGGTCAAGTCTTTTGAAAGTTTTTAGGGTTCCAAATCAAAATCTGACGAATTTACCACGAGTACAGGAGAAGAAGAAAATGTTAACTGCGAAGAGCTTTATAAGTAACAAACCTGTGACAACGGCGTGCGTATGATGCATGCATCATCCATGGTTTGCGTCACCACCTACGACTCTCAGTGAGATCCTCCATGATTTGCTAGTGAGTTTCACAAAAACAGAGAGACGAAATCAGAACGGTGGGGGCAGATCCTTGATCGTGTGATCATCAAACATGAGTTACAGTTCCGGTGAGTTCTCTCTGTAAGAGACTTGATCAAGAAGAAACAGAAACTAAAAAGAAATAGAAGAACAAAGGTGGATTTTTTGTTTTATAAGAAAAGAGGAAATTATGATTTCTCAAAGAACTGATTTGTTATATATAGAGAAAGGGTAAATAAAAAAAAAGGAAACGTTAGGCTAGGTTTTTCAAAAAAAGGGAAATTTCCATTTTATATAAACATTAAAGAAATCACTCATACAAATATATAAAAAAAAAGGAAATTGATATCGGTGATTAAAAGTTACCGTTACAACAAATCATATTTGACATGACTTACGTTTGTTGTAGTTAATATGTAGATTAAAAAAAAAAGCCAAGATTAAACCGCAAGTAAGAGACTGAATCTCCCAAAGAGATTCCGGTTAAGACTGTACGCAGTTTCAGTTTCCTTGATTTAGGAGTTTTCTTTGTTTGTGGTACAAGCCTTGTATGTATAGTACATAAATTTGCAAAACATATCTCTTTATATAATAAGAAAACAAAACAGATAATATTTTTATTTTTCCATCATCTCTGAGTGACTCTGTTATTTTAAGGATATGTTTTCCATTCTAAGTACTTCTCTACGCTTTCAAGGCCACAAAGCTGCTTCACTACTGGCATAATCGCTGGAACCGGCAACTCAAAACCAATATCAGATACGTCGGTATGATCACCACTATCGCAATTCCACGAAAGGTACTGTTTTCGAGCTTCTCTAATGGCTGATCTTGTTGCACAGTGCACAGAAGCCGCCACAAGCAACGGAGGCTCACCTGAAGCTGCATCAGAAGAAGACAATTTCAGCTCAACGAAAAGTAAGATTAAACAAGATACCAAATGAGAGAGATGAATCTCATTGATTCTTAGCTAAACCTTTAGAGGAGAGAATGCGGTTGTTGTGATGACCACTGTTGAGAATCTGAACGTTGAATTGTTTGGGAATTGTGTCTATTGTAGGTATTTTGTAGTCCCATGTACCTTCTTCATTCACAAGCCCGTTTTCATTTGTCGTGTACTCCTCATACATGAAAAACCCTATTCCTTGAACAAACGCTCCTTCAATCTTCTCAAAGAAAACAAACAGAAAAGCCAATTAACCAACCTGTTGTAGAACATTACGTGCAAATCCAGAATCCAAACCAAACTCAAGCTTACCTGTCCTAAATCAACAGCAGGATTAAGGCTTTTTCCACAGTCATAGATAATATCTGATCTTATAATTTCTGTTCTTCCTGTCACAAGGTCAACCTCCACCTGCACATTTTTGCATATAGTTTTACTGAATTTGTCTTATGGAATGTTTTAAGATATTAGTTATGAGATTCACCTCACTGGCTCCAACTCCGTAGTTGAGATATTCTGCGGAAGAGGACTCTGGCTTATAAAATGTCCGAGCTGATAGGTCCACAGATTGAGCATATGCCTGCGGTTTCACATATGGAGATATTTCCTTGAAACCAGGATTAATAGTAGGAGAACTATTAGTAATTAAGTTTTATACCAGTTGAATGAGCATGTCCCATGTCACGGATCGAGCATTCTCCAGAATCTGATTCATGGTAGGTTTCAGCCTCTCCACCAAGATACTGCAGCAAAGCCTCACTGCTTCACAACAGTTCTCAGATGTTGTGCTACCCGCAGTGTAACTGCTTTGAGCCATACTGAGTGTGTCAGTCTGAAGAAGCCGTATTCTTTCAAGCAGATCTTCACTTCCTTCGCATTTTATCATACCAAGACCATAAGCAACCATCTGTTGTACCTTTGTCCATAACCCTTGCCCCACCTCAATCCCTGCAACCTCAACCGCAACCGAACCATCATTCAAAATGCTTACTTTTCCTGGAGTTGGCCTATGCACAACTTGATGGATGATGGGTACTCGAGAAATCCCCCTTTTGCGCCATATGTTACATCGGTTAAACTCTTTCACCGATTCAACCCTTCGCCTGAAATCTGCAGATATCTCCAATTTATCCCACAATAAAGGCAAAGTATATTCATCAGGCTCACCAGCAACTTGCTTATAAAACTTGCTGAGGCTTTCGTAATTATGAAGATTTATCCTTCTCACAACATCCACGTCCATGTTCAGGGAAGATGCTACATTCTCAATAATGGATTCAGCAATGTATGAACCTTGTACCTCACCGGGTGCCCTTAAAGACGTTCTGCTTGGAAGGTTTGTCTTACACACTTTAATGTCAAATGACAATGCACCCCATTCATATTTCCTCAGGGAATTCATTATATTCTGTGGCATTACTAGACTTACATCCACATCACACCCTGCATCTATTAACATATTTAGCGCTAGTGCTGTGAGTTTACCGTCAGATCTGAAACCTACACTGTAAGTTATTTTCATGGGATGCCTTCCTCCAGCCATTATCATATCAGTCTTACGGTTGACGTATATCCTTACAGGACACTGCATTTTTTTTGCAGCAAGCGCACATGCTGTCGCAACCTGAAATCATCTTCAACAGCATTAGTATCAAATCACAATGGAAAGTCTCTTGTTACTATCCTAACGACTTTTATTCAGAGAAAAAAATAGTACTTACAGGCATAGACTTTATAGCTTTTCCACCAAAGCCACCTCCAATTCTTCTGGTGATGACTCGAACGTTATGCGCTGGGATTCCAAGACATGTAGCAATTACTGATTGTGTGTACTCGGGTGATTGTGTTGAACTGTAAACCACTAAACAGTTGTCTTCGTCTGGTAAGGCAAGTGCTGCTTGTGTCTCCATATAGAAGAAGTACTGTGACCCAAGTCTCAACTGCATAACCAAAATCAACAGCAAACATGTGTAAGAATGTACTAAATTTTTTTTTTTGAATATATCGAGATCAAGAGAGAGAAAGAGAGTGTTAATACCTCTACTGAGCGTATCTTGCGATCAGCTTCAGCCATTCCTTTTGAAATATCGCCAACGGGTTCGGGGTAATACTCGGGAGGAACCTCAAAAAGGCTGGACCTTTTGACTGCATCCTCCACAGATAATACTGGTGTTCCTATATTCCTTGAATCGTACTCAACTACTGCAAGGTTTGCTGCCATATCTGCATGCTTTTGTGTGTCTGCAACCTGATAGGTCATAAAAAATGGACTAATAGTTAGAAGAAAGACGAGAAAAATGATAGAGATGCAGGAATTATTTCGTTGGTGGATGGATTGGGAATGTATTAGAAATTGGACTTACCACAAGAGCAATTATTTGTCCGGCAGATATAGTAACTTCATCTGCAAATAGAAGCCCTGTGCCAAACATCGATATGTAACCAATGTTTTGCCCCACTTGAGGAATATCCTTGAAAGTAATAACTGCCATAACTCCAACTGGTGCCACATTTCCTCCGAAACCAACGCTCTTTATCCAAGCCAATGGCTTTGTGCTATAAATGAATGCTCCATGTAGACAATGGGGTAAGGATGCAATATCATCAACGTAAACAGCTTCACCTGGAAAGACAAACGCTCATGTAAGGTCTTATGTTACTTATCTAAATAAACATAGTGAATCTAAAAGCATTTCTGCTTGAGCTTTTTCACACCATTAAAAATATAAAGTTATTTAAAACGATCCAAGGAAAAAAATAGTACTAACCAGAAGCCTGCATTTCAGCTCCAAATTTGATAATGGCTTCACCAACAGAGTGATATTCTTTACTTTCAAACACCTGCTGTGCAGATGACAGCAAAGGTAGACATATTGTTGGATCGACGTGCCCATCAATATGCTTTCTTTCTGAATCCCAACTGCCACTCTCGATCAGAGGATAGAGAAAATCAAAGAGAAACCCAACGGCCAAGCTTTTCTTATACTCAGTATATGAGGTATCTATGCTGGGCACTATGATCCCTTTAAGTAACCTCACAGCTTCATATAACACACTGTGGCTGAGTATTTTACCCGTCAAGAAATCTTCAACTTCCCTCGCCCTGATGGAATGATACCCACCAAAAGAACCAAATGCCAACCGGCATTTATCCACAATGATGCCTCTTGATGATGCATCGTGAGAGACTACTGCTAAGAAAGCAGCGTTGATATAAGGCAATGCACTTCCAATAGGGCGAAGTGCAGTTCGATAGGTTTCGAAAAGCAAACCAGTAGTGGAAGAAGCAATCCAGCTAGGAATATGAACCTTTAAAAGAACAGTTTTAGTGTCTAATATTGGAGGCGACACAAGATACTCTCCCATCCTAAGCTTCTCGTGTCTCCCTGCATTTATCATATACACAGATGCATCTGCAGCGAGCAAAAGTGTGGTTATGTCAGAAGGAAATTTTTTGCTCTGTGCCATCACTAGATTACCACCGATACTCCCTGAGTTTCTGATAAAATGGTTGGCCACCTTCTCCATATGGACACCGATTTTCTTGAAAACATAAGCAGATGTATTTTCCTCCATCAAAGCATCAATAACTTTAGATATGGTAACAACTGCTCCAATTTCAATTCCTCTGTCATCTTTCTTGATCATTGACATCTCTGGAATGTGGCTAATATCAATATATCTACCGTATTGTTTCTCTTCTTTGTAGTAACCTGTTCCCGTGTTGCCAACAACTAATTTGATCAAACCTCTATCTTTGCTAGAGTTGGTTGTTGCCAATATTTCCTGAAGCTCTGCGACGCTAACAGGAGTGCTCCAATGATACCTTGTCTGATCCAAAACATTATGTTGACACTTAATCTTTTCCTTCAAGAAGTCAGGAAAAGTGACAAGATCTTTATCAGGGTTGTAAGGAGGCAATTTCTTGAACATCTCTTCTCTGCTTTCTCCTTTCCTCCAAAAAGAGTTGAAACCCAAATCCTCTATATCGACATCAGCAGCAAAACTCTTACAAGCATCAGCAATGGGACGATAACCGGTGCAGCGACAAAGATTTCCAGCAATTGACTTCTCGGCTGCAAGAGCAGTCAGGTAATCCGGAGAAGATTGTGAGTTGTTGGAGTTATGGGCTTTTGAAAGAGCAGAGTAGAGAGAGATGCACATCCCCGGGGTACAGAAACCACATTGAGAGGCATGGAACCCCGCAAATCTCTTGTGAATTGGGTGGAACCCTTTTTCAGTGTTTCCGAGTCCATCGGATGTGGTTATGGAGCACCCATTTATGCTGCAAAGAAGGGTCAAGCAAGAGTTTATAGAATACTCCTCGACTTGGTCTAACACAGGATCATATTTTGATAGAATTACGATGCAAGCACCACAACCCCCTGCATGATCATTGAAAAATATAACTGAGTCACATAAAAATGCAGGACAGGCGACAAAAGAACACATAAATATTCGGTTCTAAGACACATGAAACAAGGGAAAAAAAAAACATGTTTCCAAGCCTCATCTCAGTTTGGTAGACACTTGTCAGACAAGTGGTTTAATAATTCAGGTAAATATGAGTGGCATGAAACCAAAAACCCAACGAGATTGATTTCCAAAAGGAAGAAGTAAATAAACATAGATTTTAGGGATTCAAATAATAAATTAATGAGTTTTAACTTTTTGTGGAGATGAAAGTGTTAATCATCCATGTCCTCGAAATTGAAGGATGTTCAAAAATAAGCAAAAACGGTTGTTGATATGAATTTGAGATTCAAACAGAGAAGTGTATATAAAACCACAAAAGGATATTGACATTCATTGGAAAAATATCAGTGTGTATGTGTGTGTACCTTCGCCGCAGCTGAGCTTGACACTCTTAAAGGGAGTGTTTGAACGCAAGAACTCGAGTAAAGTCGTAGAAGGATTAACTGACAAGACTTCAAATTTCTCTCCATTAACAGCAAACACCAAATCTTCACCCGCCATTTTCTGGCCAAACTAACCAAAGAGTAGTGAATTAGTGGATAACACTGAGCTGCATGAAGAGCTCAAATTTAAGAAAACTCTGAAAGAGAAAATTGGCAGAATTCATATATATATATAAAAAAACAAGAGGAAGTGATTGGCAAAGAGGTTCTTATAGTCAATTACGTTTACAATTTGGATACGAAACAATGAAAACAAAAAGAAGAGAATTGGACGGAAAGCTATCTATCTAAACGAGTCCACTCTAAACGTCAATACTAATAAATGAGTGTGATAAAGCAATGCTGATTTTTAAGAGTTGATGGGTAAGAGATGGGTTTGTAGTATAGTCGTAAAGGTGTGAGAGCTCTAAAACTGGAAAATTGTATCTAAAATGAGAAAAAGTTTCTTATACTGGAATTGTAGTGTTGGTGAGATATAACGTCACTGAGCATTTTCTATCAAGTTTACCAAATTATGATATCTCTCATTCGTGTTGGGTGAGAAACTAGTAATTTCTCTTTTAATTTCAAACTTTTACCTAAATCGGAAGGTGGCTTTGGCCTTGGAGGTCTGATTCATTTCTCCAAAACCTTTCCACTTCGGTCTTCCCATTCCGTTTGGTTCCCATCCCGAAAGATTCCTTTCACACTCTTCACTAACCATGTCGAGAACCCATTGGCCATTGCAGACCGTACGCAGATCTGGAATCGAAGCATCATCTCTGTATTTCATATGAACATCGTTCGAGCGACAATCTCCCGCAATCCCTAAATTCGAATCCTTCTTTTTAATTTTCCTACCTTTCAATTTTTCAAACCCAATGTAACCGGAGACTCTATCTTCGGTAGGGGTCCAATTTGATCTTAACCAATTCAAACCGTACCGAACCACTTTAATACTATCACACCTTGTTTAGATGATTTTATTGGTTGGTACAGACCGTTGGATGTTGAGTGTGTCCAAAACTGATTTTAAAGCTGAAATTGTTTTCTGTCTTAAGCTTCAGATGTGGAGAACCTAATGTTTTGATTCTTTTTCCAATTTCCCAATGGTAATACAAATATATTATAATCTGGTTAGGTTAGGGGAGAATGATTATGCTCTTATGTCCTTGCACTCAAACTCTATCCATCATTGAGCATTGTCGACAATCCCTCGATTAAATACTACATCTTACAATCCATGTTTCTCTTATCGAATTAATACTACAACTTACGCTCCATGTTCGGATTGTTTCTCAGTGGTAGCTTCTGATTCTTGGTGATTATCCAGATTTTCTTTTAGCTCTTCTTGTAACTCAGCTTTTGCTGCACCTTCTGTCGCTGCTTCAGGAATCCTCAGTTCTGAAATCACAAGTTAAACAGTTCAAAACTTGTGCTGTTTTGCGCAAGAACCTAAAGGTTTTTAGCACATGAGTTCAATATCAACGCTTAAAAGATGGTCGAGTATATCAATGTGTAAATCGTCACCTACCTGGTTTCTTTTTCTTCCTCGAGGATCTGGTTGGTTTATCATCGGATGCTGTACCAAGTAAAAGATGGCTATACTTCGTCACTACCCGTTCTTTCTCATCAAGCATTCCTAAAAGCTCATAAGTATCAGCCACGGTCTGCACTATGTGCTTGTCCGGAGGCTTACGGTCATAACTCTCCAGATCCTTAAATAGCTTCATAACCCACATACAAACAATCACAAGTTTGAGGTCAGCACGAAATAAAGTTCAGACATAACTTACTAGTTCAGTTAAGTATCAATGAGCAACCTTAACAAGTTCTTGTAACATGTTGTTCCGGAAATATATGCGCATCATTTGTAAGCATAATTGCCAAGGCACAGAATGCAGATCGTTCCCAATTTTCTTTCTCCAGATAACATGAGCCTCTTCTGCTCTACGATCCATATCTAACGCCCGTATCAACTGTCCATACGTCCCCATCGTGTTCCCTTGTCCCTTACTTAGGATCCACTTTATCACCTACAAACGATTAAACAGGGGAAAAGAAATAAAAACCTCTCCAAGATTCTGTTCTATTTTTTCAGTTACTATAGAAATAGACGATATGTTATTGGGTATTTGATTATTCATCATGGTTCATGAGTCCCCGATAAGAGATAGAACATTCGGGGTGATAGATACCTGGACCATTCGATGCCATTGATGTTCCTTTTCAAGAATAGCTATTACTCTTTTGAGGGAAGCAATGGGGAAATTGCGCTCCCAAGCAACCCAAGCATCCAGAGCTCCATAAACAGCCTCTTTATTATCTTCCATATCAAGAAGCTGCATTCACAGATGAGCCAACGAATAAAGCAATAATAATAAATTAAAAATCATAAGACCCAAAAACTAAGGTTAAACAAGTATATGGAAGTTCTCATAATCGACAAACCATTAAACCACTAAAAATCATCTGCTTACAGTGTTCACAAGAAACTTTATTTTATCCTTCTTGGGTATGTTCTCCCCAATTTGATGTTTCCTAGGGGTTTCAGCGTTTTCCTTCTTTGATGAATCAGAAAAATCTTGCTCATCCTACAACAAGATGAAAGGCACAATATGCATCTTAAGAATCTCGTTGGTGAAAAATAACGCAAGAAATATAAATGATGAAATGCACAATTCTCAGGAATTTGCTAACCAAAAATACATGGAAAACAGAAAGTAATTTGATCATCAGATATATCAGTGATGTGTTTGACTATGCGAACTATTGAGAGCTACAGGCCAGTGAATGAGAATACACACTTTTCATGAGTATTAATTAGGTATGTGCTATAACTTATATCTAGGTCAAGATGTATAAGATCCGTCTGCAAGAGAAACATAAATTGAGCTCACACTAAGACTTGGACAGCAAAACACAAAGCCACTCTTCGGTGTATTCTATTGTACCTCAGTCTTCACAATACGTTTAGGAGATGCATGAGAATCAGCCACAAACTGATAGCTCATCGATTGGACCCTTAAAAAGGCGGGCTTGTTTGTCTGGTTGACCTGAGAAATAACATGTATCACACTATGAGATGCATAAAAAAAAGAATCTAAATATACGTGTTTCAATTTTTCTTTTTAAGCACCATTAGGTTTTTAGAAGTTCAAGATGAAAAACATTTCACAACTGAAAACTTACCCTAAGAAGATGATGAAATGGAGCAGTAAGTGCGCCAGTATTACCAAGGGTGTTGTACTTTCTGGAGAAGAATGGTAAAGTATCAGATTCAAATCAATACACCAACACTCAAGAAGCAGCTTGTTTTTGGTAATACAAAACCGAAACTTGGAGAGAAATTGCAGAAAGAAATGAAAGTGATGCTAATTGATCCAATCTGAGGTTTTACCTTATTCCATTGGAATGAGAAAACACACCTGGCTCACCTACAATAAGTTTCAAATCATAAGGATTCAAGAAATTCCAAAGAACAGTCTTTGAAATCATTACAGAGATACTGAACCTGCGTATACATTAACCAGGTAACACAGTCTACCATTCCAAATTTTTATGCAATTCAATCAACTTATCAGAAGAAAAATAGACCCTTGGAAGATTTACGGAAACAAGAATTTGTCTACCTAAATGACCATTTTTTTACAGAAATCAGCTCCAAGCTCGAACTCAGAGATTCCAACTCATTGAATAAATTGTACAAACGAAATACCAACCATAAATTTCGTCACATCCTCCTCCAGTGAAGAGATTTCGTGCTACCGATATAGAAGCTGACGGCGCCGTTAGGTTTCTGGTTGCGCTAGTAAAGGCGCGTTTCAGAGGGATTAAAGAACTGAAACCCGCCATTGGAGACGACGGAGCAAGGAGAAACGAAGACGGAGGCGCAAAGGGATTTCAGAAGTGATACTGTACAAGTTTCTGAAAATCACTAATTGTTTAATTTTTGAATTAAATGATTTTTTTTCGCCACTTAAATGATAAAATTATAAATTTAGCCCATTAGGAAAACAATTGGCCCATTAATGCTTCTTCGCTTCCTATTTCGATCCGTTTAAATCGAGATGATAAACCGGATCGGTTAAATGAAGAGGGGTAATTTCGGAATACAAAGTTTCATGATTCTTCTCCGTTCGCTTCCCAACGTCCGTGGGGGGAAAGACGAAAAGAAAAAAGAGAACCAGGAGAGAAAATTCTTCAGCTGATGCGAGAAAATCTGTAGCTGAAACAACAACGATGTTCTGGGCATTTTCTTCGTTTGGTATTAGGAAGGGAAAAAGCTCAAAGGTTTAAGGCCCCTGTGCAATCGTCACGAAATTTGCCGCATGTAGCCTCTTTTTTTTCTTTTCTATGTTGACGTCGATCAGAAAGTTTGAAGCTTGGAAAGAGAAATGTTCGTTCTAGATTTCTTCATGGATCCACGTTGATTAAAGTATTCGTCTGATTGCTGTGTTGATGTTTCTCCCGTTTGGGTATTGTTGAGCCGAGATCGTTTTAGAAACATCTGACCAAATTCCATCATAATAATGGTACGAGCTTTCGTCTTCTTCAAACAAAATTTGATTTATTTTGGTTTCTCTCTGTTGTGTGATTTCGATTTTAATATTCATGTGAACAAACGATTTGATTAACTTATTGATTTTTTAATCAAATTGTGTTTTGAGTTTCTAAATGTGTAACAATGGTGCTTTATGTAGATGATTTTAAATTTTCCTTTTTTGATTGAATTTTGAATTGTGAATTGTGAATTGAGTATTTTACAAAAAAAAAAAATGAAGATGAGCAACGAAAACTTCTTGCAGATTGAACAAAGCTCTGAACAACCTTCCTTTCTCTATTGAAAAAAAAAAACATGATTGTTTTGAAGAAAATCCTTCTCTCTTCGTTGTTCTCTTCGATTTTCATTACTCAGATTACCTGTTTGATTGTCTAGTTATGATGTGATTTATGCGCAGGCTGCTTCAGCCAAAGTAACTGTAGGGTCTCATGTCTGGCTGGAGGATCCAGATGATGCCTGGATAGATGGAGAAGTAGAAGAAGTTAACAGTGAAGAAATCACAGTAAACTGCTCTGGAAAGACGGTAAGAAAGTATAAAACTTGTTACATTATACGCTGAAGGAGTAAATGATTTCTTGATATGGAGACATTTGTTATTGAGGAAAATGTCTAGCTTTTAATCTCTGTACCATTCTCCTGAAGGAGTTCACTTTGATCTTCTGACCATGGAACCGATTCCTTTATGAGATAAGCAGTGAGAAAAAAGCTCACATCTTTGATGCATTTGTTTCTTAGGTTGTGGCAAAGTTAAGGGATGTCTACCCCAAGGACCCCGAGTTCCCTGAACTTGGGGTGGACGACATGACAAAGCTTGCATATTTACATGAACCAGGGGTTCTGCTCAATCTAAAGTGCCGATATAATGCAAATGAAATCTATGTAAGCTTCAGCTATTATACCACTTTTGAATTCGATTACTAGTTGTCAAGTATTTCTTGCTTTCAAGAAATTTTGTTTTTTACATTAACCATCACGTGATCTTAAGATATCTGCACGGTTTCTGCAAGCTAATTTTTTCATGATGAATCCAGACGTACACAGGAAATATATTGATAGCTGTGAATCCCTTTAAGAGATTGCCCCACCTTTATGGAAGTGAGACAATGAAACAGTACAAAGGCACAGCATTTGGTGAGTTGAGTCCACATCCTTTTGCAGTTGCTGATTCTGCGTACAGGTAACTCTTTTGTTGCGTTAATTAGCTTGTATTATTGTTGCACTTTCAATTGTTTTTCGGCTTTACAATCACTAAAAATATAACATTTCAGGAAAATGATTAACGAGGGGGTGAGCCAGGCGATCTTGGTTAGTGGGGAAAGCGGTGCTGGGAAGACAGAGAGCACAAAGATGCTCATGCGATATCTTGCCTACATGGGAGGAAGAGCTGAGAGTGAAGGAAGATCTGTGGAGCAGCAAGTTTTGGAGGTAATATATTTCCTAATAAACAAGGCTACATTCTTGCAAAAGATAGACTTAGTGAGTTTCTTCTAGTAATATCTGGCCATACTTTCCTCTGATTGACTTTCCTGTTTTGCAGTCCAATCCAGTTTTAGAAGCTTTTGGCAATGCAAAAACCGTGAGAAACAATAATTCAAGGTAGATGAGAGGAGTCTCACGTTTGTAAAATTTGTCCATTTTGTGTATTTTCTTGAACTCGATTTAAGATGTTTTGGCAAATTCCATTTTTCAGTCGTTTTGGTAAATTTGTGGAGATTCAGTTCGATCATAGGGGAAGAATTTCGGGAGCTGCTATTAGGACATATTTGCTAGAGAGGTCTCGGGTTTGTCAAGTTTCTGACCCTGAAAGAAACTATCATTGCTTTTACATGCTTTGCGCTGCACCAGAACAGGTAAGCCCTGATATCTTCTAAGGCGGTGTTAGCTCGAAATCTTGGAGATCATGTACAAGCTTTACATGAGATTCACGTTGACTAAACAGTGTTTTCATGAGGTTTCAGGAAACTGAGAGGTACAAGTTAGGAAAACCAAGCACATTTCGCTATCTAAATCAGTCTAATTGTTATGCGTTGGATGGGCTTGATGATTCCAAGGAATACCTAGCTACAAGGAAAGCTATGGACGTTGTTGGGATCAATTCTGAAGAGCAGGTACTTTATTCTAGTTTTGCTGAGTCATGGGAACAACTCTTCTTACATTCTACTATTGTAGGATGGAATCTTCCGAGTAGTGGCTGCAATCCTTCATCTAGGGAACATCGAGTTTGCAAAGGGTGAAGAATCAGAAGCTTCAGAACCTAAGGACGAAAAATCACGGTTTCATTTAAAAGTGGCAGCAGAACTTTTCATGTAAATGCTTCACTACTCTGTCTTTTCTCAGATAAAACTATTTTATGATCAGCGAGAATTACAGCCTTGACTTTCTCTTTGTTGCAGGTGTGATGAGAAAGCTTTAGAAGATTCCTTGTGTAAAAGGGTCATGGTGACTCGTGATGAAAGTATAACAAAGTCGCTTGATCCTGATAGTGCAGCTCTAGGAAGAGATGCACTAGCCAAGATTGTCTATTCTAAATTGTTTGATTGGTAGATGATTTTTTCTTAAGGATTTATTATATTGTTGAGATTTCTATGTAAAAGGTTATAACTTTCTTGCTTACAGGCTCGTGACCAAGATCAATAATTCCATCGGCCAAGACCCAAATTCAAAACACATTATAGGAGTTCTGGATATTTATGGATTCGAGAGTTTCAAGACAAACAGGTGCTTAACCGGTATGCTTTTGTTTTCACTGACATGCTAAATCTCTGGAACTGAGAATTGAATTCTTACATTGCTTCCTACATTTATGCTCTCTGATTTACTAGATTCTTTTAACTTCGAGCTGATGGTTTTTTATCGAGTTTATAGTTATTCTGGTTATTGACCGTTCCTTGCAGTTCTGTGGTTTGCCTGTTTGATTATAATTCTTTTGTTCATTCCAACATAGTCTTCTCATTTTCACGGACAATTTGCAGCTTTGAACAATTTTGTATAAATTTAACAAACGAGAAGCTGCAACAACATTTCAACCAGGTTGGACACTGACACTAGATTGTTCTATTTCTCGGCTGACCCAATATTCATACATACCTTCCTCTTCTCTACAGCATGTGTTCAAGATGGAGCAAGAAGAATATACTAAAGAAGAGATTGACTGGAGTTACATAGAGTTCATTGATAATCAGGATGTCCTTGATCTTATTGAAAAGGTTAGTAGCACACAATGTGAAATGTTGGAACTTATTTTCATCACACCTAGTGTTAGTATATTGGGTTTGAGTATCTGATGTGTAGTTTTGTCATGCCAGAAACCTGGTGGAATCATTGCCCTTCTAGACGAGGCTTGGTAATGTTAAAAGGTCATGTTTGTTCGTTGCTTCTCTCTTTTGCCTTCAGAAAAAAATGATTAGGATTCTATTTACTTCTGCAGCATGTTTCCAAGATCAACACATGATACATTCGCTCAAAAGCTGTACCAGACTTTTAAAGACCACAAGCGTTTTGGCAAGCCAAAATTGGCTCAAACAGACTTTACAATTTGCCACTATGCTGGTGATGTTAGTGATCCTTATAACCCAAACTGCGTGCTTAAATGCTTGTCTTGATGTAAATTACCTTGGTCCAATGACTGTATTATTGTTTAATTCCAGGTCACTTATCAGACAGAACTGTTTTTGGACAAGAACAAAGATTATGTTGTTGGAGAACATCAAGCTCTCCTGAGCTCTTCAGACTGTTCTTTTGTCTCATCGTTGTTTCCACCATTGCCAGAGGAATCTTCCAAGACATCAAAATTCTCATCAATAGGTTCTCAGTTTAAGGTCTGAACTAATGTTAAGTTACACCTGATTCTGCTTATAATCTCTACTATGGTTCTCACCACGTGCTAATATACAGCAACAACTGCAATCTTTGCTCGAGAGTTTGAGCACCACGGAGCCACACTACATACGATGTGTTAAACCAAATAACCTTCTTAAGCCAGAAATATTTGAGAACATTAATATTTTGCATCAACTTAGGTGTGGGGTAAGCTTTTATTGTTTCAGAGAACCTTATGCTTTGAATTTTGTAACTGTATTAAATTATCAAGCTTTCTTGTGATGTTGTGGAACTTCCTGTATCTGATCTCAGGGAGTCATGGAAGCCATTAGGATTAGTTGCGCTGGATATCCTACTAGAAGGCCTTTCAATGATTTTTTGACTCGGTTCAGAATTTTAGCCCCAGAGACTACAAAGAGCAGGTAGCTAACCGACACTTAATTCCTGTAACTACTTACATTTTATCATATTATCTTACTTTAGTTTTATAGGAACTAAGGTATTAGCTTCACTTACAAACTTTTTTGGTTTTGGATTTATGTTAATAGCTATGATGAAGTTGACGCTTGCAAAAAGCTACTAGCAAAAGTGGACCTCAAAGGTTTTCAGGTGCATTTTCATAATCTTACCTCCCGCTTTCTAGTGTTGCTTGTTTTGCGATTACTAAAACACAAATAAAGGGCACTGGAATTTCCATCTTTGAATATGTAACTAGTCAACACTGCTCAAGATTTATTCTAGCTTTCTTTTTCTGCTAATATATCATTCTATATATGACAATCTTTACTAATAATTTTCTTGCATCATAGATTGGGAAGACAAAGGTGTTTCTTAGGGCAGGTCAAATGGCAGAACTGGATGCTCACCGAGCTGAAGTTCTTGGTCACTCAGCACGGATTATACAGAGAAAAGTCCTTACTTATCAATCTCGCAAGAAGTTTCTGTTGTTACAGGCCGCTTCAACAGAAATTCAAGCCTTGTGTAGAGGTAATACATGTTGTATGCGTTTGTTGGTACAAATATTTTGTTGGCTTCGAAAAATGTTATCAGGCTGTCTTATTCCCTCCTCAAACTGAATTTAGGGCAAGTCGCACGTGTTTGGTTTGAGACCATGCGAAGAGAAGCTGCTTCTCTGAGGATTCAGAAGCAGGCACGGACTTATATTTGCCAAAATGCCTATAAACGCCTGTGCTCGTCTGCTTGTTCAGTTCAGACGGGGATGCGAGCAAAAGCTGCTCGAGTTGAACTTCAGTTTAGGAAGAAGAGAAGAGCGACAATCATTATTCAAGCAAGTTTAAGCTCACATATTGATGAAATTGTTTCTCGTTTGCCTATTTTATACCTATCTCATACATCTACTTGTTTGAGTATTGATGACATGCAACTTACTGGTTACACAGAGTCAAATCAGAAGATGTTTGTGTCGTCAGCATTATGTGAGAACGAAAAAGGCAGCGATTACTACTCAATGTAGCTGGAGAGTGAAAGTTGCACGCCGAGAATTGCGAAATCTAAAAATGGTAACCCTCGTTTACTAACATATGGATATGGGGTTCTTAGTTTCACTAACTCTGTTCTTTACAAAAACTGACCTTCCATGAGAAATACAGATAAGCAGGGATTTTCTTATATTTTATCATTTTTTCAGGCTGCTAAAGAAACAGGAGCACTTCAAGATGCTAAGACTAAGCTGGAAAATCAAGTGGAAGAACTCACTTCAAACTTGGAGCTTGAGAAACAGATGAGGGTAAACATCATTCCATCAATGATATCATGCTGGACAACACAGTACCTGTGACGCAAATTATTTTATTTTTTGAAGAAGTTTTCGTTGTAAACTGGATCACTTTGTTGGTTCTGTATGAGGCATCTGATCAGTGAATTGCTGCAGATGGAGATCGAGGAAGCCAAATCTCAAGAAATCGAAGCATTACAGTCCGCTTTAACAGATATAAAACTTCAGCTCAGGGAAACTCAAGAAACCAAAAGTAAGGAGATCTCAGACTTGCAGTCCGCTTTACAAGACATGCAACTTGAGATTGAAGAACTCTCTAAGGGACTTGAGATGAGTAACGATCTTGCTGCTGAGAATGAACAGCTTAAGGTTAGTCATAAAAATTCTCTGTCTGAACCTTTTACTCCTAGGTATTCAGTGTCTGTGTTGAAGATTATGTTTATGATTTTATATGTATCATCGTCGTTGTTTGTCTTATCCTCTTTCTATAAAAGGAGTCGGTGAGCTCGCTGCAAAATAAAATTGATGAATCCGAGAGAAAATATGAAGAAATAAGTAAGATAAGTGAAGAGCGGATAAAAGAAGAAGTTCCTGTAATTGATCAGTCTGCCATCATCAAACTTGAAGCTGAAAATCAACAGCTGAAGGTAGGATTTTAAGATACTGATTCTGATACACAATTTGAGTTTCATACAAATTTCGATTTTTCCTTCTGATAATATATATCTGATCGAGCATAACATATTCTTAGGCATTGGTAAGTTCCTTGGAGGAGAAAATTGATGCATTGGACAGAAAATATGACGAAACAAGCTCAAATACCACAGAGCAGTTGAAGGAGAACGTTTCATCTGATTACGAGAGCATGAGCAATCTCGCAGCTGAAAATGAGCGGCTCAAGGTAATCGTTCTACAGTTGTAGCATGACCAAAGAAACCCAAATGGATCAAACATGCTCAACTAGGTGTTTTCAATTTATTAGTCCCACTGATCTGATGAATGGAACTACTTCTTAGGCACTCGTAGGTTCGTTAGAGAAGAAGATCAATGAAAGCGGGAACTATTCTACAGATGAACAAAAGGAGGGAAAACGCGTTTTGAAAGAAGAGAGTTTGACAGAGGATGCTTCAATTGACAATGAAAGGGTCAAAAAACTTGCTGATGAAAACAAAGACCTGAATGTAAGTTTTCCATAGATATAGCCTCTCTCTGTTAATTATTTGGATTTTGTCTCTATCTCTAATTTGATTTGATTCTGATAATTTTTCAACAGGATCTGGTAAGTTCCTTGGAAAAGAAAATAGATGAAACTGAAAAGAAGTACGAGGAAGCAAGTAGACTTTGTGAAGAGAGGCTGAAACAAGTTTTAGACGCAGAGACAAAGCTAATCGATTTGAAGACATCAATGCAAAGGTTTGACGATTTGCGTTCTTTCTTCTCCAAAGTGTCAATCGTTTTACCTTTTCTCTGAGATATATTTGCACTCACGTTAGTTAGTACATATGAATTACTTGATTATTTTTCTCTTTAGGCTTGAGGAAAAGGTTTCTGACATGGAAGCAGAAGAACAAATTCGTCGGCAGCAAGCGCTGGTTAATTCTGCTTCCCGGAAAATGTCTCCCCAGGTGTCATTTACAGGACCCCCGGTAAATTTACAATTTCTCATACTTCCGTGTATAAGTTTTTGAAAAAAATATTTAACTTCTTCCCTCTACCTCTTGCAGCCTTTGGAGAACGGACATCATGTAAGTAATGAACTAGATATTCTGTTCTGTGATAGACTTGCATCTTGCACATCGCAAGTCTTTATAGATAGAGTTTCTTTGACAGTTTTTTTGCATTCTTACAGGAATCACTTGCTCCTATACCGTCAAGAAGGTTTGGGACAGAATCTTTTAGACGATCTCGAATTGAACGACAACCCCATGTATGTGCCTAACGAAAACATTGTCCCTAATTTATAGTTATATATACTTCTTTTCACTGGTTAGTTGGTTGTCATATTTCTATGCTGCAGGAATTTGTTGATGTACTTCTCAAATGTGTATCCAAAAACATCGGTTTCAGTCATGGAAAGCCTGTTGCAGCTCTTACAATATATAAATGTCTTATGCGCTGGAAAATATTCGAAGCAGAAAAAACAAGTATCTTTGATCGAATTGTTCCTGTGTTTGGTTCTGCAATAGAGGTAACCTGAGAAGTTACGACTTACTTGTTTTGTATTACTTATGGTCATTAGTCAGAGGCCAATGGATATGCGGCTTGACAAGCATATCCATGGTTCAGATAAGATGACCCAAAAAAAAAAAGTTGCATGCCTCAAATGATTCATAACTTTCCTGTGATTGCTCCGACTTTGAGTTAGATAGAACTTAACAAAATCCTCTGCTTATTCATTTATATGCAGAATCAGGAGGACGACAATCATTTGGCTTATTGGCTGACAAACACATCAACACTCTTATTCTTGCTTCAAAGAAGCCTGAGACAACAGAGCTCAACTGGCTCAAGTCCAACAAAACCTCCACAGCCAACTTCATTTTTTGGAAGGATGACACAGGTAACAAGGAAATGGAAACAAATTCTTGTCTTGATGGGCTTGATTTTTCTAGCTCTAGACTCTTATGTTATTCCTGAATCTTCCATATCACTCAAAACTTATGTATCGAGGGTTACTATATATGTGATTGTTTTAGGGTTTTCGTTCAACCTCTTCCCCAAATCTTTCAACTGATGTGGTGCAGCAAGTAGATGCTAGATATCCTGCATTACTTTTCAAACAGCAGCTTACGGCCTATGTTGAAACAATGTACGGAATAATCCGAGAGAACGTTAAGAGAGAAGTATCATCGCTGATTTCTTCCTGCATTCAGGTATACCTTTTGTCACCCGACCAATAAAATAATCGTTTGAGAAACTGTCAGCTTGGAAGATAGGATTGTTTCATTTAAATGATTCTCTTCTAATGATTCAGAATCTGAAGGAATCATCATATGATTCCTCTGTTGTGAAGTCACCATCAAAGTCATCTGAAGAGAATTCACCGACTAAGCCATTTGAAGAGAATCTCCCAGCTAAGTCATCTGAAGAGAATTCCCCGAAGAAGTCATCTGAAGAGAATTCACCTAAGAAGTCAGCAGGAGATAAGTCACCGAAAAAGCTATCTGATGAGAATTCACCATCTAAAGAGGGGCAAGCAGTGAAGTCTTCTGAAGAGAATTCACAAGCAAACTCTTGGCAAAGCATTATTGGGTTTTTGAATTACAATCTCATCACATGGAAGAAAAACTACGTAAGAATATTTCCATATGTAACCTTCATTACTGCTTAATTTGCCTACTAAAAAGTTCTCTTTCAGGTTCCTCTGTTTCTCGTTCAGAAGATCTTCAGCCAAACTTTCCAATACATCAATGTTCAACTCTTCAACAGGTTATTGTTTCAATCCCTTCATCAACTTTCACTTGTATAAATCAACTTTCCATGCAGTCAACGTATTAAACTAGAGCTATTATCTGAACCATGCAGTCTTCTCCTCGAACGAGAATACTGCACAGTCAACATGGGCAAAAAAGTGAAGGCAGGGTTAGATGAACTAGAGTCATGGTGCAGCCAAGCGACTGAAGAGGTAAAAAACTTGAGGAGCCTGAAAAATTTGTAGTAACCAACCATATTTAGGACATGATTCACTTGCTACTCTTGAATACAGTTTGTAGGATCTTCTTGGGATGAACTGAAACACACAAGACAAGCCGTAGTGCTTCTGGTTTGTCTTCTCTTCTTGACAGTGTACCACTCTCCCTCTTCTTTCTCATTCCTGAATGTTCATGGGCTTTTTCTTTCAGGTTACAGAACCAAAGTCCACAATTACATACGATGATCTTACAACTAACATTTGCTCGGTAAGTCTCTGCTTCTCTGATGTGAGGAATGCATGGAGGACTTAAATCCTTCGTAGCCTTGTGTTATCTCTAGAAAGAGTAATTAACCTAATTCTTTAAATCTTTCTCCGTCTGTCAGGTTCTTAGTACTGAGCAATTGTATAGAATATGTACTCTCTGCAAGGACAAAGACGACGGCGATCATAACGTATCACCAGAGGTACATTGCTCTGAGCTCTGATAAACCAAAAAAAAAGAAAAAAGACACTGTCTACTAAATTGTCTATCGTGGTCTTCATAATGCAGGTGATTTCCAGCTTAAAACTTCTAATGACAAATGAAAATGAAGATAGCCGTTCCTTCTTGCTAGACGACGATTCCAGGTACGGACTAAAATCATTCACAAAATTGTTGGGCCATCTTGAGCATACGGTCCTAAATAATTTGCCATTTGTGTGGACACAACAGCATCCCTTTTGACACCGATGAAATCTCAAGCTGCATGCAAGAAAAGGACTTTGCGAATGTAAAATCAGCTTCGGAACTCGCTGATAACCCCAACTTCCACTTTCTCAAGGATTGAGAAACTGTTTCAGCCTTGGTATAGTATGTATATTCCATTCCTCTTTGGTTTTGGTAATGGGTTTTGTAGAAATCTCCATAGCTTTCTTTTTGTACACCTCTTCTTTTGATCTCTGTTTTTGATATCTTCAGGCTAATTTACTTGTGGGATAAGAAACCCTAAAGCAGTATTTTAATTGTAATACAAATTTTGATAATAATATTATGAGGCCGCCAAAAAGCCCCGGATCGGGATTCGGATTGCACGTCACTCGGTCAACATCCCGGTTACAAACCGGTTTGTCTTTGGTCACAATTTATATAACATGAGATTGATAATTTACATGAACATAGATTTTTTTTTTTTATTTTTTTTTTTGTCAACTTCTTGGGTAAAACTTAAATAAAGAAACAGTGACAATGGACAACCACGTATGAACCCTTTTTAATTTTTTAAACTAAAAAGGATAGACAACAGCTGAAGCAAAAACAGCAAATAATAATAGTAATAATTGAGTCATATTATTATTAAAATAGGTTACTAAAATAAGAGGTGAAAAGAAAGATGAGAAATTTAGAGGCAAAATGCAATGTACATCTGCATGAATCTTGGGAGTCGGCTTAAACTTACCCGTTTTTCTAAGCATTTAATTCCATGACAATTAAAGTTTTATTAACACCTTCTCTTTGCTATAATTAGCTACTAATATCCATGTTGTATATAAATAGTATTACCACAAATACACAATAATCCTATAAAGAAAAACTCACTCTAATTAATACGCTTCAATTTTCTAAGCCTCTGGTTGTATGAAAATTATTAAAAATCAGTAAGACTACTAGTAAAATACAATATATTATAAAAAATGGGAGAAACTATATTCTTTTTCATGATGAGCATATATATAGAACATTTTTCGTTAAAAAATCATTCACCCCATAATTAATCGGCGCTACAGCTTTATTTAGTGCAAAATAAGAATGACAATAACATTCTCCTTCTTTCTCTAATACAACTCGTCGAGTTGACTAATTTTAGCACATCTCTATTATACACTTCTTTCGAATATAAATATAGGAAAAGATTCATAAGAGAATATATATTAGTAATTCATATTTTGGAATTAAAAAAGAAACTCGTGACAACATAAAATAGTCCAAAAGCCATTACTAAGAAAAGTACTACTCCCTCCGTATTTTAATAATTGTCGTTTTAGAATTTTTATTTTTTTGAATTGGATGTCGTTTTCAAATTTCTATGCAAAATTTATTACTTTTTAATGTTTTATGACATCATAAAACATTAAAAAGTAAGAAATTTTGCATTGAAATTTGAAAACGACATCTAATTTTTAAAAAAATAAAATCTTAAAACGACACTTATTAAAATACGGAGGGAATATTATTTATCATATTGTAATTTATTTTGTTAACAGTTACTTAATCTGTTAATCACATTGAGTTGTTAGCTACCACATGCCGCTTATTATGATGGGTGACACGATACATGACGCTTAAAAATCAAACCAAACTATTCCCCTTGATACATACTTTAGTGTCCTTTTTTTTTTTTATCAGAACATTAATTCTAAGAAAATACAGATCACATTAGAAATTAAGGGATTAAGTTTTAAATCTGAATGAACTGATTCGGACTAACAACTGTTTTGGAAAAACCAATGTAAAGACTGATATGATATTTTACTAGAATTGTAGTTTAATTGGTTTTTGATAGTTTCATTATTATGTCACTATCTGAATTCAAATTTCACATAGTACACGTTTCAATTATGCTAAATATATAAATTGGAAACTAAAAAATTAAATGATATTTTATATTATTTTTTTTTAGCATTGCAACCAAAAATCAGATTAGAATCCGGAAAATAAGAATAAAATCAGAATAATTATGACAAAAAAATCATCTAAAAATACAGATCATATATAAGGGGTTGACCAGTAAAAATAGTTCACCAAAGGTCAAGAAGACACCTGAGGCTGATGGTATAAATTAAATCAGAAAAACATGTGATCACATGGACTTCCCATCTTTCACTATCACAATTTTTTTTCAGGGAACCATTTGACTCCAATCATTTATATTTCCATACCCTTTCAGTTATTACAGTTATGGAGTTAGTTGCGTCTCTATCTTCTTCTCTTCTTTTTTTTTTCCTTCTCTTTCTTATAGCTATATTTTAGTAATCCATGTTGTGCCAAAAAAATTCAAAAAAAAAAAAAAACATTATATATCTTTCTGAAGATTCTTTTTCACATGAAATCCATTGATTTTGAGATTTCTATCATGTGTAATCATTGATGATGTCTTAAATAATAAAAATATTTCGGTTCTTTCACAACTTCAAGAACTTATGATGTGTTTTATGAAGTTCTCTCGTTAACAAATATGCTATCATTTTTTATCAAAAACAAATATATGTAATCCATTGTTTTTCTCTTAACGTCTTCTAATTTAATTATACTTGTTGGAATTGTGTGCTACATAACTAAGAATGTAAAAATGTGCTTGGCCTAGATGGATCCGCTAATGGTTGGGTTAAAGTTGGGGAGTTTTTAGAATTCAAACTCGAAATTAATTGGAAATGAGAGTTAACCCATAACCTTTATATATTGATGTAAATCTCATCTCATTTCCGAGAACTCCAAACATGCATGACAGCATGAGTGAAAAGTAAAAACAAATATGGTTTGTTTTTAAAATGAGTTAATGTGATAACTGGTATAGTATCATGGAGTCACCGATCCCTAATTAATCTTGAATATCAACTTCGTATGCTTTTCTTTTTTTATGAATTCAATAGCATAACCATACGTTGGTCAAACACACAGTAATCCACATAAAACAGTTGAAAGGAAATAAGAATATTTTCATGTTACCAACATACTTATTCAACTAGATAAAATTTATAAGAAAAAAACAATAAACAAAATATAGGACGGCATGAAATTAGGTAGGCTTTTATGTTAAATTTTAAATGTAACATGGGATTTTGTGTTCTTAATCAGTTGTATTTATTTTTTAAAACAAAAACAAAACAAATTAAATCACATGATTAAGTAGCTGACTCTATCGATCGAATCTGGTTAATGAAAGTAAAAAGAATGTATTTATAATTAGCAAAAAAGTATTTCGGAAATTCCACTTTTGCAATAATTTGGCATCTTCTCTCTTAATGTACAGTTTTATGTTTAATGGCTTTTTTTTTTTTTTGCTTTGCGAGATTCTCTGGCAATAATTACACTCCTTGGACAAAAAGAGTTGTTATTTAGTAAATTAAAATAGAAATATTATTCTTTTTGTTATACCAAATAATTTTCAGATGTTAGAAATGATTGGCATTACATATATACCCACCAAAAGATTTGACCAAAATTTGGCTGATAGTGTCGCATTTGATGATTATGTTATGTCAGTTTATTTTATTTAGTCCACTTATGGTCTTCATTTATGAGAAGCAAATATGGGTTGGTTTTGCTAATGGTCAATGAGAGATCAAAAAGTCAAATGAAAATTATTTAAAAGAAATTTTCCTGCTTACCATAAAGGAGTTTATAATTCAATTTCCCATGTTTCCATGTGATGTGATATACACAAACTCTGCTTCCCAATTGTATTCGCCATAGATATTTCTCTTCATTGTTATTTTTATTCCCAAAAAACGCAAGCGAAATCCAATATTCTCTCCCTCGAGAAGATTTTATTGTCCACTAATAAACTATTTGTAACTGAAATTTTATTTAATGAATCAAATATGTTTATTATCTATATATTTTCCATTATATATAGTATATGAAAACAAGTAAACAACTGCTACTCTGTTTTTTTTCAATGCATACATATATATATTTCGTATACATCAAATTTATGAAGATTTAATTTGTAGAGGATATATACGAAAAAAGGAAGAGTTGTCCGTAAGATATTGGTAATGCAATGCATATGTATATAAACATTGATACATATATGGGCGAATTGCACGTATGAAGTATGCACGTAAATCAAAACAGTACATCGAACAGTTTAATTAAACTTAAACCAACATACCGTAAGACTACTAAAAATATGTGTAATCGGTGCATTAATGTTAGCTCTCGAGGTTCCTAGGAAATGAGACCACACCACTACCCAAGTCTTGGAATATGGTAAATGTGAGCAATTCCCTAAGTCTTTTTAGTCTTCACTTCTCACTTTATGATCTCTCAATCAACGAGAATGGAACACGCCTTCAATTTCGATTCTCTATATTTATGCATCAAATTAACCAAAAAATAGTGTATATTCCAAGAAATGTTCAGCAACCACGTACCATATCCATATGTGAGCTTATTTCACTTTGATGAAAGTTACAGTACATCTGTACATATAATGTTAATCAGTAGATTTTTGTGTGTAAGTCCATTTTTTTTTTACAAATATGATACAATTTTTAATAATAGCTAAGAAAGACTATAAACTTTTAGTTTTTATTATTATTGATCAGTAATAATTATAAAATTATTATACCATTCACATTGAAAAGACATTAATTATATTTTTTATAATCCTCCATCATTAAAAGACTACAAATCATAAACATGATATTTTCAGGATCCCGTACGCTAGATTTTATGAATCATTTTAACATGTCAAATTATATACATCTACATATTACGAGATAGTTATAACTTATAAGGATATGTGACTTTTTGTGTTAAATAACATAAAATGTGCTTTTTCAATATGCTGACTAGCCAAATATATATTTTTAATTTTTTAACGGTGTTGAGTTGCGATATACTGTATTTTTTGGTAAACGAGTTATGATATATTCTACAGAAATGGTCGGTGAAACTAAAAGGTAAGAACTTCCGAATATTCTCGAGAACTTCTATTCAGTTGTTCTTTGATTATCCTAATCCGATTCTATATGGAAATTAAAGTTAAATACACTAACCTCTCTGCCAAAGCAAGCGCATGTTGGTTCTCCTCTACCTCTAGATTGGTGCACATTTTTCTCCGTTCATACGTAAGTGAAAAAAAAATATTGGTATAGTTTAGAATAATATTAACGTAAAATATTTTTTTCTTCAATATGCATATGAGGTAAGAGTTTTTTTTTGTTTTAACGTTCTATACAATAAAGTTGCTAGTTTTGTAAATTATAGTGTGATATATTTATCACCACTGGTAG